GTGCAGGGGATTCCAAACGAAACGGAGCTACATCCCTATCTGCGGGAGGCCCGCAAAGAGAATGTCTACGACATCAATCTGGAAGTCGAGCTGAGAGGTACGTTGAGACTGCAATCAGATTGATGCACTTGCAAGAAACTGATGGATATCAAACTAGCACCTAACGGCGAGTCTGCAATTTTGTCACGCACAAACGCCCGAAATCTCGTGTTCTCTTTCGCGCAAATGCTCGCCCATCATACCGTGGGCGGCTGCCCCCTGGAAGTGGGTGACCTGATCGGGTCAGGGACCATCAGTGGCACAGAACCTGGGACTTTGGGCTCTTTCCTCGAAGCCTCCAACGGAGGCAAGAAGAGTTTCGATCTATCTGCTACGATCCGCCGGACTTTCCTGGAGGATGGAGACAGTGTTGTCATTCGAGGATGGTGCGGTGATGATGATTCGAACCTGGTAGGCTTTGGCGAGTGCTCAGGAACGATCTTGGCATCGATTAAGCCGTCATGGATATAGAAATATATTGCAACCTAGACATACTTGGAGTACCATGGTGCTCTGTTCCTGACACATTTTCCTTTTCCCGGGACACGAGTATCGCGCTGGAAGTCGGCGCTTCACGTCTTGTACTGGAAGTAGTCGCTTACAGAAAATCTTCGGTGGTCTCTCCACTGGACTACCGTGTCCAAGAGTCACGCACAGATTTCGGTCCACCCATGTCTTCTGCAGCTCCAGGATGTTGAGCCGGGACCATCTGACGCGCCGGATGGGAGCCTAGGCTCGAAAAACCCCTCCCCTGCCAGGATCCGAGGAAATTGGTGCTTTCCGCTCGCCCAAGATGCCGCCGGATGCCCCCGGCAGGGCAGGGATAGAAGCGAACAGCTCTTCGCAGTTAGGTGGGTACTTTTGTGTGCGAGAAATCCGGTTATACTGATCGTAACTATTGTCCTTGTGCAAGGGGGTGAGGGTGGAAATCTTCAAAAAGACCTCAATCGCTGAAACCACAAAAGCAGAAGGTAGTGAGGACGAGCTGGATCAGTGCTGTGCCCCGTTTGCTCTGCTTCACTGAGAATGGGAAACAGCATGGCAGACCTGCTGCCGGTTGCAGCAGGAAAACTCCACCGAACGGCGAGGTTCAGCGAGGTTCTGAACGCTTCCTTCGCATGGGTTGCGATCTTTGCCGGGCTGGTGTTTCTGGTTGGGGTGGTATTGATCTTCGACACCACAGACGTCCCACACATTAGACACCTGCCTTCGGTACCTGGACTGCCCATACTTGGAAGCCTTGCTCAATTGGGGAGCGAACAGCCTCGACGGCTGGCAGAGTTGTCCAAGAAGTATGGACCGGTGTTCCAGATCAGGTTGGGAAACAAAGTGAGCTCCAGAATGAATCTTCACCCATGTCTGAAAAGCAAAACCAGCTAACCGGTCCATCCTTCTGGCCAGAGGTTCGTCGTTGCAAACAGCTTCGATTCCGTCAGGACACTCTGGGTTGGTAATCAGTCAAGCCTGATCTCGCGGCCGACATTGCACACCTTTCACAATGTGCTATCTTCATCGCAAGGATTCACCATTGGCACATCGCCATGGGATGAATCTTGCAAAAGACGACGCAAGGCTGCCGCCACTGCATTGAACAGACCCTCCGTTGTGTCTTATATGCCATTTGTCGACCTGGAGTCCTATGCCAGCATCAAAGAACTGGTGGACCACATCGGGGGACGCGAGGGCCAAGTCGACCTCGATCCGTATCCCCTGTTTCAACGCCTGGCACTCAATCTGAGCTTGACTCTCGGTTATGGGTTCCGCATTGGCGGCTCGGTCGACAACGATCTTTTGCGTGAGATTATCACCGTTGAACGGGGCATCAGCACCCTCAGAAGCACCAGCAACAACTGGCAAGATTTTGTCCCGCTGCTGAGGGTTTTCTCTGCCCGATCGAACCACGCATCTGACCTCCGGCACCGGCGAGATGTCTACCTGGAATACCTCTTGCAAAGACTGAAGGAAAAGATCGCCAATGGTTCCAACGTCTCTTGTATCACCGGGAACATCCTGCAGGATCCTGCATGCAAGCTAAATCACGGTATGATTTGTAATTTCCTTGACCCTTTTGGCTGCTTGAGGTCCGCCTGAGCCGAGGAAGATACGTTACAATACAAAAACATCCGCTGACCGCGACATTCCCATGTAGCGGAGATCAAATCAATCTGCGTGACGATGATTGCCGGAGGACTGGATACTACTCCGGCCTGCATGCTGCTGGGCACTGCCATTCTTTCGGGGTCCCAAGGAGCCTCACTGCAGAAAAAGATCCTCGACGAAATCGACCGCATCTACCCCGACGGAGACGCTTGGGGAAAGTGTCTCGTGGAAGAGAAATGTGCCTACGTGATGGCCTTTTGCAAGGAAGTCCTTCGCTTCTGGACGGTCATCCCCATGTCTCTGCCACGAGTGAGCATTAAAGATGTGGTATACCAAGGGGCCACCATCCCTGCCGGAACGACGTTCCTGATGGTAAGTCGAACACCTGCCCTAGAAGATGAACTCACCATCCTCCTCGCGTTGTTGTTCTCGTCAGAGTGAGTGCCACTAACCCGTATCCCCCAAGAATGCGTGGGCGGCCGATCACGACGCGGATCACTTCCAGGCGCCCGAAGAGTTCAGGCCGGAACGCTTTTTGGGCCTCGCGGACGGCTCGGGGACGCAGCATTTCGCCTTCGGCGCAGGCTCGCGCATGTGCACCGGCTCGCACCTGGCGTACAGGGAGATGTACGTCACGTTTATCCGGATGCTTGTCGCACTTGAAGTCCTGCCGGCCGAGGATCCGGCGCAGCGGCCGGTCCTGACGGGTCCTCTCGAGTGCAACGCCAACCCGACGGGGTTGTCCATAGAGCCGAAACCCTTCAAGATCGGGTTCCGCGTGCGTGACGGGGAGCGCCTCCGCGAATGGTTTGCACAGACGGTCGATGCCACCAGCCACATTGAGCAATGAGTAGACATGGATATGATGTACTCGAGGGCACCGGCCACATTGAGCAACGATTAGGCATAGATATGATAGGATTCGAGGCCCTGTGATATCTGTGACTCTGGTCAACAAGCCCCTTTGTTTCCCGCCACATTCACGCCGCCGGCCGATGTATCGTTACAGTCCTTTTACTAGGACAGAAGAAAAGATAGACCATGCCCGGGCGCGTCTTCATTTCTCCGTGACTGGTCAATGTCAATAAGCGTAGTCCTTGAAGCAGGCACAGAAGGAGGACGCAATCACGAAGCCATGATGACGAAAGATATTTTCATTTCTGCTACTACCTTGAACGAGCGGTGTTGGTACCCATCCTCGATTTCTACGCCTCTGCCATTCTTGTCAACTGGAGGATCCAGTCGACGGTCTCCTTCTCGGCCGTCACGTTCGGCATGTGGCCCGTCCGCACCGCTGTCACATGTACTCGTCGGCCACTTTCCCGCTCGACCCTCTCGATCCAGGATCTTTGCAGATCGGGAGGCCCGACCAGATCCTCCTCGCAGAGCAAGTACGAGACCGGAATGTCCTTGTACCCAGTCTGTGTCACCGGGTCGAGGAAGCTCTGGGCCGAGTGCTTGGCAAAGTCCCGGACGATGGCAGCCCCCTCGTCAGGCGGCAGATGTTGGAGGATGAGGCTGGCGGTCGCCGCGGGGTCGGCCATCAGCATCCAGCCATGTTCCTGAAGCAATGAGGATTTATGAGCGAGAGTCTGGAGCCGACAGCGGCACGGTCGAGAACAGGAAATAAGCAGGAAACGGAGAAGGAACAGGCTTACATCGACGTCGATGGGAGGATGTTGCTCGGCTGGGACCACGCTTATGGCTCCGCGCGCCGACTGACCGTGGGCGGGGATGATAGCACTCATGTAGCCCAGCCGAACGATGCCGCCCGGTTTGCCCTGGGCCTTCCGCTCCTCTTTTCCCAGGCCTTGGGAGGCTTGGGTCATCGGGACGCCGCCATACGAGTGGCCGACGATGATCACGTCCCTGCCCTTATCGGCTAGCCTTTCGACCTCCTGCGCGAGCACCGCCGCATCGTCGTACATAGAAGGCGCCGTGTGCGCATAGCCTTGCCGACTGCTGGGTCCTACCGTCGGTGGATGGATGCCCTTGATCTCACATCCCGCTTCGGTGACCGCGTCGAGGAGCGGCTGGTAGAGGGGAAGCAGGCAATACGAGCCCGGGAAGAAGAGAACGGAAACTTGGGACATGGTGATAGTTAAGACCAAAGACCTCTTTTGACAGTTCGCGTCATCGAGGCCAGGACCGTGGCGATTCAGAACGGGCCCCCTTTTGAGCTTTTTCCACAAACACTGCAATCGCCCTTGCTGAGACGGACGGGTTTCGGTCGAAATGGTGCGTGTTTGTAATGCTAACACGCGTAGCTCATTACATCCGCTGAGTGTTGAGAGGGCGTTGGTGCTATTCGTTCCTCTAGACGGCCCGGGGTGAAGGTTAATGTCGGATTATCCGCCGGCAACTCTGCCATATCGTGTATCAAGGGACGATTCGTCATGGGGATCGACCAATGCGAGGCGTGACTTGACCAGGCTTTGGTCAAGTTGCCAGGATGGGTTTTATGAATGACCCTCAATGGGACGGAGTCGTTACAGGACCTGGGTCGCAGGTCCTGTTGGCGAGGCTGACTAACCGGAGTTGGGCACCGGGGAAGGAAATCTGGCCTCGCTCGCTTTCCTAAAGAAACTAGCGGGAGTTAAAGGATACTTCGTGGTCTATAATATGATATAACTATAGCTAGTTATATATAACTAGTCATATACACACACAGTCTCTGGGCAATTAGCCCAAAAGTACAAAGGTGGAATGCAATACCAAACCCACCTATACAAAGTCCTCCTCCACACCAACAGGCTCTGAGATACATTCGCACTGTGTGCCGCCCTGTCAATTTTGGCTCTCTCCTGATCCAGTCCCTCAGTCGGTCGACGGTCGGACACTCAGATCAGCGGAATAGGGATCTAGCTTTCCCCGTCCGCCGTGTCGCCAGCGACTTTCTTCAAGGGAACGTTCGGGTCACTGGCAGGCTCCGCGTCGGGGTCATGTTGTTGTTGCTGCGGTGGTTGCTGCTGCTGCTGTTGCTGCTGCTCCTGTTTCTGCTCTTTTTCCTTTTCCTGCTCCTTCTGCACAGGAGGCTCATCGGCTGGCTCCCCCTCCTGATTTCCAGGTAGAGGATCCGCCGCGTCGGATGACCCTGCATCATCACCATCGCTCTTTGCATCTTTGGCATCCTTCTCCATCTCCTTTTCTTTGCCCTTCGCGTCTGCCTCCTTCTTTTCTGCCGCGTTCTTGTCCTCCTTCGGCTTCGGTGGCGCAGTTGCCGGGCTCTCATCTGGGTCGTGCGGCGGAGGCTGTTGAACTGGTGCGGCTGCGAGAGCGGGCACGGCCGCAGCTGGCCCTGGGTTTATGCCCACGACTGGCGTCATTATGGGTGCTGGCGCTGGCATCGGCAATGCCGGGGCCTGTGATCCCCCAACAGCAGCTCGACTTCTCAGAGTTGCCCCTGCATAGTTCCCATCCACGGCCCCCGTCATGTACATGTCTGGGTTGTTGACCGTGTTGTTCCTGACCGCCCGTTCGTACAACCTCGTAAGCCTGGCCACTTCGCTCCGGACCGTCACCGCCGCGGCTCCCCGCTCTCCGCTCTTCCCGTCCCCAGTATCGATGTCGTCGTACCCATTGACCCCCGTGGTGATGCCCAGCCACATGATCTCGGAGTTTTCGATCTCGTCCACCACCCGCTCCAGATCATCCCGGTACATGCGCGCCCGCATGGGCTGGCCCCGCGACTTCAGATACGCAACGAGTCCGGCAATGATGGTGTTCATGGCCCCGAAGATGGTGATCAGGATGTGACTCGACTCCGAGGCGCCCAGGGCAGTCAGTGCGGCGCCCAGGACGACCTGGGACAGCAGCATCGTGTTGGACAGCGACGCCGTCATGTAATAGGTGAAGCGCTGCTTCGAGAGTTGGCGGGTCGCGCGGCCGTACAGGGACTTAGGCGGCACTGACGCAGAAGAACGCGATTTACCACTCGGGGTTGGCTCAGAAGAAGGGACACCCGTCATCATGCAGAACTGCGCGTGCGCGTCGGTGGGTAGGTTGTTGTCGGCGGCATCGGAGGGACGACCGGATGACCAGAGGAGAGGCGTGCGTTCGTTCGGCATTGTTTATGGGTGGAGCAGAGTTGGGGGCCCTTGCCGCCGCTGCTGTTGGTGGATTGATGTTGCTGGTGTCCGACCGACTCTATTCGCGATGATGGTGGCTAACCCGTTGCCTTATCTGGTGGCTGTATTGTATTGTTGTTGCTGAGCTGGTTCTGGTCTGTGTCTGTGTCTATCTGTGTCTGTGTGACCCATCAATGTTCAACAACCCCCGCTGAGAATCAATCATTCAACAGCTCTCTTTCTTGGTAAGTAACCCGTAATGGATCTCGACAAGCCCGCCAGACAGACACGGATATCTCTTTCTCTCTATTCTCTCAAGCTTTGAAAATGACTGCAGTCGAGCTGCACAGCGGCTTCGCTTGCTTGCACGGGACTGGGCCGGAGCACAACGGGCCTTTTCAGCTTCAATATTCGAAGTAACATGAAACAATCACGATGCCCAATTGATTAGAAAGTCCCCTGTTCGTAGGAATGCAGCATCATCATCATCATAACCATCACCACCATCACGCAACGCATGGAGCACGAAGAACTGACGAGCTAGCTCGACTCGACACAAAGCAAGTGACGGCGATGACGACGACGGTCCTTCAAAAAGCAACAAGCACACGGGGACGAAAAAGGAAGATGGATTAGTAGGACGAATGGACAGCAGCAGAAAGCATGTGAAAGGGAAGAAAGAGGAGCTAAAAGAAATTAGGAAAAATTGACGGGGATGGATGGATGGATTCATTGAGCTGAGGCGTCACCGGTCGGTGTGAGTCCAGCTTCAGTCCAAGACAGATCGTCGAAACACTATCCTCGCAGGTTCGCTAATTAATTACTGTACTAGCCAACGTGCTTGTGAATGAATGAATCTATTTAACCGAGCCCACGCGCCCCTCTTCCAGCTGATATGATACCCCTAATCACATAGAACGAAGAACACGACCCTGACGATCATCCGCATTGCATTACCACAACGGGAAACTCTCATAGTATAGGATGGCATAGGATATAGGATAGTATCTTGACCACGACTACGCTACATACGAGAGGGCGCAAGGGGGTTGGAACCGAAACCGTCTTGTATAATAAGGAAGTGCCTAATCCAACTACCTGGGAGTCTCATCAGTCGTATCAATGCATCATCATAACCTGCTCGTGTCAAAACAAACCCGGTTCTCTATTCATGGCCCCTGGAGAAAATGCCGGCTCGAGAGAGAAACATTCCAACTCCCCGGTGACGTACGTCAGAACATAACCCATTGTCCCCTTTCTTGCGCCGTCGAAACACAGTCACCGATCTCCTATCCCCAGGTCGCTGTCCGCGTAGGATTGTGAGAAAAGCCACCAGCGAAGAGACTCGCCATCGGAGGGGCTGCCCGGTGGCCGTCGGGAGGATGACGCATAACTGTAACTTCTCCTCTGCAGGCATTGTTCCCAAAGAGGGATCGAATTGTCGTCAATCGCGTGCACCTGCTGCTGCTGCCTCCCCGGATCCGGTACTTCTCGTTGCGGTTGCCAGCCCCCGGCCGTGTGTCCCTACCACCCCACGCCAGGATGCCATCCGCCCAAACCCGTCGACGAGCCACCCACCCATCCAGCCTGCGCCTGCTGGCTCCGGGCCAGGTTGTGCAGAATCTGCGCCGGGTGCGTGCTGGGACTTCCTCCCAGACCAGAACCGATCGGCCGACTGCCCGCCGCGCCTTTGCCTGCCATGGTCGAAGCCGACCTCGTCTTCGAGTCGCACTGCGTGGTGGAATGCACGTGGTACGCGCAGCCCTTGTCTCGTGCCGGATCCCCAAACTTTTCGATCTGCCACTGCCACACCTTGCGCATGATCAACAGCGACAGCTCGGGGATCTTGAAGAGCTCCTCAAATTCTGCTCGGTCGCTCTCGTCCACCACGCTTTTCCGGAGGTGGTCGTGGTAGTGGCGCGGGTAGGTCATCATGTGGTGCACGAGGTGCTCGATGAAGAACCGTTTCAGCGGCGATTTGTGCGGTCCGTGGAGGTGGACGAGCGCGAGGGCCGAGTAGTTGGGCCGCAGGTTGGGGGATGATGCTGAGTCGGACCCGGCGTGGGCGTCTCGGTCGGCTCCCACGGCGGATAGGCTGGAGACGAGGCTCGCCCGGCTGGATTCCCGGCTGCTGCCATGTCCGCTGCCGATAATATGGTGGATGTGAGAGTGATGGTGCCCGTTGTTACAACCACTGCCACTGGCCCCTCCACTTCCGCTGCCCAGTCGATAATTCGTCCGTATGCAGTCCATGATCCCATTCTGCAGTTCCTCCATGCCAAACTTGTCGGCCATGCAGTACGCGGCAGACATGTCGCACATGTCCAGTCCTGTAGTGACTCTAACACTTGCTGCACTGCTGCCACCATTGGGACTCGTCCCAAACGTCCCAAAGACGGGCAGTCTCCCTCTGTATATCCACTCGACCACGATGCTGAACGCCTTGGGGTCGTCTTCGGGGAGGTAGAGTTCGTTCTTGTAGCCCTCATCGAACCGGTTCTTCTGGAGGCATTTTTCCATGAAGGGGGAGCGTTGGCAGATCAGGTCGCGATGGAGGTGGAACCGTTTGCGCTTGGGGCCGACGTGGACGGTGACGATCTCGGAGGTGGTGAAGCTGGCGCACGCACAACAACAGTCAGAACACCAGAGTGAGCGGAAGGAGCAGAGAGGACACGGAAACCGTGGTGTGCTGGTGCATGTGGAACGGGAAGAATTTCCCCCAAATGTGAACTCACTTGTCGACCTCATCGTCCTCGTCATCATCGTCCTCTTCCTCTTCCTCTTCCTCGTCGTCGTCCTCGTCTTCTTCCTCCTCTTCCTCCCCTTCAACCTCGTGCTTGAGAGAAGCGTCGCTGTTTCGGGGGATCTCGTTCTTCATCTCTCCGCCATCACGCCGTGATCCGTCGGCAGCGGGAGTTTTGGCCTTGGACTTCCCTTTCTGCGCTGTTCCTGGTTGCTGCTCCTCCGGCACCCGAGGACTCTGCGGTCGGGTCGAGGTCGCCGGGTTCATGATGGGTGACTCTGCAACTTGCAGGTTGCGAGCGAAGAGAGATCTAATCATGAAACGGGGAGGACCAAGAGAGGGAAAGAAAGAAGGTGGACTGAGATGACAATTCAATCGATGGAGCCCGGCATTCGAGCGGTGGGGCACGTTGCACGGTTGTAAGATTTGGGCGCGTTGAGCGGCGGCCGGTGCCTGGGTGGCTCCTAAGGATGTGCGTTACCGGCACCTAGAGCCGCTTACTACGCTTTACGGGACGTGATTCCGCAATCAGTAACCCGGACCTGGTATTAATCCTGATACAGTACGAGCTCGGGTACTGATAAGATTCGGTAGTGCTGGTGGTATCGGGGACCGTTTCCCGTCCGAGGGTTGACTGACATCTGATCGTTCCCACGAGGCCCCGTTTTGTTGGATCCAATAGCCTTATGTAAGTCGGTCCCTGTGGTCGAGTCTCATCCTCAGCCAGCCAGCCGTCTGCCTGCGGTATACAGAGTGATACTGATATGAACCCCCGAACTATAATGATACACGGATAGCTAGCCCATCGCCCGACAACAACCACTAAAAAACAAACAGAACTTCGCTGGATACCAACCAGCCATCCCTTCCTGTCACTCGGTAGGATTACACTTGACCTTGCCTGGCCCCTTGGGTTGGTGCCAGGACTGCGTCAACCTCAATCCAATGCCCATGACGCGAACCTAGCGCTTCCTCGCTCCTCCAACACCGTGCCCAGGTCCATGTGCATCGAAATCCATCACAGTCCCTTCTTGTAGATGCTCCATGTCGGCGGTAGGAGGTGGTGGCGGTAACGTCAGGGGAGGCGGTGAGATCGCATGGCCTGCATCAAAACCACCTTCGGCACTGGATTTTCTAACCCTCTCCCGCTCCAGTTCACGTCGCAACTCTTCGTTGACGGCATCTCTTTCCTCCAGCCTCCTCCGGGCACCACTTCGGTCCAGTAACCTGGCCTCCCGCTCGGCTTTCAACCTCCTCTCCAGTTCTCGCAGTCGATGGATCCATTTCTCCTGGCCCTGACCGCCGCCCGCGCTCCCTGCTGTAATGCTCGCAATGTCTGAGCCCGACGCCGTGCTCGGTGGTGCAGGAGGGGCTTCTCGTGGGGGAGGGGGCAGGGAGAACTTCCCATCCGCCGGAGCGTTGAAGGGCCCCGCCGGAATCATCAGGCCACCCCGGTCCCGTTCGCCGCCCTGTGCGTAGCCGGAATGACGACTCGAGATTGAGTTTGATCGCAACGAGGTCACGTCGCCGCTCATGCTGGCGAGGTGTTCCACGATGCCAGTGGAATGATGTCGCTGCAGCTCCATCGTTCGAGTGCGCCTCATGCTCGAGGAGCGAGCGGGCACCCCAACCGTGCCGTTCACAGCCCCGTCAACCTGACCTGGTCCCTCATTGGACATGATGCTCGAATAGCCAGAGGCGCGGCTCTCGTTCCGGTCCCGTCGGTGATGCAGGTTGTGGTGTGCCTGTTGCTGTTGGAGAAGCTGGAGCTCGGCCTTCAGTAACCGGTTCTCTCCCTTCAATTTGCTGATCTCAGGCGTTCTGCTGGACTTCGGCGTTCGAGCCCCGGTGTCCATGCGACTCTCCATTTCCGACATCTTGATTTTCATCTGCTCCCAGCTCTCTTCGATACGTTCCAGCTTCCGGGTCCGCACTTCCAGGGTCTGTTCCAGAGCCTGGTACTCCTTATATAGCTCGCGTTCAACGCGTTTGATCTTGTCTTTGAAGGTGGACAGTGTCCCCTCGACCTGCTTGGCGGCTAACAGCAGATTCCGGCTGAAACCAGGCCAGAAGAGCATATTGCCAATCACTTCTTGAGAAGGAAGGTTGCCATTGATCAGGCTGTTGTTGTGGGCCCAGTCCGGACCACACATGGCCGAAAGCCTTTTCCAGAGGTTGAGCAACACCTGGTTCCTCTCCGATAATTGTTCTTTGAGTTGGGTTTCCATCTGTGCCATCCGCTTCCTGTCGGTCTGGCGGAGTCCTTCGAGTTCGGCAATTCTGGTGGACGCCGACGTGAGCGCCCTCGTGGTCGAGTTATGACCCTTGTTGGTCTTCTCAAAGTCCAGTTTGTCTTGTCGCCGGCCTGCCTTCTCTCGCTCGTAGGCGTCAGCCAATTTTCTGCACTCGTGGCTCGTCGATTCGAGCAAGGCATCACGATCGGCAAGCAGATTCTCTGTCTGCTCGAGTCGCCTTCGGACAGATTCCAGGTCAATGGTTGTCTGGTCCAGTTCGCGGCGCATCTTGGTGACTGCACTAATCAAGCTCGCACGAGAGCTGTTCGGGTCTCCAATGATGTTGCGGAGACTCTCCTCCAATTCGGACAACCGCTCCTGGTACGATTTGGCTTCGATGTCGCGCGCTGAGAGGGCTTTGCGGACCTTCCGGAGTTCGTCCTTCGCGCCAGAAGCTTCCCGGTTGAGATCATTGATGACTCGTTGCACCTCTTGCTTTTCCTGACTGGCAACCGCGTCTCGTTGTGCCCGTTCCTCGTTAATCCGCCGTTCGAGTTCTCTGCTCTTATCTCTTTCGGATTCCAAGTTAAGGTGTACTTTCTTGAGCAGGGACTCCAGATCCCCAATCTTGATCTTGTCAGCGTCTTGCTCTTCACGGAGGAAGGCAATCTCATTATGACTGCTCTCCTGCTGCACCGTCAATCGTTGCACCTTGCTTTCAGCCTCGGCGAGCGTCTTTTCGAGATTCTCCAGCTCGCGGTTCGCGTCGTCAAGTTCGGCCTTGACAGATTGGTACCGCGCCAGATTGTGCTGCGCATCCTCTTCGAGACGGACAAGACCTTCCGCGGCAGATCGCATCTCTGCCTGCAGCGCCTTGACGTTCTCGACCTGAGACTTGAGTTCTCCTTCAAGCTTGGCACATTCCTCTACCTTGGCGTCCAGCTCATCTCCCAGGCCGTCGATTTCCTCTTGAGCCTCGCTCTTCAATTGCTGGAAGGCTTGGTCTTGCTCCTCTGCGTCCCGCAACGCATTGTCGCGTTCCTGCGTGAGCAGGAGAAGTTCCTCGTTGAATTGATCCGCGTCCGCTTGTGCCTGGGCATCCACGGCATCAAGTTCTGCAAGTGCCTCGTCAAACTGATTCTGAAGGTTCTGGTTTTCGAGTCTCAGCTGTGACACTTCGTCACGAAGCTCGTTGATCCTCGTCTCAAGAGCCTCGCGCTCTTGGTCGCTCATCCGGGACAATCTCGTTCCATTGCTTGCCCGGGAATGAGACCGTGCTCGGGACGCCGACCGATCGAGAATACTGTCTCCCGCCACAGATCGAAGGCCACCCATCCGGCCGAGTTTCAGATCTTCGATTTCCTGGTACAGCCGCTCCTTCTCCTTATTCCGAGACGTGAGCGTAGAAGCTTGGGCGCCAATCATCTTCTGCAGCTCCGACACCTCATGTCTTAATCTCTCAATCTCGGCGTCTTTGGCATTTGCTGCTTCGACACTACTAGACCTCGAAACAACCGAGCCGCCAATCTTGATTTTGCGCGAGTTCGACTTGCCGGACGCGAATGTCTCGCTCCTGAGCTTGGAAACCTCATCCCGAAGACGCTTGTTCTCTTCTTCGGACTGCTCACGCGCAATGGTCTCTGCTTCAAGCATGTCCTTCCACATGTCGCGTTCTTCCCTCGACCCGACATCCGAAGTAGTGGCGCGAGTGTCACCCAGGGACTTGACCATTTCGGCGAGCTTCCGCTTCTCCGTTTCTTTGGCGAGGTTCTCCTGACGGAGCTTCTCGATCTCGATCTCACTAATTTCGATTCTTTCTCGGAGATAGATGACTTCTTCCTCGGTGGTTGGACTTCTTTCCTCATCGGTGGCATACCCTGGATCAGCATTCGGCGAGTCGCGGGCTCCTGTCTCCTCGAGTTTCTTCTGTAAATCTCGAACCTGCTTCCGTAAATTATGATTATCCTTTTCCAACCTCAATCGGTCGGACTTTAGTTGTACATTTTCCGTGATCATCTCCTTGATGCCGTCCTCGGATCTCTTCTGCAGCGCTTGATCCAAGAAATGAATCTTCATTTTCAGGTCGAAGTTCTCTTTACCCAACTTCTCCACAGTGCTTCTGTGCTCTTTCAAAGTTAGGCCCCGCTTGGGGCCCGGTGTCATTCCTATAATCGTGTTGCTCTTTTCAGGGGACATGCTGCGCTCTTGCCGGTATTGGCGAGCAAAAGTACCAGGGACTTCCAGATCTCTGGCATTGTTGGAGATGACGGCATCGGTAGGCATGTTGAAATTGTAAACCGATGCGCGAGGAGTAGAATATCCGCCTGCCTTGTTAGAGTTGGGGCTCTCTTCCTCCAATGTCGTCAAGTCAGTGGTGCCAGCCTGTCTCTGCGACCGAGATTCATCGTCGCTAATACCTGATATCCCAGACATCATACTTCCTAAGCTGGCTTGTCTGGAAATCGTGGCCCTCGCTTTACGCTGCGCGCTCGAATCGGGCAGGGCCCCTCCGGATTGTAGCGCAAAGTCTGCCCCCACGGTGACATCGCTAGCGTCCGTATTCGAGCTGGCCATTGAATCGTAGGAGAGGCGCGCCTGGGAAGATCTCTTGTGGAGGTATCCTGGTCGCCTTGTCCCTTGTTTAGATGTGCTTTCCGACCCCTCTTGCTGTCCGTCCGTGCTGGGTGGCAGGCCCAAGTATCGATTCTCGTTCTTGCGAGGGGTAGCTTCCGCATCGTCCTGGGCACTCCGGGACCTCCTCTCAGGCCTGACCTGGTCTTCTGTTTCATTGGCAGTCTCGTATCCACCCATGGTAGCCAGAGATTGAACTCGTGAGAGGGTTCGGGCGGTGGCGGCGGCGGTAGGGGAGGATGACATGCTCTCCAGCATGGACGTGGTGGGCATTTGACGAGTGGACCCGTCGCTTTCGACGCTGTGGCGGAATTCATGTCGTTCTGGTGCAGGAGTCTTTTAAGCGCCAGGGGGTGTGCGAGGGGACTGGGAGGGTCGGCCAGCCACTTGGTTCTCTATGTCGTCCGACGGGTAGGAAATCTGGATTGGATGCGGCTTCTTACGCACGGCTACATTGTCATTGACCACGCCGAACAAGTGCGTGTCATCTGCACCAGTAGCGGTCGAGCTCTTTTCTACCAAGTCGGAATGTTCGGGCAGGAAGCTGGACTCAACATCCAATAACTTCTTGTTCATCTCGCTTTCGTCCAGGGTCATGTTGGCGGGCAACTCGAGATTCGTGTTTTCGTCGACGGGCTGCAGGAGGCTACTCGGGTCTCTGTGACCGACCATAAAAGAAGAGGAATCATGCTCGTGGACAGGCGAATCATTGTCGTCGCTTCCCAGGGATGCCACGTCGTCCTCCTCTTCTGGATCGAACCCACCGGGTACCCTCGACGAACGGCGCTCGGTGCGAGGCCGGTTGCTGAGCATTGAGGATGACATTGTACGGATTTGACGGTCGAGCCCGGGCTATTATTGTATCGTGGGCATGCGCAACGATAGGCCGATGTATTTCGAGCCTCTATAATCCCGTGGTGCGGACATCTGTGTGGAGAACAGAGAGGGTTCGACGCGCGCTATGACGGGGTTTGGGTGAAGCAGCGCGTTTGTTGTCTCTAGGGCTCGAAGATAGAGAGGACACAAGAGGGGAAACCGAGGGGGATGCCGATACCGCGAGATGAGGTGGTCACTTGCTTGCGCAAAGTTCAATCGACTGGGATAGTGAATATGTCCGGGGGGTGAGAGTTGTCCGTCACAGAGACCAGGTCCAAAGTGTCTGCCCGTGCTGCCCCCTTCTCTGAAACGCTACGCCAGACTCAATCCGGGCAGGTCATCAACATGAGGCATAGATCCACTGGGAGATCAGCCAAATGTATTTGCGTCTGACACAGAATATATTCCGTTCTTGGCAACTCCAGGCACACTCTATCGGTAAATCGCCCGGTCAGACAGAATCATTCCGCCTTCCCATCTGGTCGTCTCAGGAGTTCTCTTTCGGGGAGGGCTGCGACTCGAAGGCCCCCCTAACAGTAAGCAAGCGAAACTGACCAGCTATTAGTGGCACCAGTAGTAGTGGCCTTGACTGGTGTGATCTCGCCATGACTGGGCTCCTTGCGAGCAATAGAGCCGTTAGAGAGTGATACCAACCCAAGACTAACAAGTACCCAGTAGTACTTACTCGGTATCTGCAATAGCTATCTCGTAGATGTGGACGATGAACACTGATGCAATCAGGGATGCTTGCATCTGGTCCTCCTGCTTCTTTCCACCCTCATCAATCATCAAGTCGTCTACTAAAAGTACATAGGTATGGTACAACGAAGCGAATCAACACCTCAACATCATTACTGCTCCAGCATCACGCTACCCCAGGGATGGCAGTGGTGGCCTGGTTCCTCGAGTCCATCGCGGCATGCTGCATTCTCTCTTCCTCCTTTCTCATCCGATAGATCTTATCTTTCGTCATCTGTGCGTTCTGCAAGGTATCGATGTACGTGCGGAACTTGACAATTTCTCGAAGCAAGTAACTGCTTTTCCGCTCCCAGTTGTTCATAGCTTTGGTTGAGTTGGGGTGTTTGACCGTGAACGCCAGAAGCATTAGGCCTCGCAGTTCGTTGTGCCTCTGCAGTTCTTCCTCCACGTTGGTGACATATGTCTGTAGCGCTCGAAGCTGGTCCACCTCCATCAGCTGGGACGCAAACATGGATTGCTGGGGCGGCGTCCAGTCGCTGATATGAGCCTTGTCCCCGGGAAGCTTAGGCCGGACGCCGCCAACATGGTCCATGGAGCTCCGCATCGACATCTGTGTACTGGGACGTGGACTCATGGCGGCGTTGCGTCCAGATTGGTGCTCCGACGACGTCAATGAGCGGTTGACCACGGCATCACTCCAGCCATACTCCATACTGCTAATACCGCCCATCATTGGCTCTTTCGAGAGCCGAGCACTCCAATAGTTGGCGGTAGAGACGAACTCTTTCACAATGTCCGGTGTGCCAACCGAGAAGAGATGGACGGCACCTGTCGGCAAACTGAGCGCCCACACATAGGGTCGCGCTTTCGAGTAACCAGGGGGTGGGAGTGAGCTGGCAATGGTATGTCGAAGGGTGAACTTCCACAGCTCCTCAGCGTTGTCCTGCCAGTTACCGCCACCCACCACAGCTGGAGCTTTGGGAGCGCGTGCTCTGTATCTCAGGGACTTGGCCGTCAATGTGAAAGAGAAAAGCCTCATATATCCTTTCTCTATCACCGCAAAGCAGTCATTCCAGTTTCTGTCCTTTGACCTCTTGTCAACACCCTCGAGATGACACTTGTGCTTGACAATGCCTTCCTTGGCCCACGGAGCACCGCAAAGCTCAAGGGACTCATCCTCGAGCAGAGACACACCTTTCGCGCCGTCCTCGATGGGTAATTCTAGCTGGTCTTCCCGAATAATAGCCTGGCTCAAAGCATTTGCGAAACCGATGGACGATTGATAATCGGCATGAGTAGCTTCTGTGCCAAAAGAGTCGACCGACATGGACGTCAATGTCTTTCCCAGAGATGCTTTACTCCACGTGCTTGACATTGATGGACTCCAGGCCGAGGACTGCTCGTCAATGCTGGTTCTACTAGATGCAAAACCCGGAGCCGAGGGCAGCCGCGGTCTCGACCGTGCCTTCGTCATAAAACGGGCGCCGAGTGACTTACTCTCACCAGCATATCGACCCCGGTTGGTATCAGAGTGTGCCTTACTCAGCACACTGGGTGTGCGCCGAAGCATCGAGCTTCCGATGGTCAAGAAGTTGCTAGACTGATTCAGTTGGGTATTTGCGTCGCCCTGGGCACCGTATAGCGGTAGAGGCTCTTGTGAGATCGACGTATAGAAAGACCTGAGCACGGTTTCGATATGTGCTTCCCAGTTTCTGCCATGTGCAACGTCTGCAGCAGGATCGACAGCTTCGGGAGAATGTCCATCCTGGTAGGTCAGCGGCTCTACAGACCGCTTTGCCTCCAAGGCAGCGCTGTTTATATCATCGCTCGATGAAGCGTTGTTCCGCTTTGGGCCTCGTAGAGTTCTTTCGGCCTCGGATCCCTGCGCCACGCGTTTGATCGTAGGCAACGTATTCCGCACGAACTGGGCCTTCGTCATCTTCTGGTCAATGTCCGCCAGATGAAGATCGGTATTCAAGAGGAGGATTGAGTAGCAAATTGTGTGCACCACATCTACTTGCGTTAGCCGAAATGTGCCAAAGTTATAGAAATATTCTTACCGCTTGATCTGAAAGTATGCGATGTGTTACACTCGCACCATCGCTGGGCAAAGGCATCCACGATGCGGTCCATTTGCTGCGTCTCTCCTTTGAGCATGATCCTGTCACAAAGACCTCGAAGGGAATCCAGGATATTCTGATCCTTCCAATCGAAGAGCTCCATATATGCTTTCCGCACATATTCCCTTTCGGGACCCGGGTCTCCCAACCACGCACCGGCTGAAGAAGGATCAACCTCGTCGTCGGTGTTGTCGAATATCTGTCGAGCCCTCTTTTTGTAGTCTGCTTCAAGGCCGGTCTGAGAGTCGCTCGGCAAGACAGAGCTAAACGGCGAGGCCATGTCGCCGTCGGGAGTTTCGATGATCAGGGGCGTGCTCGGCGCTGATCTATAATCACTCACATCAGACGTTGACGCGAATGGGGAACCCTTTGTCCCTTTGCGTCCAACCTCAAGAGTGTTTTGTCGCCTCGTTGACATGGGCTTATTCCCATGTTCGGCATTTTGGGGCCCTGAGGTTGGAGGCACGATTATGGAAGATACAGGTGACACCTTGTCGGACCTCCAAGATCCCTGTCGAGTAGTCGCGGTCCTTGGATCAGATAGCGGGCTAGGTAATGAGGTAGCGGAGGGTGTGTGATCCAGCTTCAAGTCGCTCACGCTGGCCCGGTATCGTAATGAGCGCCGTTCATTGTCAAATTGGTGACCAGCGTCAAAGGGAGAGCGTTTCATAGGCTCCTCGGCGCTGCTGCTATCCGCCAGAAACGAGTCCTGGTGAGGAATTCGAAGAGCCGAGACCTGCTTGGAGTTCGATTTCAACGTCTTATTACTGGTGTGGGATTCCGATCGAGTATGGCCGCCTCCTTTGGGGCGACTGGGAGCTTGGTTTGGCAAGCCGAACCCGGGAGGTGGTAGAGGCGGGGTATAGAAACCTTGCATTGAACTCGTTCGGCTATGGCTACGAGGATGAGCGTGTCCTGTCGCGGATGGAGGGTCGACGAGATAGGGATCCATAAACGCCCTGAGGCTGCTTACCGGACTCGTTCCGTCCACAGGCTCATTCTCTGATGGTAAGTCCGAGTGTAGGGTCAAAGGCAGTGGTGGCGGGACTACGTTTGAGACTGACTTCTTCCTTCGGCGGAAAAATGCGGACGACTTTTTGGTGATGACTGGCTGGTTCTCTTTGTTTGCTGAAGCATCGGTGGACGTCCGCCGGACAAGCTTTTGCGTTTTGCCGGGCGGCGTCGTGGGAGGATGTGCATTCTCGTCCTGTACGGGAGTCGCTCGCCCAGGCTGTGACTTCGTAAGTACATGGGGCGCTGGACTGGTGTCCGTCTGCACCGATGGGTTTCTCGAGGAGCCAAAGACACGCCGAAAGAAGCCAGGCCTGGGCGTTGCGATTGTTCCATGCACAGCTCCTATGTTCGCTTTTTGTTCCGCGGTGTTGAAGCTCGGTACACTTTTCATGGAAGGAAGTTGGGGCACGGATTCGTTTCGTGCTGCGTTGGATCCCAAAGCTGCTGCTCGGCCCTTTTTAGCGTACGCGCTCTTGGAGGATTTGGCACTGTTCTTCCGCACAAGAGGTGAGCCCGGAGGTCCTCCTGGTGTCGCACTCTGAGCTTCTGGGCCCGAGAATATGACCGGAGTGGGCGCCCCGTCAGCAGCTCCGAGTGGCTTGATGGTACGTAACTCTCGTGGTCTCGCGCCGAAATCGAAGCTCCGGGACCGTCTGTTGCCCGGTCCTCCTAGACGACCCGTCAGACTGGCCAGATGTCCCAAGTCAATACTTGACGATGCACTACTGTTAGTGCTTCTGCCACCACCAGAGGCATTCTTTTTCCGCCTCGGGTGACGGGGCTGGATGGCTCTTTGTGCATCATAGACCTTCGCACGGACCGATTCCTCGTCTTCTCCAAATATGCTCGGCAGTCTCTGCAGATCCTTTTGATACCTAACACTGTTGCGCACAGGAACTCTGGGGATTGTCTGTGGCAACTGGGGCATAGGTCTTATATGTTGGACATCATTCTCCGAAGACGTCGACGAAGAAAATGTATGCCCTCTCTTCCGGATCCTCGCATTGGTATCGTAACTGTTGCTCCGCGGCGTATACGGGCCGTCGTCGAATATACCGCCAGAGAATTGGTCGAGCGACAAAACTAGGTTATCGACCATGGAAGCTCGGAGGATGTGGTTGCTCGAGAAGGACAGATCATGAGGGTCTTCCATATCGTCGTTATCGTGGACGTGGTCCATTGGGGGTGATTCAGCCAGGAAGGTCCCTGGTCCTGCCATTTGCCTTCTTGATAGTCCCCCATTCGATTGCCGAAGTGGACGAGATTCAGTGGTTGGAGACACAGGCAGGGCACTGCTATGAGGCTTTGGATGCTCGATGACTGTAAGCTGTTTGGCTGATTGGCGGCGAGGACTCTTGGGCTTTTTTGGAGACGACAAACTCGGCGGAGGGGTCATTGTTTGTGGAAAGATGGAACAGGATGTCGAGATTCAGCTCGCGATCCGAGAGAGGCGGTGCGCGCGGTTCGGTCTCAGACGGCTAACTCCTCGATCCCTCGCGAAATGTCGCACGACCTGGACACGGGTTCGACGATGTCCCGGCACATGTCCCACCCCTAAGATAAACCGATGCGGAAATGACAAAGGACAATATTTCGGGAGATCTTTCTGAACAAGATGCAAAATTCTGAGAACGCAGATGAGCCTCACGGCATGGAGTGCAGCTTCGTGTTTTTACGGGGGGGTTTCCAAGAGGACCAGCACAAGTCGCAGTCCGGCGTCCCTCAATGCGATAGGCACCGGAGGTGTTACTGGTGGATCGGTTAGGGTTGGGGCCCGTCGCTAACAGCAGCCAATGCATGGATAGGGGGCACCCATCTGCAAGGGCCAGCGGCCAGGGGTACCCAAGCATCCCCCTTGCAGGCCCCTGGAGCCACTAGCTGCTTCCGACGCCCCTCGTAGTACTCCGTAAATATGTACATAGGGTTTTCAGGCTAGAAATCCTGGAATCTTTTCGCCGATGCCTGATAGAATTTGGAGACGGTGTGTATGTACAAGCTTTTGCCCTCTCCATTCCAACGGTGCCCCAAAAGGGTTTTCTACTGTAAGTATAGGGCGGTGTGAGGTTTTTGGGCATACTGTGTATGCACAGGTTGTCGACAGGTCACCCTTCTCTTGCCGTCCCTATACCCCCAAGTTGAAATCTGACAATTGATTCGCCGAAAACCACCATCAGAACTATAATTGCAATCACTGATGCTCTCGTCAATTCATTACTCTTTTGTGGACACGAACGAGTTGTATGATGCCCCAGCCCGCACCAGATTACTCCGCGTGCATACCTATGTAGTTTGATTCCATCCCAGTCCTCCAGCCGGACGAGTATTCCGTGTAACTCAAGCCATCGAGCCCCTGGACGGTGCAGTGGGCCGTTTAGCCAAGACCCAAACATCGACGGACCTGCATTAGCTCTCCCCCGCTACCGAACGCCACGCCCAGACAGTTGGTCGAATGGGGGCGCTCAGTCGCTGGATGCCGAGCCACATCTCGGCGATTATCCCGTTTGATGTTGCATCTGACAACTTGAACGCGAAATGGGAGTTCGTGGTGGGAGCGAGTGCCCCTTGTTGCGATTGGATGGGGGGACTGTATTGATCTCTTTCAGCCCACGCTCAAGTTCTCGTCGTTTGGAGGTCTTCATTGATGAATCCGACGCCTTGATTGGCACAACATTGACATACTGTGATCAGGGTCACCGTGACGGAGGAGTGTTGTCAGTTGTTGTCAGGCTCATGCACCATGTATCCAGCAATCCAACAGAACACATGCAGAGAGAGATTCCGAGGTCTCCAATCTGGAATCAGATTGGAGGCTTTTATTTCCCGCCGCGCACCAGAGATCACTGTTCCAATTTAATATGCGACTTTTTTCAGCTCTTGACGCCCAGAAACAACCATCTTGTCCCCAATGTCGTAAGATTGATGTTCAGAATCGTACAGACCAGCCATATCACAATCCATGCTAGCATGGGCGAGAGCAGAAGCTGTGTGTGGTGTAGAAAATGCAGTGCGTTGTATCCCAGAAAGGTGATTAGGCTCCAATACAGCCCCGCCGCAAGGTAAAGCAAATTAGCGAAGAAGGTTGATGCGTGGTTTTGATGGTTGATGACAGGCATGAGGACGTATTGGACAATGTAAAGTAACACGTATGGCGGAAAAAATGCCCGTATCGACACATCGAAGCAGTATCCGAACTCCAGAACTTCAGCTCTTCTTGACCCCCCTGGAGGGCCGAACAGTCCTTGTTGACGCCTTCGACCTGGTAGGCCAGCGATTCCAGGCCCCAAGAGTCGGCCAACGACATAATACGCCAGCGTTGCTAGCAGTAGAGACCCTGCCAGGAAATGAATGACGACAAACATCAAGGCCAGCTTGACGACCGAGGCAAATGACGGCGTGTAAGCGAGCGACCAGGCGAACGAGGTGAGTAGGAGGAAGAAGGACAACAGGTAGGTGAAGGACGGATCAGGTCGGTGCCAGGTGTTTCTCGTCTCTGGGCGTCGCCGTTAGTTCGGAGGATAGAGCATGGAGATGTTTTCAGTCGACTCACGTTTGTGGTAGTAGATGGACTTGAAGACTTTCTTCGGAGCAATGAGGAGATGTGTCATCTCCCACACGGCCATCTCAAAGTCCATCTGCGGAAACTTGAAGAGCCTGCCACATCATCTCATCAACATCAATCGCTCGAACCAGGGCCATCGTGCTGCCTACCGCTTGAAGAATCGAGGCATACGAATATCGGAACCCCCTGCGGTGGCGCCAAAATGTGCCCCGCCATATTGACGCGGAGTGGTAATTCGGGGACTACTCATCGAGTCTTTGGCTTTTGTGGCCAGCCTGCAGTTGGGAAAGGAATGAATGAAAATGTGGAAGTCGACGAGAAGGTTGGGCTGCGAAAGACGCCGCGGCCACATCACCTGCATGTCTCACGCCGCTTTAAACCAACGCAGCGTCGTGCATCTATGTACCTCGTCCTACTCGTCTTTACCTTACTGGCAGTCCCAGCTTCGTTTCAAATTCATAGGCATATATTAAGTCGGTATAGAAGACATGGCTCTACGATTCTCCAGGACCCTGTTACCACACTTTCCTCCTCGAGACCCATCATCAACCGTCCTCCTGTGACAACCAAATGGAGCACGGCTATGTTCCGAGGCAAGCATGGCAGGTCCGGCATCATCGGCGGGAATTGGATGGCCTGTGTAACTTTTGAGGTATTTTGCAGCTCCCGTGAACGGGTCTCGAACAGTTTACCGTGCTTGTCCGAGCCGCACCACATCGTCCTTCGACGATTGCGCGCAACGAAACTGAATGTGGCCGTTTCCCGATGTAGAAATATCAAGACAAATCAGGTATAGCTTCAAAGAGGAAAAGATGAATACGGCCGTGCCGGACTATGGCGATCACTTCAGCATGCCAGATATGATCTCCCTTATAGGGAAAATATCAGCCCAGAAAGGAAATCGATGTATAGGAGCAACTGGAGCGCCATCCGTTCGCTGGCTCGAGAATGACAAATTGGAGATCGTCCTTGAGAGCTTCTCGGCGATTGTCAACCCCCGGTTTTGTCACGCCCATTGTCTCGCTGGGCAATATAAGTGTGCAACTTCTTCGTCACCAGACGACAAACCCCAAACTTGGACTCAGTATTCTGCTCTCCAAATCGCCTTTGCAAAAAGAATATATGCTGGCGTCGAACCCTGTAGCACGCTTGACAGCTATCCACAAGCAAATAATCATGTCTACCCAACAAGGCACTGACAAGTCCAAACCCTACATTCCTCTCGCCGGCGGTGCAGATGATGGTTGGTCCAGAGAGACAGAAGCGACAGCAACCTGCTTCTGTGGCGCCATACAGCTGAAATTCCCCATCGAGAAGCCTGGTCTGGTCGGGAGTTTCATCTGCAACTGCACCGACTGCCGCAAGATCACCGCGTCCATGTTCGCCTCAAATTTCATCGTCGCCGAACGTGACGTGACGCATCTGCGTGGCAAGGACAACCTGAACTCCTTCAGCCAATCCAAAACTATTGCGACGGGGAACACCATGACCAACTATTTCTGTTCCACCTGTGGCACGCTCATGTATCGCATTACCTCCGCCCGCCCAGACATGCTCGTCTTGCGTATCGGCACAGTGGATGACTTTCACCTGCACGAGACGAAGCTGAAGCCCCAAGTGGAGCAATTTGTCAAAGATCGGGTGGGTTGGTTGAGTGGTGCGAAGGGAATTAAGCAGGTTGAGGGATCCGCTTTCTAGCGAAGATGTTTGCTCAAGGCTGAAGGCGAAAGTTGGGCTGGAGACACTATTGGTCTTTTCCAACTGCTCCCGTTGTTGGAGCCTAGTGTTATGGCACTGGGTTCAGATGAATGGTTCGATCGAAAACAAGTACACGAGCCATGCATAAATACAGTAGCCTGGTGTACATAGAAACAAGTCGATCTGCCAAAAGCAACCGGAGTCTGGCTGCTTATGGGGCCTCCAGAACCGTCGCCACCGTATCCAAAGAATGCTGTCCCAAACGACGGAGATCGTCTCTTTCGTGCTCGTATATTCGATAATCACCGCCTAAACAAGGTTCCAGTAACGACCGTGCTCGTGTTCGTTGTCCTGGCTGTGGCCATGTCTGCAGACTCTTGTCCCAGTTGGCCATTGCCGCCTTCAGTGTCGCCCGAATAGCAATCAGGGTTTCTTGCACGTCATTGATCCGAAAACCAGACTTCCCAAGATCGTTTTTGGGGTTTACGGGGTCTTGAAGCGTCATGAGGTATTCCAGCCCGTCGCGAGACCACTTTCGACCTTGGAAGGTCGGAGGACGCGAATCGGAGCGTTCCTGATCAGCTATCTGCGACCGCGCCGGGATTCTCTGCGCCTCATCATTGTGATCGCGGGTGCGCACGGCACTCTTTGAGAACAACTCGAGAGGTTCCGTAGAAATGCCATATGTAGAGAAGTCGATATCAGAGTAGAAATCCAGAAAGAAAAGGAACTGATTGCCTATATCCGCACGATGGAACTTGCCCTCGGAGAATTTCAAGGCTGCAACGATCATCTGAAATAGTGGATAGGATGTGATCCCTCCGCTGCTGCCAACAGTGAGCCCGCGCATCTGTAAAAGTTGTTTGAGGACCTTGAAAAGACCTCTCAGAGAAGGATATTCCTTCAAGGCGGCTTTCACGTATTCGCGGCTGTCATATGTTCGGGGTGTGGACTGGATCTGAATCGGGAGCCCCGATGCCTTGTGCTGACAGAGGAGAATGGGCACACGAGCCTGCTTGAGATAAAGCTGGACCTCGATGGGGCGAAAGTGGAAGAGATTGGCTGTTTTCGGGGGCCAACGAAACGTCTTGTAGAGCTTGTTCAGCACGGTGGCAGATGACACTTCCGCGGGCCTTGTCAGCGAGCCTGATTGCCCTGAGCTGGAGATATTGACATCCAGGTCCGACAGAGGATCTGCCAGATCGGTCGCACGAGACCCGATGATATCGACGTGGAAGTCTCCTGCAATTTCCTTGACACATTCAACAAGATCATGGAAAGCGTCGTCTGCAGCGCGCTGCTCTTCCTTGGACGGGGAAGTGTACTTTTCGAAAGCGCGAATTTCATCAGAAAGTCTCTCCACCGCGGACGTGTAGAGGTTCGGCTCTCGGTCGTGCAGATGACGGAGCCACGGTAGACGATAGTGTATAGGGGGATCTTTCTCGGTATCATTGATACGCCACAGCAGATCTAGATTGCGACTCGTGCCTTTGAATGCCTTGAATGGTGTAAGTTCCACCCTTTTGAACCGAGAAGCTTCTCTTCGCGGCACCGGCGTTTTCACCTCAACAGACGGGAGTCGTCCATCGTGATCATGCAACCGCACGGATGGGCGGTCATTGTAGGTCTTTCGGACAACCGATGCACGGTTCGCTTCGCGATGGGCGCGTAGGGTATTGTGGAGACTCTTGATATCAACATTCGGTTCCGTGGTGAAGCAAGTAGAAGGATCTCGAGAAGACGTGTGAACAGAAGCAAGCCGTATCAGGGTACCGGCCAGGCTTCTCGGTCGAGGTTGTCGGGCAATGAATGAGGAACTGAGGGCAACTGAAGCATCATGACGACCACAAGCGGCACTTCGACACAGTGACTGGCAGACTGGTGGCATGCAGCATAGGAGCGACGGAGAGGGGTTGTCGTGCAGATATGGTCGACAGCAGGAAGGAAAGGTGGATATTCGGAGGACGCAGGTACCTAGGTATACGTTGTGTCTTTCTTTGGGTCAGCGTAAATGATCAGAGTTCAGTTCGGAGAGACTCGATCTCAATCATGCGATATCACTTGCGCTGCTGCCCGTGCGGCTTGAATTTTTGGTAGCAGGAAGGCGAGCATCTTGGCGGCTGCCCGATTCAAGCTCACAGCCCCACAAGCTTACCTACTCCCCCTCTTAGGCAAATCGCTGGTTGGGGCTTCGGGGGGGGACCCACGCCTAGTGAGCCTAAACTGCTGCCCATAGCCCAGGCCCTGGTGGCTCTGAAGTTCCACCCTGCTCAATCATTCCGAGCTTTTCCCTGGTCTCCCTTTACCCCCCGTCACCACCGTACTGCGTAGCTTTTTCCCAACACCCGCCGCCAACGAATGATCTGGCTGCGTGTCATTGCTGAGGATCTTCTCTAGCCGTTCTCCCACCTTCGACCTTCGCCCAGGACCAGCAGATCCAGCACACTGCCTGACCCAGCCAATCCTCTTCCATGCGGAGCCTGCACGAGCACGAACAAGACAACGCTGAGTGCCATACCTCACCTCATCCGGCATTGCAAAAGAGGAAGAGAAGAAGGTTGGGGGATGACAACTGCAATGTCTGAGACTCCTTTGACCTCATCTCATCTCTTACCACCATTGTTAAACCCACTTCCACATACCCATCCTCAGCCTCCAGCTGCGAGACATCCAGAGGCCACATAGAGATACGTGACGAAACTGCTGGAACCGGGATCGCCTTCCGAATCAACGCACGGATCCTACCTAAATCGACCCCTCCCTCCACCTTGCTCCTTCTGAACAGTGAGTGGCTTTTTCATATGCGACATCATCGCGTGAGGCTCGTCCCCGATCTCGTCAAAATTTGTGACGACGTCCACAGAGGTACTTTCCATCTCTTCCAGTCCTTACCGCATTCCCTTGTCTTCTCTATGTGCTCTTCAGGTCTCGTCGTTACTTTTACCTTGCCACACTTACCCCGCCATCATTCCTGGGCTTTGTTATCTCCATATCACTCGCTCACCGAATTACTACTGATCATCGTTAAAACTCCTTGTTCGGGTTGAGGAGGCTGATCCCGGCATTCTAGCAGTTTCTCCTTATTCCTATATGTTCTAGCCCACGCTCTCTCTGCAACCCAGCTCAGAAGTGCTACCATGGTCACCCATACAGGTTCAGCAAGCCAAGTTTCGTGTCCCGACAATGAGGCTCCAAGCCAGAAACCGGAGCTGACAAGCGACCCGGAGAAGATATCCCCAGAGCAGGAACGACCGACGACCTCTTATTTCTCTCTGCCGCAAAAGCAAGCCCCCAATGAGTCTGCAACTTCGGAATCTCCTGCGGAGGTGGCAAGGGGGGCACGGTCCGGCAGAGAGTTACTGCGCCGACTCAGTCTTGTTGACTCCAGGGGTGCTGAGGCCTTGGAGGTCGACCCTCGAACGGCTTATCCTGGTTTGCGGCTGAGTGGGAATGTCATCAGTGCTACTTTCTGCATTCCGTACCAACTTACGCATGGGGGAAATGGCGAGTGGGCGCTGTCCAACCGGCGCGGGACTTCTGCATTGTTCGACTCATTCGCCCATCTCTCGTCGGATAAGACCCCGTGGAACCACACCTTGGTCGGATGGACGGGTGAGATCCGCACACAGCAGCAAGCAAAAGCTATCAGCATATTGCAGTCCGATGCTGCTGCTGCAATCGCCGCCGCACAAGTCCCCCATCCCATCAACAAGTCGGCCGCACCGATCCCAGTGAATGGCACCAAGCCCAACACTCACGTCCCTCATCCCGATCATCTCAGAGTGCCTCGCTCAGATCGGAATCGCCTGGAGAAGATCCTGGCGCAACATCCGAATGGCAAAGTCCTTCCTGTGTGGCTGCCGGAAGGCCCAGGAGACGAGGATGGCGAATTCATCTTCAAAGACCAAAGCCGGTGGCGGAAATATGCAGAGCACGAGCTCTACACTCTTTTCCACTATCGACATCACGGTCCTGACGATGGCCGAGCCGAGAAGACTTCGTGGGCGGATTACGTGCAGATGAACCAGTGCTTTGCGGATCGGATTTTACACATCTACCAGCCCGGAGATATTGTTTGGATCCATGACTATCACTTAATGTTGCTACCGAGTATGTTACGCCAACGAATCCCCAACATCTACATTGGCTTTTTCCTGCATATCCCGTTCCCTAGCAGCGAATACATGCGGTGTCTGCCTCGAAGAAAGGACATCCTGACTGGCGCCCTCGGTGCGACGATGATCGGTTTTCAATCGTACAGCTTCTCCCGACATTTTAACTCGTGCTGCAAACGCATCCTAGGTTTCGAGTCCAGTTCAGCAGGCGTGGACGCATACGGCGCACACGTTGCCGTGGACGTATTTCCCATTGGCATCGACGTGGCAGCGGTGCAGAGAACGGCTTTTGGCGACCCGGTAATAGAACAAAACATGAGAGCCTTGAAGAAGATGTACGCCGGCAAGAAGATTGTGGTCGGCCGCGATAGACTCGATACCGTCCGAGGAGTGTCGCAAAAGCTGATGGCATTCGAGATCTTCTTGGAAAGATACCCGGAATGGCGCGACAAAGTGGTTCTCATTCAGGTGACCAGTCCTACCAGCGTGATGGAAGACAGGGTGGACGGAGCTCACAAGATCGAACACAAGATTTCCAACCTGGTCTCGAGGATCAATGGCGAATACGGGTCGTTGAGTCATTCCCCGGTGCAGCATTATCCACAATATCTCTCGTCGCAGGAATACTTTGCTCTGCTCCGGATCGCCGACGTTGGTCTTATCACTAGTGTTAGAGACGGTATGAACACGACCAGCCTGGAATACGTCATCTGTCAGAAGAACAACCACGGCCCCTTGATCCTGTCAGAGTTTTCCGGGACCGCCGCCAGTTTGAGCAACGCCATCCACATCAATCCGTGGGACCTGGGCGGTGTGGCCGACGCACTCAAACAGGCCCTTGAGATGCCCGAAGCTCAAAAGAAGAGCAACCACGACAAACTGTACAACTACGTGACGACCCACAATGTCGCGACATGGTCGAACAGCTTTCTGAAACGGTTGCTTACCAACCTCACCTCGTTTACTCAAAGCGATCTGACGCCGGCCCTGGACCGCAACCGGATGATCCAGCAATACCATGCTGCAAAGAAACGACTTTTCATGTTCGACTACGACGGCACACTCACGCCAATCGTGAAAGACCCCAATGCCGCCATCCCGTCGGACCGAGTCATACGTACCCTTAAAGCTCTTGCCGCCGACCCACGCAACCATGTCTGGATTATCAGTGGCCGCGACGCCTCCTTCCTCGAGGAATGGATGGGTCATATCACCGAGCTCGGCTTGAGTGCCGAACACGGCTGCTTCCTGCGGCGGCCTGGTTCAGAGACCTGGGAGAACCTTGCGGCGGCCATGGACATGGGCTGGCAGAAGGAAGTCATGGACGTCTTCTCTTACTATACAGAACGCACTCAGGGATCATGGATCGAGAAGAAACGGGTGGCGCTGACATGGCACTATCGGCAAGCTGACCCTGATTTCGGCGCCTTCCAGGCACGGGAGTGTCGCAAAGCCTTGGAGGAGAATGTCATGAAGCACTGGGATGTTGAAGTTATGAGCGGAAAGGCCAACCTGGAGGTGAGACCGCAGTTTGTGAACAAGGGCTTCATCGCCACAAGGTTGATTAACGAGTATGGATATGCGAGGGGTGAACCACCAGAGTTTGTGTTGTGCTTGGGAGATGATCAGACTGACGAGGGTGAGTTTATTGCCAGATTGGGCCCCAAGATGCCCCTGCGCGCATACAGCATACAGACTCACTGACCATGATGTCGTTCAGATATGTTCCGCGCCCTCCTTAAGACGGATTTGCCCAAAGAAACCGTGTTTGCGTGTACCGTGGGCGCCAGCAGCAAACGCACCCTAGCGACGTGGCACCTGCTTGAGCCGAGCGATGTCATTGCGACAATTGCGGCCCTGAACAAGGCGGAGAACTTGTAGGCTTCAACACACGCGGTGTGAAGAGGTGGCGAATTACCACGACAGATACGCCACCAGCAATGCTGGTAGGTTATTGTGATGACCGGCATGCCTTGTTGACCCGGAGATGCAAAGGCCAAGACAACGAATTTCATTGGAAAAAGAGTGTTGGATCAGGCAATGGATAGCATTCAGGACAAAGAAAGAACACAGCACAGAAACAAACAGGTTACGGTGCTAGACCTTGCTGGTGGGCGACTCAGGATTCATAGACCTAGCTCTTCAAGCTGATTTCACGATTGATGGTCCCATGGTTTCGCCCCCGTCTAGGACTGTTCTTTTTTTTTGGTCTTGGGAGTGAGCTGTGGCAGTCCGTAGGTGAGTTGGAAGAGCTTTTGTAGACGGTGGGCCTGTTGTGCTACACGTGAAGGAGGACGCCGGGCGCAGTGATTGTTTTCAAGAGGAAACAGCCTGTTTTTCATGCTTGGGCTTCGTCGGTTCGCCCTCATCCAAAAGCGGAATCAGGGTAGCAGAGAGTCGAACGAAATCAGAAAAAGGTCATTAGGTGAAGACTCCAATTGTGTATACACAGTACAGTAGGTGAGCAGTTAGAAAGAAGTCAGACAGTGGCCACGATCATCCTCCCCGGAGCACAACCCCAAAGAGGCAGGTTTGGCTGCGTTCTCCATGTTTCCTCAGGTGGCTGACTCGCTCTTCTCTCCATGCAAATCACCCACCATTGGGCTAGTGACCATCCTGTCCTACCAAATCGAGGTCTTGGTGTGCCCCTGTGAAGCCTAGCTTTTCATCCTGTCCCCTGAACGCTCACCGGATATGTCTCTCGGCACTGGCCTTGTGCGGGGGAATCTGAAGGTGCGTTATCAGCTACGGCTTTCCTCCTTCTCATGCCTATTCTTGATGCTGAAAATATCAGTCAATCCGAGCAGCCTCTCGCGTGCCATCCCTCGTTAATATCTCGGTCATGTTTCCCACCAGCGGAGCCTGCCTCAAGGGCACCCAACAACCCTGAAAATCAGGTGCTTGTCTAATATCGGGGGAGAAATCATGGGAGAAGCTGTTGAGTTGGAACAGGGCCTGAGGACTCGGACGGATCTTGAAGCTGAGAAGGATCATGTCGAGATCAACACGTCGGCCGGCGACATCCATCTGACGACCTCGAACCTGCAAAAGTCGACAGGTATCCTTGCAAAGACGCTTTCCCGAGTCCGCACGCCCGAAATTGCCGATCCAGGACCACCTCCGGATGGAGGCTTCACGGCCTGGTCGACGGCCATCGCTACCCATCTGATCATATTCAATACCTGGGGCTTTATCAACAGCTTCGGGCTGTTCCAGACCTACTACGTCGAAGTCATGAGGATCGGGGATCCAAGTGCGGTGGCTTGGATTGGGACCACGCAAGTGTTTGTCCTCTTTGGTATGGGGACCTTCACGGGGAGGGCGCTCGACGCAGGCTTCTTCACCATCCAGTACATCTGCGGCAGCGTCGTCTACGTTCTAGGCTTGTTTTTGCTCAGTCTGTGTCGCAACTACTGGCAGATCTTCCTGGCCCAGACGCTCTGCGTGGGGTTTGGATATGGATTGGCATTCGTTCCCACCCTGGCCCTGATGAGCACTTACTTCGCCCGCAAAAGGTCCACGGCTCTGGGACTCGCCGTGGCCGGTTCAGCGACGGGCGGTCTCGTGTTTCCGGCCATCGCCGAAAAGATGTTGCCCACAGCTGGGTTTCCCTGGACCGTTCGGACCATGGCATTCGTGCAGCTTCTGCTGGCCGTGGTGGCGTTTATGTTTCTGAAGCCACGCCTGCCACCGCGAAAGTCCGGGCCGATCGTGGAGTGGTCTGCCTTCAAGGAGGCACCATACACCCTCTACATCCTGGCCTCATTTCTGTATTTTTGGTCCGTCTACGTGGGCTTCTTCTTCGTAGGCACCTTTGGCAGAGACGTCCTTGGGGCCAGTCAAGCCACGAGCATCAACTTGTTGTTGGTCATGAACGGCGTGGGGGTGCCTTCTCGGCTGGTTCCGACATATATCGCTCAGCGATGGGTCGGTGCGTTGAATCTGATGATTCCTCTGGTCATTTCGGCGGGCATCATTCTCTACTGTTGGGTTGCGGTGGACTCGGCGACGGGGTTGTGGATCTTCGCGGTGGCATATGGCATCGTCGCGGCGGGGATTCAGGCGTTGTTTCCTGTGGTGCTCACCAGCTTGACAAAAGACCCGAAGAAGATCGGTGTTCGTACGGGCATGGGGTTTAGTGTCGCGGTAAGTCGAGTTTTGCACCTTCACAAGCACTGTTTCTGACCCAAGGGGTGTTCCAGGGCCTTGCGGTGTTGACAGGGCCCCCCATAGCGGGAGCACTGATACAAGGCGAGGACGGGAGTTTTCTTGGGTTGCAGCTGTTCTCGGCGACGAGTATGATGGCGGCGGCAGTGGTCCTGCTGTGTGTGAGATGGGTCACGGTCGGATGGAGGTGGGAGAAGCTGTGAGAAAGGCTTCCCTAGATTGCGGATGGATCTCACGTCTGAGAGCACCCTGACATAGCACCCCCGAGGCGCTATCGACAAGAGTATCAATCTCATTAGCCAGTCGGATGCCGGTGGACTGTAGTTGAGTACTTGGCTGGGTCTTGTTCAGGGAGCGCCAGCCTTGTAATATCGCCACGACAGACAGAGCGATAGAGCGTGGGAATCGCCGCTGATTGGTGGGATCGTTGCTCGGGGGCTCCAGTGACAACTCAGCGGCATCTTTTTTGCGTGCAATGCCTGTCGCCCTCTCTCTGTCTCTCTCTCTCTCTCTCTCTCTCTCTCTCTCTTCTCTCTGCTTGTTGTTCCCTTCCAACAAAGTGACTTTTCCTCTTCCCTCTCTGTCCCTCACACACACTGTCTCAGGAGGTTTTTGTGGCTGCAGTTCCTCTTTCCTGAAAAACACAAGTCGTAGGTTGAACCGAAGCCCCCCACTCCTTCTTTGCCTCTCTCATTTCCCCCGCGTTTGGGCACAAAGAAATCCTTCTTGTTGGTTGTAACCTCGAAAAGGCCACCGCCCTTTGTTCCCCGTCACATGCCCTCATTTTCTACTTCCTGTGCCCAGACTGACTGAGCATTTTGCTGACCGCACAGTCAAGGGACAGTCAAGCTCCTCTGTTGACCAACACGGCCGTCCACCACACATTTGCTGCCTGTATACGCCCACCCTTTTGCACTGTTCACCATGGCTCCACGAGGACGAGGAGGGAAATTCTCCAAGCCGACCAGAGGAGGTACGTACACTACTGATCTCGATCCAAATTCACACACCCTCCCAGTCGCTCAGTTGACTGACTTGGGAAAAAAACGCAGGTGGCAAGCATTTCTCCCGTGACCTGCAGCCCCTGGACAAAGAGGGCAATCAGATGGGCATGTGGCGCGAACCAGGAGAAGGCGACGAAGAAGAATCCTCAGAGGAGGAAGAATCCTCGGAAGAAGAGTCCTCGTCAGACGACGGCGAGGGCGCGTCCTCGTCCACCGCGCAGCCCCCGCCCGGCGGTGAGCTGACCCGCGAGCAACGCAAGGAGCTGGCACGCAAGAAGAAGCAGGAAGCTATCGCCAAGAAGAGCCAGAAGACGGCGGCGGTGGGGGACCTGCCCAGCAGTGAATCTGAAGACGAGGACGAAGAGGAAGACGAGGATGATATGCCGGCGAACCCCAACCACACGCAAAAGGCCCGGTCGCAGGCCCGCGCGGTGACGGGTCCCAGCGGCGAAACACCCAAGAAGCCCGAGAAGGAGAACCTCAGCCGGCGGGAACGCGAGGCCATCGCGGCCCAGCAAGCCCGGGAGCGATACCAGAAGCTGCACGCCGAGGGCAAGACCGACGAGGCCAAGGCCGACCTGGCGCGGCTGAAGCTGATCCGCGAGCAGCGCGAGGCCGCCGCGGCACGGAAACAGGCCGAGAAGGAGGAGAAGGATGCCCGCGACAAGGAGAAGAACGACCGCGAGGCGAAGCTGCGAGAGGCGGCGCTGGGCACTGCGGCGGGCGGGGCGAAGCCGGTCAAGAAGGGCAAGAAATGAGGAGATCAAAGCCAGAAATCTTGCGTCTCCCCCACACGACACTCCTTCAGCCTCCCCCGAACCCACGACGACGACGACGACGAGGACGGCTGTACAGATTCTCGTTCGGGAGACACGTGCATCAATGTCGAATGGAGGGCTAGTGCCACATGCCACCACACCGGCACTAGCTGCCTCATCGGGGAGTGCCAGGGGTTTCACCATGCAGCACAGGGCAGGACAGGGCAGGACAAGACAGGGTACGTGGTGCGAGGGAGTTTGCTAAAGGGGGGGTTGACTGGCTGACTGGCTGACTGGCATGCTGCGTGATCCATCGGGTTCACCATCTCGAGGCCTCTCCTCTCCTCGTCTCCTATGTTACATGTCTCTTTTTATCTTTCTTTCTACTTCTTCTTCTTCTTCTGGCATTCTTACATCAGCATCAGCGCAAGGCGGGCGGGCGGCAAAGGAAGGCAGTGGACCAGCATAGAGCCGGGATGATAAGATGTGTACCTCTGATGACGATGGCGGCAGGGAGGCAGTGAGACAGAGAGACAGACAAGACAGACAAGACAGACAAAGACAGAAACGACATTGACAGACGTTATGATTTCCAGAGTATACACGCCGATACATACATAGCTAGCTAGCCAGTTCAACACACACACACCCACACACACACACACACACAAGCAAGCAGAGCAGAGCAGTGCAGTGCACAGCCAGGAGATGAAGAACTCCTCTCTTCCGCCACTCATTTCAAGTCCTTCATTGATATGAGCGTGTCACAGGTAAGTCAGGTGGGTAGGTGTCTTGTCCAGATGTGAGAGTGATGTTTTGATCGCAGAGGTCCTTGATTGCGCTTGAGCCAAACAAACGCCATGCCATGTAATTGATTACCATCCATTCAATGGTCCCATTCCATCCATCCATCCATCCGTTTCAATCACCAATCCACAACCAGAGCAGATGTCGAGATCCTCCCTCCATCAGTGTCATCGATACCATCGGTGTCATCGGTATCCCATCGCCCCACCACCACTACTAGGGCCGTTGCTCGCGTACCACTCCGGAAACAGGTCGCGGGACGAGTACATGCTGGCTCTGAGCTTGAACTCGTTACCGCTACTCAGGTCGAGGTGCGTGTAGGCGTCGCATTTGTAGTAGATGGTCTTGAGCCCACGTGGCGACGACGACGACGACGACGACGACGGAAGGCGGCCCTTGTTGTTGTTGCTGTTGTCGTCGTTCGGTTTCTTCGTCTCGTCGACGTCGACGTCGAGCAGCCCTAGATCTTTCAGGCCGAGTAGCACGCGCTTGACGTCCGCTTGGTCGGAGAAGTCGGGCGTGTAGATGCAGATCAGCCGGAGGCCGCTGTCTTTCATTGCACCACCGCCGCCGCCGGCGCCGCCGCCATCGTCACGGTCAACCACCGTCTCTCCCCCTCCCCTCGCGGTGGCCACTTTGGCCGCCGTGCCCAACGTCCCTTCCCACACCGCGCGCGCCACGACCGCCCACACGGCGTCGACTTGATCTTCTCGGGGGAAGAGCATCCACTTGCCCGCCGTGACGCGCTGGGCCGCGGCGAGTTCCTTGACGTCGGACTCCAACTTGATGCGGTCGGGCCGGAGCATGCGCGTGATCGTCCCCGCGGGTTTCCCCGGGTGCTGGGCCTCGACGGCGTCCTTGCGCGAGCGGTATCGCTCCAGCAGCCGCGTGCCGAGTTGGCGGAACGTGGCGACGTCGCCGGCGCCGAATTCTGGGTCGGAGCTCGTGCGTCGGCCAGGATCAGGATTGGCAATCCAGATCCACGGGCCTCCCGCGGCGACCGACGTGGTGGTCGACGGCGGGAGACGGGCGAGGAAGTCGGCGACAGACTCGGAGAGTTGTTTCGCCGAGGAGACTCCCTCGTAGTAGTTCTGGGGCTTTCGGGCGTCGTCCTCGGGGTCAGGTTCTTGAGGGATTGCAGAGCCGTTATCGGCTTTGATGATGTCTGTGTCGTCGACACTCATCTCCATGTCCCTCTTTCCATCTCCATCTTTATCAAACACCCCACGAATCTCTCCTTCCGTCTGCTGCTGGTGGTGGGCACCTGTATCGCCATCGCCCGTGGTCGACTGAGCTTGCTGATTCTTCTTCAAGGCCACCTTCGAGCGCTGCCTGGCCGCCGCCTCGAGCCTGGCCTTCCTCCCCCGCGCGGCCGCCACCTGGGTGTTCCACTCATGGACGGCCCAGTATTTCTCGGGATCGTACGCCGCCGCCAGCTGGCGGTACGTCGACGTGGTTTTCAAGCTCCCTGCATGATGAAGGTGGCCCGGCACAGGGCGCGAGATCAGATTCGACTGACTGACTGACTGACAAACAAAGCCTCGTGTCCCCGCGCGGCAAAGATTCACAACGTGTGTATGTAGATGGAGGGTAGACCGAGGGAGGGAGTTACTTACCGTGGAAATCTGATTCATCACTGAACACATCCTCGCCGTCCTCATGATCAAGATCAAGATCACGATCACGATCCGTGATGGATGTATAAGGGCCTGCCATCACCGGGCCGGAAGCTTCAGAGGCAGTGCTGGATAGAGACGAAGGTGGCATGGTTCTTTCTTTCTTTTTCTCTCATTCATTCATTCAACGTGCGAGGCGGTCGACACAGATAATATGTAATGCACGCACACATAAAAGCCACCACCAGACGATCTTTAAAAGCGTGGGATCAAACGACAATCGAATAATACGCCGAGACGGTTTTACAGTAAAACGAAACAAACAAACACCAACACGCTGGAAGACGCGACAGAAAATAATACACGAGAGTAAAGGCAGCAGCAGCATCAGAAGACGAAGAGGAGGAGGAGTCGGTCACGGTCACGGCCCCAATTGAGGCTGGTGAACGATTAATTAATTAATTAATTAATTAACACGGCTGAAACGCACTTTCGCTAATGCTAATACAAAGACGGCAGTCCATCTGGACAGGACGGCGAGGAGGTTCTGGACCATCAAGATCATCACATCAATCTCAGATGACTTCGGCCATCGCCCTGAGAGAATCGAGCGATGCCATCTCCAACTTGAGGGCGTGTTCGTGTTCGTGCTCATCCATGCGTCCGGCCAGGTCGGCGTCGCTGTCCATCGCCTTCATGTTTTCCACCACCCTCAGGAAGCTCTCCACGATCCCGGCATAGACAATGCCGGCGGCCCCCTTCAGCGCCTTCAGAATGTCGTGGTTGGAGGGAGTATGCCTCGCCGTGGTGGCCACGCCGCCACGACGGTGGTCCTCGTTCAGACCTGAGAGAAGCAGCTGATGTCGCAGTTCCAGAAGGTCGTCGCCGCCCATTTCTTGGTCGACCGAGGGGAGGCTCAGGCTCTGCCGCTCTCTCAAACTGCCCCGACTCTGTCTGCTGATCGAGGTGGAGGATGATCTCGGCGTCGGTGTGAGCGTGGTGGACGAGGATGAGTATGACAGATTGGGACTCCTCTTAGAGGCGGCACTCAAGAGGCCGACTGCACGCGGCACGTCCCTCGACCCATTCCGCAGAATGTCTGGCAGGCTGGTCCACAGTCCGATCTCAAGCAGAACACAGCCCACGCTGAAGATGTCGAAGCTCTTGCGATATGAGACCCGGGAGCTCCCCATCGACAGGGGATGGCGATAAAGGTCGTTTTCCAAGTCTGATTCTGTCGGCTCGGTCAGTTCGTTGGGGCTGTCTTCTCTTGCATAGACATAGCCGGCCACGTATATCGGAGAGGGCAGGATCTCTTCCTCGGACGCGTCGTCCAACTCAGGACCTCGGATGAAGAGGATGTTGTTGGATCGGAATTCCTTGTGCAGCCAGTCGGCCGTGTGAATCTGCAGCAGGGTCTCCAAGAGCGTGATGGCGTACGAGAGTCGCTGGTTGAGTGACGGGGTCTCCATGGGCCGTTCGAGCATGTCTCGCAGCGTGTGCATGCTCGGCAACGGTGGCAGGTCCATGTGTCTCTTCACCGGGCTCTTCTGCACCGCCGGGGGGTAGACGCTGAAGGGCAGATCGAAGACGTAGGCATATCGGTTCTTCGAAGCCCAGTCCTTGATGTAGCCCCGGCACGGCAAACTGTGGAAGGACGAGTCCAGTTCGTGCAAAAAGGCAGAAACCCGGTCGACGCGGTTTTCGAGGAGCGGCAGCTTGATGCCTCCGCCGCCGCTTTTCCACTCGAGGAGCACCGGCTCACGCGCATACCACGCAAAGTACCGAGTGCCCTCCACCTGCAACGACGGGACGACCAGCTCCTTTGAGTTCAGCCTCATCGACTTCGACGACGACGCGGCCGAGAGGCTGGAGGGAGAAGAGAGCGAGTCTCTGTTGCCGGCGGTCCTCCACGACTCTGGCCGTTGGGGGACCGAGTGACCGTCCACACCTGTCTCCGTGACCCCCAGCAGGAGACCCTGTCGTTTCAAGCGCGCGGCTGCGGAAACAGCCCCCTTGGAGAAGGAGTGGTTGCGATCGTGCCCGATGACACCCAGCTCCCGCTCGTTGGCGGTCTTGACCACGGTCGTCCGCAGGAACACGTCAAAGGCCTGTTCCATCTTGACCTGCCGTTCGTGGTCCAGGTACTGCTGCAACTGGCCGACGAGGAACGTGACATCCTCCATCAACCGGCGCACGTTCTTCTCGTCAAAGGCGATCCACGTCCACTTCCGCCACTTTGTCTTGTGTCGAAACAACGCGGCCAGGCTCTTTCGTTGTGGCGAAGGGAGCCGGGCCCCGACCGAACCGCCCTCGTCGAGGCTGAGGATCTCTGATTCTTCGCGGAGATCCAGGTTGTATCGTCTCCGCAGCCCGTCCACGTCCAGCAGCAGACTCTGCAACTGCTCCAAGATCTTGGGGACGTACGGGGCGTCGCGGGCGTTCACGCGCAGGTCGCGCGGAGTCTCAAACAGACCGACCTCTTCGGCCCAGGTTAGTAACTTGTGCAGCTCCAGCTCGATCATCAGGCTCACGACCGCCACGTCACGGTCGTGGCTCCGCGCCCGACGCAGCAGGGTGAATCCTTTGATACAGCCTTGCAGGCAGGCGAAGGACAGGGTCAACAGGCCTGCAATGCCCGCGGCCGTATCGAGCCCGTTCATGGCGAACTACCATGACACTGCATCGCTCGACCTCGACCGTGTCCACTAATACTAGGCTGAGGGTCGTGGATAGCAAAAGGAGATATTGTGGTCAATCAGTTGGTCAAAGGTGGCTGGCTGGTGGCTTGTGGTCTTGATATATTGCTCCGGAATCAATCACCTCATGATTACCGAGGACTCTCTTTGACTCTGTTGGATGATGGGCTGTGTACGGAGTATGCTGTGTTAGGATGTCTCCCTGATTACTAGAGAGGGTGCTCGGGAGACTTGGTAAGAGCAATCCCATAAGGAGTCCTTGTAGCGATATATACATGTTAGCCCTTGAGGGTCTCTGCACATGGGATGTGTAGGCAGCTGAGCCCCGGGGGTCCAGGCTCAGTAGGGGCTACTAATAGGCTCAAGGGCTCGCCTAAGTTTACAAGCGTAAAAGGGCGCAAGCTGGAAAAAGTCTTGGGGGCCCTTCAGGGGAGCAATAAGGGCCAGTGAGGCGTCAGGGGCGCCTGAACCCACCAGTTAGTTAGTTGGCTGACTGAGTAAGTAGTCTTCCTCTTCCTCTACGTCCCCTCCTCCCACCTGTATCCTGTATCCTGTATCCCTCCCTCCCTACCAGATAGCCAGCCAGCTAGCCGACCACTCTTGCCAACGCATAGCATGCGGGCGGCCCTGGAATTCGTCGGTCTCGCTGCCGCCACTCATCTAGGCTCTCGATTCCGTCCACGAGGCGGAGGTTGGCACCGGTCCCTCAGCCTATCAACTTCTCGTTTTCTCCTACAAAATGGCTCGTGACAACAAGGCGACAAAGGCGTCAATCTGCCTTGTCAGGGGCGGTCTTCTGTAGGTAGGTTAGGAAGAAGCCTCAGCCTCACCAGTTGTCAACATGTGCCATCACCTCACCCTCCCCCTGGGGACTCGCTAACCTGATCGCAGTGGAGCTTTCACCATGCAGTGTTCTGTCGCCCTGAAGAATTCCTCGCTCTAGTCATTGGTTGAGGGGCCCGGGCCTTTCTTCGCACGCCCTGCCTGTTATCAAAGTGGAAAATTGGCGCCCTTCCACCCCCCCGGTTCTGGCCATATCCCTTCCCTGACCATGCCGCGATCGGGAGCGATGGCCCCGCGGCTTATATCGGTCATCGGGTGTCTCCATGTCGATCATATCATGGTCACCGATCGGATCCCAGACCGTGGAGAAAGTCACAAGGCGAAACAATATCACGAGGCGCTGGGTGGGAAAGGAGCCAATTCGGCCATCGCCGCCTATCGAAGCTGCCATATCCGGCCCCCGGATGGAAAGTTAGCCTCACCCGACGAGCGCATCGACGACTCCAACGAGAATGAGATTGAAGTATGTATGGTGGGCGCCGTGGGAGACGACAAGTATGCGCAAATGTTCGAGGACGTCTTGCAGGACAATGGAGTCGACGTGTCGCGGCTGCAGAAGGTGGATGGCATGACGGGAGTGAGTTTCGTCCTGGTCGAAATCGCCAGTGGTGAGAATCGCTGCACCTTTGCCAACAATGCCAATGATGCGTTGACTGCCGACCACTTCACCCGCCTCGAGAATCTTGCCAATGGAAGGTCGCCGGATCTGGTCATCGCACAGATGGAGATTGATCGCAAGGTGGTGGAGCAGATGATCGCCACGGCCGGTGCCGCGGGCATCGAGTTCCTGCTCAACGCCGCCCCGGCAAACTACATTCTAAGCAAGTTCTACCCGCTTATCACACACCTGCTGTTGAACGAAACAGAGGCCGCCGAAATGTCGGGCCGAGAGGTCGAAGAGGTCAATCCGGACACGTGGCAAGAGATTGTCGAGGACTTCCTGGCAAAAGGGGCGAAGAACGTGGTGCTCACGTTGGGAGCTCGCGGCGCTTTCTTTGGCAGGGCAGGGGAGTTTGGCCACGTCCCGGCTTATAATGTCAAGGTCCTGGATTGCACGGGGGCAGGGTAAGTCTCCAGCGTGTTGGGGACGACGACGATGACGATCGGCGAGCACTGACAGCAGCCTCAGGGACACATTCACCGGCGCCTACGCGACGGATTATCTGCGACAGAAGCAAATGGGGCAATGGGACATCAGGCAGGCAGTCACCCATGCTTGTAAAGCCGCGGCATTGACCATCACACGCATTGGGGCCCAAGCAGGGATTCCGTGGATGGATGAAATAGACAGCTTCGAGGCGAAGGAATTGTCTCCGGCAGGAGTCGATGCTGCTTCTCGATCGGCCACGAGTGCGTCAGAAGAATTGTGATCATACCACCCATAGTCATCCCGAGATGTGGGCCACCCGGCGAGACGAGCCAGGAAAAAACACCCCCGTATGCTCCTGCGATCATGTACAGCTAATGCAGAACAATGCATCTCCCTCCTTCCGGAAGTTTTTCTTGACCACACGTGCCTCCGGTCTCTGTAAAGGTTCTGAGGCCAACATGCTCTAACAGTGTCCCGCAACTCAAGTCAGCGATTTGGTCATGGTGCTCTGTGCAAGAAAACAACATACCAGCGTCTGCTCCAGCAAAAGAGCCCGGACTTCGGGAGGCCCAACCTCCTTCGGCAGCTCCTCAAGCCAGGTACGAACTGCCGCGAGGTTCGTCCGAAAAGCATATCCATTGTCGACATGAGGGAGATAGCGTGCATCACGGTACTCTTGCAGCGTTTTGTTCTGCCTCACCGTGAGCATTTCGCTGAAAACACATCCCAGCGCAAAGACGTCGGCCGCCCGTCCTCGCTCCTGTCGTGGCTCCGGCGGCCAGTACACTGGGGTGCCAGCAATATATTCATCTGTCGAGGTGCTGCCCTCCATCTGGGAGATGTCTTTCGCACTCCCGAAATCGGCCAGGTAGGGCTGATAATCCCGGATGAGGATATTGGAAGGTTTGATGTCCTCATGTTTGACTCGTTGCAGATGTGCAAACGTCAAAGCCGAGGTCAGGCAACCAAACCATTGGTCGAGGTGCCCGGTCTCGGTCCGGGGAAAGCCAGCACAATTCACCTCCAAGAAATGTCGCAGGTCGTAGTCGCCGACGGGCAGCATGATGATGGAAAAGGTGGTTTCGTCCCTCACGTAGAAAAGCACCGGGGCGATGTGATTGTGACGCAGCTTGTGCATGATGGCGACCTCGTTCTTGACCTGCTGTTCAAGAATGTTCCTGGCGCGATGGTTGTTTTCGACCCTGATGGTTTTCTGAGCATAGATGCTGTTCGTCGACACCTCGCGGACCTTGGAGACTTGGCCATGGGTGCCCATGCCCAACGGTTCAAGCCACTGAAACCGTGCGCTTGTGGTCAACCCAGGAGGCAGGAGGTCGTGGCCCTGGTGTGCCAATTGAGGCAAAGACCCCGTTCCTTCTTCCTCTCCAATCTGTCTCACGATCTCTCTCCATTCTTCCAGTGACGTTTCAAAAAGCTCCGCTGCAGTCTCGACCTGAGAATGAAAGGTTTCGAAGGTAAGCCCTATCGTTGTCAGTCCGGGACCTCTTCAAATTCCGGGTGTGCAGTGAGGCTCACCAGGGGGGTGTGAAGCGAAGTGACTGAGCATGACGCTGTAGCACTCAATGTATTGCCTGAACACGGCCTGAAGAGGTTCTTGTACACGAGGACGGGTAGGAAATTGCGGTAGCTGCGGTCCGAATGGTTTGAGGGCTTGGTTGAGCAGGTTCAGCTTGTCGAAGAAGTCTTTGAGGGACAACCCGGCGTCCAGGGCAGCCTGGGAAGATTAGCCATGGCTGCACAGGGCAGAATAGCGTCCTGCAGAACCCGACCTGGATGGTGACAAAAGCAAGTTGCCAGAACAAATCACTCAGAGTGTCTGGCGGCTGGAGATTTTGGGCTTCGTCTATGCTGTTGATAAAGCGTGTAATGGTCCCATGTTGGCGAGAAAAGAGGTGAAGGAGTCGCTGAGCGTTGGGTTCATAGTGGCTGTTACAAAGCGTCTCGAAATTGGTCCTGAACTCTTCCTCACTGGAACACGGTGTGGGTGTCTGCTGGTCGCCCAGTGCTGTTTCTTTCAAATCCGCGATGAGACTGGACCACGTGTCGAATGGGGCTTCGGATTCAGAAGACATGAGACAGCCTGGCCGTCGCAAGGGATTTGGTCATGAAGCAGGCTTGGGCAGAAAGGACGCTATGCTGTACTTCTGATTGCATCTCTTCTTTCGAGTGTGACTGGGCAGGGAGGAGAAGTGGAAGGTTGATGGCGAACGATTCCTCTAACGGCCTCATCGGGCGCAGGCACTACTTACTTACATCACAGCCGCGCTTGGGGACTGACCAGGAGGGCCTCACATGCTGAGGGCAGTGTGCCTCGAGCCGAGGGGTGGTCCGATAGGCTCCTAGCGACACCCAATGATATACCCAGTGTCGAAAATGCAGGACACAATCCTCGAATAATGGTGGCGGAATTCTGGAAAAACACAGCCATCGACCATCCATTCGTCAGTGGCTTGAGATAGGGAGGATATGGCCTTTCGCACTCCCATTGCCACGATGTGTGCGAGAAATGGTTATTGCACAGCATTGGAGGAAGCAGGACGTAGGTATTGGGAAGGACACGGCCTCGATGGGTCCAGCCGTCTCTGGCTAGGGCCGTCCCGCCCATTTGTCTGAAGTGTGGCGAGTATGCAATATGGGGTGCACGGAGTAAGAGGCATGAGGCATGTAGGCACGAAAGATGGGTCCGGGGGTTGCCAGGTGTCGGGCCGACATCAGAGGGAAGAAGCCCTACAAAAGCTCCAGTGGTTAGCTCGGTGCTTTGCCCGTGTCTCATCTCCATGCACTTCTCTTTCTCTGGGCCTCATCCCGGCAAAGTAATCCACCAATGTCAGTCTTTCGCTGACTCCAAAGGACAAGGTGTTGTTCAGTGTGACCGTATTCAGCAAAAGATCGATGGGAGTGTTTGTGCTCTCTTGTCACCGGTCCACGTCAACTGCGCCCTTTCGATGCCCAAAAAGAATTGTGCGTAGAGACACGTGACCTCGCCAGCACTTGCCGCTTTTGGCCGTCCACCTCGTCGGCGTTTCTGTCCCCCACATTTTCCTCCATTTTCCTCCACACTACATCATCGTCTCTCCATCAGATTTTTTTTTCCATGGGTGGAGGTGTAGTCCTTGAGCTTGCACGTCGCATCCCAATACGCACCACTTCGGCACAACTGACTATCTTATCACTCGTCCCATCTATCACCGCAAACTCGTTCAAAAATCTCGACCTGAGATTTGCGTCTGTAAGTGGCGAGGTATACGACCGCTATTACCATCGCCCTCGGTCGCAAACTTACCAAGTCGGGATTTGAAAAGTCATGTGGCCGATCTGACTCACGAATCCTACATCCGTACTACTTTTAGTCTTGTCGCGAGAAAACAGGTGAAGCTGTGGCCTCTTCTGACACATACGGACAACTACCATTGAGCCTCCTTTATTTTTGAGAATTAGGCACAGGGAGCAGTGTGTTAACCACAGTTCCCCATTTTGTACCTGCTGCTGCTGCTGCTGCATCGGCGACCCGACTATATATACAAAGTTTATGTCGTGAAGACTCTGTGCATCGTTTGCGAGTACAAGCCAGCAATCCACAAACCGGGTGATTATACCCCGGAGGTCAAACACCGGACACCATATCAGAGCAGCCTGCTGTACTTAGTACAATCCTTCCAGAACGTCAGCTAGGTCTGAGCCTCATTTAGCAGAATGGCCACCAAAACAGACTTCTCAACCCCCGACATACCTCAATCCACCGCCACATTCTACGTCTCAGCCTGTACACGCATCAACGCCCCTGCGAGTCTGGTCTTCCGCACCCTGCGCAACACCGAGACCTGGAAAGATTGGAATCGCTGGATCCCCCGTGTCACGATCACGTTCCAACCGGACGACGAAGACGACGCCACGCTCGCCGAGATCGAGGAGTTGGTGAGAAATACTTCCATCGCGGTGAATTTTGATTCCGACATCACCGATGGAGCAATTATGCCCGGGCCAGGGGTCGAGCACTCTGCAGCGTACAGGAGAGGAAGCGGTGCTGGTTTGAGTGCAGGCAATGGAGGTGCCAGACGCTCACGCAGCATTGAGCGGCCGAGTAGTCCACCGCCCGTGACAAGGCAAAGGCTAGCCAGCAATGCCAGCAGACTCTCGGGAGTCTCACAGACCAGCGTGGATGGGCCCTCACGGTCAAATTCAACCGCAAACACCAACGGCACGGCCGCATTGTCCGCAGCTCAAAAGTACCAAGCGGCGACCGAAGCACGTAGGGCGTCCCTCTCTCCAGGGGGCCAATCACCTCCTCCGTCCACAGACAAAATTGCAAACGCCAATTCCGTCCTGCTCGAGTCTCCTGGGAATGCTTCTCTTCTCATGCCTGCGCCCGCCAACACCCAGTCGACCGCCCTCGCAGCCAAAGCTTCGAGGCGCAAATCCGCCACCAACTCCCAGCACAGGAGACAGCTTCACATCAACGCCCTGTACGGCGAGCCCTCCGTGCGGATCCAGCTCGGCACCCGGATGATCCTGCACATGCGAATGAAGCTGCCCCACAGCAAAGAGATGAGAGAACAGGGCGTCGTCGTCACCGAAGTCTCCCGCCCGGACGACCCCCAGGACGACCCGGGACGGGAGGCGCTCATGCGCACGCAGACGCACACGACCTCGGTCTCCGGCGTCTACCGACTCGTGTGGACCAGCACCAGCTCCTACAACCCGCCGAAGAGCTACCCGCGGTTCCTGCTGCACACGCAGCGCGTCCACGAAATCCGGCCGTACACCAGCGGCGACGGCAAGGAGATGTGCGAGTACTGGGACTGGGAATGCCAGAAGGGCATGTTGTCCAAGAAGAACAAGAAGGAGAGCGCGTACATGGAGGAGCGGATGGCCGAGTGGGGGAGGATGTTAGGCGAGTTCTGCGAGAGCATGGGCGGCGCGGTGGAGAGGCGGGATTTCAGTGTTTCGTGATGATGGTGATCTTGTTTAGGAGGTTCGCGGGTCATGATGAGATCAGGTGGATGAGGAGTAAAGATGAGGGTCTACCTGCTCTTCCTTCTAGGGAGCTATAAAGATGGGAGAGAGAAGTGGTGGTGTGGTAGGGAGGGATTGGAGACCGGACCTACCCACAGGGCTTGGGTTGGATATACGGCGACCAGACCGGACTGGACCGGATCAGACCACATCAGAGACTTAGATACGCGTGGTGCTTGAGCGACAATGACCGATAATGATGAGTATAGTCAGGGGGAGAGAGAGAGAGAGAGACATTCCCTGATCGTGACGACGAGTTGCCGATTATGTACAGCTGGCTATACTGTAGCCAGTCAGATGTTACAAGGCCGGGGTCGGGATCTGGGTCTGGGTCTGGTATATATATACTTTACATTACGAGTAACTAATGCAATAATGTGAATGAATGTAAGGAAAAGAAACAAACAAAACAGGAAATGCCTATACTGCAACATATATATATGCCCACACACACACACACACCTCTGACTAGCCTCGCTAGGGTTGAATCTTGCCCGTCTCCGAGTCCGGGACGTCTGACGTCCACTGCTCCACCGGGTCGTGGTCGGGCATCTCGGGGTCGTGCGGCATGTCCATGGTCATCATGGTCTGGAGGAAGGCTTTGCCCCATTTGACGCTGTGCAGACACACACACACATATATTCAGTCAGCCGCGGGCTTATTGGGAGGGATCTCAAACACGCTTCAGTAGCGCCTCCCGAGATATACACTCACCTCGTCCACGTATCCACTACCTGCATCATCTGTCTGTGCCGCTGCGCCCGCTCGTCCATGCCCATATTCACGGCCTGGTTGATGCGCTCGGCAAAACGGGGCGTGTCCCAGGGGTTGAGGAGGATGACCGAATCCGACGGCAGCGTCTTGATCGCCCCCGCGTACGTCGACATCATCAGGACGCCCTTGCGCTCTTCCTGACACGCCGCGTATTCGTAGCTTACCAGGTTCAAGCCGTCTCTTACGGAGGAGATGATGCACACGTCCGACACTGCGTACAGGGCGCAAAGCTGCTCCGGCTCCACGGACCGGTACATGTACTGGATCGGCGTGTGTCCGAATGTTGCTGTATATTTTCCCCACCGTTAGTATCTACCAGGAGGATAACAACTGGGAGGTATTCCAGGCGCGGGACCCTACCGTGTTTGCCATTGATGCGTCCGACAAGTTGCTCGACCTCCTCCCGCAGCTTTCGGTACGTGTCCACTTCCCCTCGTGTGGGAATGGCCAATTGAACCATGACCGCCTTTCCCACCCACTCAGGGTGGTCGGTCAGAAAACGATCAAAGGCACGCAATTTCTGCGGGATGCCCTTGATATAGTCGAGTCTGTCGACTCCGAGAATGATCTTCTGCTCGCCAAACTTATCACGCAGCTCCGCCACTGCCTGTTTGACGGCGTCTGCCTCCAAATTCTGTTTCCACTCGTCCGCTTCAATGCCAAGGGGAAAGCCATGGACGATTACCTTCCGTCCTTTCCAATGTAGGTCACTCGGAGACTTCGACACCCCCTCGAGCACGATGCGGGCGCTCTCCAGAAAGCCTTTGGCGTACTCGTTCGTATGAAAACCCACCACGTCACAGAGGAGCAAACTCCTGCAAATCTCCTCCCGAAACGGCAGAATAGTAAAATAGTCTTCGGTGGGGAAGGGAGTGTGCAAGAAAAATCCGATCTTGAGATTCTTCTTCTTTTGCAGCCGCTCACGCAGGATGCCCGGGAGGAGCAGGAGGTGGTAGTCGTGGACCCAGATAATGTCGTTGTCCTCCACGTAGGGAAGGATGTTGTCGGCAAAGACCTCGTTGACTTCTTGGTATGCTTGTGACCACCTCTCATCCGAGCCAGCCTTTTCTGGCATTCCATGTAACAGCGGCCACAATATTGAGTCTGGCATTCTCTAGTCAGGGATAACAGCACAAGGGTGAGGGTGATGCAGACGAAGAGAACAGGGATGGTGACGATAACGGAACAACGTACTTGAGAAGCCGTTGTAATGCATTTCGGCTAGCTTATCTGGCAGGAATATGGGAACGGCGTTAAAGTTGTCTTGCAGGTGGCGACGTACTTTGTCCTTGTCGTTGCGGTGTACATCGATGCCCGGCCAGCCGAACCACTTGAAGTCAATCGCCTTGGACAACGCCTTCAGCCCGGACACGAGACCCCCGGAGGACATGCTGTACTCGAAGTCGTCTTCTGGAGTGGTCTTTATGGAGATGGGCACACGGTTGGCCACGACCAGAACACGGCCTTCGAAACCCGGGATGATGTCGTCCATGATACCGACGCCTTGACGAGAATATTCTCAAGAATTTTACGATAGAGATCCAGAGCAGAAAGACAGCACGACGAGCATTATATAGGACTCCGTTCGCTGGGGGTGGGGGGCTTGTTGACTGAAAGGGACAATAGGCATTTGCATATGCATCACACTTTTAACCTGATACTATGACAACCCCAGCGTAGTGGACCCGGTGAGCAGTGATGTCAGAATTAAAGAAGCAGAAATGGCCGGATGGGTTGTGTCTCCATCGAGGATGACGAGAAAATACCTACAAGCAGCCGAGTGCAGTTGTGGGCAGTTGTTGGAACGTAAGCGCCAGGCCAATTGAACGGCATAGAAAGCCGGACACGGGGTGGAAGGCTGTTCTGTGGCTCCAGGGGCAAAAGATCTGCGTGCATCCTGCATGTCATGCCATCCAACGGTCGCTGGGTGTGGCACTGGCTGTTCGTCTGTAAGGACGCCTGTTATGGACGCTTGCATTTCCCATCGCATGGGTGATGTGGCGAGGTTCAGTGAAAAGGGAACAAACCACCGCAACTGTCGAGGAGATTTGTGTAAGCATATTTTGATGTCGCTTGTCGCTCGGCCAGAGGTGGGTAAAAATGGAGCTTGAAAAGGGAGAACATCCTCGCCTGGATATCTTTTCCTTTTCACTGTGCAGGCGAATACAAGGGAGAGTGGCCGGAGGAGGAAAGATGATGATCCATCCACTGCGGCCCAATTGTCCTTACAAAAGTGATGGATGGAGTAACTTGTACGTAGACGTTCCCAGCGGGCAGAGTTTGCCGGGGTCGATGAGGTCATCCGCGGGGCGTCGCAGCTTGGCAGCTTGGCAGCTTGGCAAGCCACGTGCATTGCTCACATGCGCATATATAGTCAAATAAGCAGTGGCTCCGTTACAAATTACAACGGACACCCATATCTCAGTAGTTGTATGTAGATGACAGACAGATACATCAGTAGAGTACAATGCCGGTGGAAATTTCTCCCGTCCATCCACATCCATTCCCCATGCGCTCTGTGGAAATACAACAATCCAATACAGACAACCTCTCCCTCCGTCCAGACACATATCCTTGGGTTTGTTGCACACGGCCGACGCTGACCATTTTCTCCACATCATCCCTGATACATTTTTGGCATCATGCCATGTCCTAGTTAAAACAGATCGTCTGCGCCAACAAAAACCAAAGGGGAACCCACTCACAACTCCCAGGTGAGGGTGAGTTGAACCTTCAAATAACCATGTCACCATTTCCCCGGGACGAGCCTTGCCAAGCCAGAGTTCGGCTTGGAACTCGTATTCCCGCTCATCTTTTCGACCTACCTCAAAGTCAGAGCTCATAGCTTCACCGGATCCCCTTGGGCAATGGTTTCGACAATCCCCAGCCATTCTTGCGCGCTTACTCGTCCCAAGTCGGCCTTCAGGACCGCCCTTTCCAAGACTCTCTCGACGAGACCGAATCTGGGTACTCTTGACCCTTGTTCGGAATTCCTGGCGTAGTTCAACACCATCCAGCCTTGGGTAGCCATTGCCTGCCGCTGGAATACGGAGCCGGGGTACACCAGCATCTGCCCTGTGGCCGCAACCAGTAAAGTGATTGCCATGGAGAAGACGTCCGACGCTGGTGTGGCCGTCGACGTGGGATCACGAAGGACTTTGGAGTTGAGAAGCTCGGGGGCAGTATATTCTCTCGTGATGGCCGAAAGCGTATTTGTGGTGGTGTCCTCGGTATCCAGCCGTTGGGCAGACGAAAAGTCGGCGAAAATAGGCTGAAAGGAAATGTCGGTCCCTGATCCTTGGACACGGGTCAGGAGGATATTGCCGGGTTTGATGTCGCCGTGGACGACTCGTGCATCATTGTGGAGCCACACAAGGGCTGAAATGAGTTGCCGTGCTAGATGAAACCATTTTGCACTGCTGCCGAGCACCGGGTCTGTCATGGTCCACGTCGACACGTTTTGGGCGGCGACAGCAGCACATTGTCGGATATGGTCTCCGAGACTGAATGGAATGGCCTCGAGAACGAGCGAGGTGTGGTCGACGGTGCCGTAGAAAGGCACCACATAGCTGTCGCTGTTGGGGATGGTATGGAGGTAGGTGAGAACGTTGGCTTCGCTCTTCAGGATTGAAACGGCGTCTCGGCGGGCGGGTTTTTTGACAGCTACCAGAACCGGAGTGGCAAATGCTGGGGAGAGCGGCGGCGTCAAGGAACCCGAGACAGTTCTTGGTTTGGGGTGGGTGGTGGCTTTGAAGACCGTGCTCCAGGCGCCGGTCCCGAAGACGGCGTCTCGACCACATTCGTCCTTGAGGATCTCAACATCGAAAGGACATTCCGGCACACTTGTCTCGGGCGATATACTCTGGCCGACGGCATCGGTTTTGATGGGATCCAACCTAGCTTCCTTCGATTTCCACGTCGAACCCGCAGGAGATGGGGTCACAGGCGCAGAAATCGGCGTCGCAAGTTCTGAGATGTTGGAGGAGGACCGACTTTGACGTGGGGAAGTGGGCGGAGTCAGGATCGAGCTGTTCGCATACGTGTGTTGCAGCTTGGATTCGGTGTTCGATGGAGTGTTTGGAGTGGTGGGAGGCGTGCTCGTGGTCCGATTCAACGGAGAGGGTCGTTGAGCAATTGCCATGGTCCCCTCTATCCTGCTTGTTCGAGCTTTGGATTGGCTGTAGCGACACTGTAGGGTGGACGGATGGTCATCAAGGCTCGAGCGAGGGCGGCACAGAGGTCTGGACGAGGTTCATTTTGACTCGGAGGAAAATGCGAGAGAGAAAATGGCTATTGATGCCGTGACCAATTGTGCGACACGAGAGAAAGGAAAGTTCCAGGACCGGATCGTAATAGGGTTGCGGGTGTCCAGGCGATGGGGGGGGAGGGTGATGGTGTGAGGCTCAAGAGACCGGGGCGGGTACTTATGGATGATTGGATGACCCCAAAAGAATAGAAATGCACAGGGAATAACGGGGCGATAGTGGGTGATAAGATAGGGCCCAACGAGTTGATTCCGGAGGGGTTTGCCAAAGATAAGGATGTGAAGGGGGTTGGGAGTCTGGGGAAGGGGAGTTTGAGGTGAGGGAGTTGCGGGTCGAGGCGGAAAGGATGCAAAAGGAAAACAGGGAAACGGGATCGGGATGAAGAGGCCATAGTGTGTAATCGTTGGCTGGTGGCGGCAATCTCAGGTAATGAGTAGAAGAAACTCTTTCTTGTGCTACAGTGACATCAAGGGAAAAGAACAGAAAACCTTGAAATAAGCATCATCCACTTCTGCCTCTGCCTCTGCCTCGTATTTCCTCCTACGCAGTTCGCCGTCCTACTGGATGCACTGGCGCTATTTACACCCGTCGATGGAGAACGTGGGGCGGCACACGCTGTCATTGGGTCGGGATTCGCACGAAATCAACAATAATATCCCAACCTCCTCCTTTTGCTCTGGCACTGAGCGTTGCATGCTCCGGGACGGTAACAACTATAGATAGATACAGCCTTGAAGGTCTCCAGGGAGGATTGCCTCACACCTCATTCCTCATATTGCATACTGCATACCTCATACTGCACATCCCGTAAACCACTCCTCTCTATAGCTGGTCTGGTCTATACCTGTAGCACCGGCACCACCCCCGTCCACTCTCCACGGCCTCGCTCTTCCCAGTATCCTTCTTTGCCCGTCCTCAGCCTCCACACCACCTCGTCGCCGAGTTCTACCCTAGAGAACCATCGTGGCTTCCACTCCTCGCCCCTCTCTTCCATTTCCCTTCGTCGTGCCCGTTGTGCTTCCTCCAGCTGATTCTTCAAGTGTTCTGCCGTGTCGTGGTCTCCGTTCTCCAGTGCCATTTGGTCCGGCCGGAGACGGCTGTCCGTCGGCGCCACCTTCCCCCGCTCCACGGTGGTCATTTCATTCAGCTGCGCCGCAAAGAGGGTCATGCCATAATGCTTGGGCGCATTCTCCACCAACGGACCGACTGACCAGATGGTGGGCCGCTGGCCCAGTTTGCCCGGCTCTTTCAATTGTAAGGAATTGGTCCACGTCCCGCTTAGGCCGATCGACAGTTCTTGGCCCTGGGCGTCGATGGTTTGCACTTCGACTTCTTCGCTGCGACCCGAGAACATGCCCTTGGCCTTGAACGAGACGACCGCCTTGTGACCCGCCGACTCGTTGTAGATAGTCATGGTCCCCGTAGGTTCCACGTATTTCTCCCCCGCGATGATGTTGCGCAGGAAGCACGTAGCCGCCGACCAACTGAATGCTTCTCCCGTACTGTGCAGGACCAGTCGTGCCTTGCCTTCGTTGATGATCTCAGACGACTTGCCCCAGAACTTTTGCGACGGCAGAGGGGATTGTGTGAATGTCCAATGCTCAGACTCGGCGTGTAATGCTAGCTGCACGGGACGATGCGACACCTTCTCCGAGATGAAGCGGAAACCCCGATCCTCGCGTACCAGCTCATACGTTTCCCCAAGCATGGGATTGAATGGTTTGCGGATCGATCGTTCCTTAACTCGCGTGTTCGATAGTGACGAGATGGCAAATGCCGCCACATACATCAGCCGCTCGAAGGTGTCGTTGGATTTGACCGCGTTATCCAGCAGCTGCGAGTATTCGAATTGCTCCGCGGCACGCTGGAGGAGCGACAAGGGCTCGTTGGCCGACACGGGCATCGAGATCGTCGAGAGGTCTTTGCCCACGTTCTTCCGAAGAAATCCTATAAGGCTCGGCGGCATGACCGTCGGCGCGGCTATCGTGTCCCGTCGGCGAACGGGATCTAGCGGCAGTGGGGCCAATGATTTCGCTCGAGGAGGAAGATATGAAGACACGCTCCCTGATCGGCGCCTCATCCCGCGAATCGAGTCTTCCCCAACGTCGCTGCTGGTGGCTGAACCATTGTCTTCCTCGGCCGTTTCAGCTTCATGGTCGGTATCGCTGTGGATGTCAAGCACATGCCGGTGGTCTTCTGCGTCAAAATACTCCTGCGAGTCGACCGTCTGGAGGCTCAGCCGTGACACCGCAGACTTGGGAGGGGTCGTACGCCGAACCTTGCTTTCGTTGATTAAGAGCGAAAACTCGCTGACGACCGAGTCAAGATCGTGCAGCAACGCTCGGCAATGGTCATACATGCTTTCTTCGTGGTGAATCACGGGCCGTGACGTAGAAGGTGCTGAAAGAGGAGGCGGCGTCCCATTGCGCAAGATTGGCTCGACACCCGGCAGCGGCACCGCGAGCTGGGCAGAAACACTGCGCTTGAAGATGTTGGCTTGACTGTTAGTCATACTGACCTTGCGTTTCCAAAAAGGTCGTCTCTCGTCCTGCTTGAAGTAATCGTCTCCGTTGAGTCCCTCGGTGGGCGTGGTGCTGGCAGAAGCTGCTCCGAGCTTCGGGGAAGGCAGTGGCGCCGGCTGCGCCAACGTATCTAGACACAGTCGGCGCACGGCGTCTCGTGTACCTGAAATCCTGCTGAGCAGAGTCTCCAGCCTCGCCCATTCCTGCTCTTCGAAGGCGGACTTTTCGCCGTCGATGGGGTCACCGGTGTCAAGGTGCAGGTTGTCGGACGGCGTCTTCGCCTCTAACATGAGCCGGGTCGCAGTCTCCAAAGCATGCTTCCATGATTCAAAATCTGCATCGTTGTTGGCCTTCAGATGCCAGAGTTCGGCCCCAGAATCGATGGAGATCTCCCGGGTTTTGCTGTTGGCGGCAATGGCAGCTAAAGAGAGTGGAATGGCACCTCTTAGTGCCGAGGAGTTGCGGTCGCGATAGTACGACAGAGTTGAGGAGGTATAGTCCAGGCAGAAAAACCTCCGCGCATACCCTTGGTGCTTTTTGCGCCTCAGCTTTTGCAACACACCAGTATGGATTGAAGTAGTGTCCTCCGCAAGTTTCGTCTCTTCGGCAACGGGATCAATACTGCCCCCAACAGACTGGCTAATGGAGATTTGTCTCAGTGAGTCGACGGATTCTTTATCCCTTGCCTTGAGCTTCGGACTTCTCTTGAACAGCTGGGATGAAGTGTTGGCTATGGCCATTGCCGAGGCCATTGACTGTGGGTGGTACAGTTGCGCGCCAAACTGAATCTGCGGTTGGCACGCGGTAGGATAGGTGAGGAGGAAGATCGTCGCCGTCTTCGAGATGTTCTTGGAGAAGGTATTGTCGAAAACCAATGCATAGTTTCCTCCCTCCCCGAAGCGCACATCGTGTTTTCCTTGTGTGACTTTGTCGGCTTCGCATTTGCCTATCCACCGAACCACCTTCAGACCAATGCTCGTCAGCTTCTCGATGGCCGTGGACTGAGTCTCTGATTTGTCTTTATCTTCGTCGACTGGCGCATTGACGGGAGAAGGAGGCGCAAGAGAAGTCGAGGACGAGGAGTGCAGGTTGGAGAGCGGTCCGGGATGCTTGAACAGGCCGAGGTTGATGGATTTCTTGTGAGGCTGAAGGGTCCAGGAGATCGTATGCTCTTGTTTGACGTTGACCCAGCGCACCAGGTAGTTCTAACCCTGTCATCAGAAACCCATGCAACAAGTAGAGGCTGAGGGGCGCACCCTGGAATGGACCTCGATCTGCTCGAGGCCCGCCATGGGGAAAAGACAAAGACCGATCCCTGTAAGCTCTGTGAAGACAGGCCGCTCAGATCATGATCGTATATATGCTAGCAATATCGTCAAAGTTGCTTTGTGCTGTCTGTCTGTCTGTCTACTTTCCCCCCACGGGACTGCGGTTGCAATCAGGTGCCAGGGGAACGTGTCGATCTGGCCTTATTTCTGCAAAGGACGAAAAAGCGGCTCAGCCGGTTGTGGTCTCGCCAGTGGCTATCTTGCTCGGAAGTCTAGGTACAAATACTTCGTGCTTCTGAAGTCTCGACGAGGAAAGTTGGTTGTCTCCGGAGCTGAACGAGGGAAGTTGCCGAGAATACAGATCAGCGGCATTTCTTCAGGGATGAGCGTGGCCCGCGCAGCGGGAGACATCTGACATAAACACAGCATAACCCAACTAATACTAAGGCACCATAATTCAAACCGTCAATCATCACTTCGCATTGCCGGCACGGTGCGGCTTGAGGGGAGATCCCCAGCCAGTCACCAACGACTCAAAGGCTTCCCCAAGCCGTCCACCATCAATTCTTTGCTAATAGCACGTGCACCAGAAAAAGAAAAGGAGAGACGGAAGAATCATCCAACTCTAACACCACACGGAAAACGTGGATTGCTCTTCTACTCAAGGAATCCTTCAGACTGAGTGTATGTATTTGTGGGATGGCTGCCTGTCTGGACTGCCTCTGACCGTCCGCATGTGCTTGTATCGTGAGCCTTCTATCTTGCGTCCATTGACAACTTCTTCGTCCGTTTGCTTCGGCCGCTGGATTCCTCTTTCGTTTCCTTCCTACGTTTCGCGTTCCTGGAAGCGCCTCCTTTGGGTCGATAGCCTCCATCAGCGTCTCTTTTCCGCTTCCCCCTCGACGATGACCCATTGTCCAGAGCAAAACCGTCTTCGTCATAGTAATCTTGCTCCTGTTTAATAGCATCTTTGTTTGCTGACCTTCGCGCTGAACTGCGTGATCCGGTGGCTCGAGGCGTCTTTTCTGTACTGGGCTCATTGTCCTGGAGAAACACCTGAGGCTGATGCCTTCGAAGCCAGTTATAGACGGACACCGGATTTCTCAGTTGGGTTTCTCGTTCGCGCTCTGTTGACTTTTCCATACTCCGACTGCCCAGGCTGTTGGCAACATGGGGCCTGGGATTAGTGGCTACCCCGTCGAGGAATGCATCTAGGCCTTGTAGGTATTGCTCTTCTTGTTTCGTCGTCAACAAGCAAGACCCAGGATTGCTAGGATCCAACTTATCAACTGATTGACTTGGCGCAGGCGCACTTGAGAGCAGTGAAGCGTACGACCGGCCGGGTGCAAATTCTTGGGTTTTGAGGAGCGCGGCTTCGATTTCCCTGTATCCAGATAGAGTGAGTTCTCCGGCCTGGAGTTGTCTTCTGGCCTTCCTTAGATCCAAATGTCCGTCTTCTTCAGAAACAGAAGGTTTCACAGTTTCGTCACTCGAATGGCTCTCACCAGGCGGTCGAAGATCGTAACGCAGTCTTTGGGGCACTTGAGGGCAAGAGTTGAGTTCAACAAGCAGCTGAAGGAGCTGGCTGGTTCGGGAGTCAGTGGACGAAAAGCATTGTGCAATGTCTAGCTTACTCGGTCTGCTCGGCCAGTCTCAGCGATATGTCCATGATCCTCTGCTCTTCTTTGAACAAGGTGTTGCCTTCTCTCATCTTCTCTTCAAATGTGACCATAATTTTGCGATACTTGCGTCTGCGCAGGACAGTCAGAACATGCAACTCAAGACGATCTTTCGGTGTAGAAGATACCTGTACGATTTCCTGGACGAGGGAGGTTGATCGGACGATACTGTGGCTTGCTCCTCCATGACATGGTCTTCCGCCGGCTCCGTCGAAGACATGGTTTTCTAAGTCTGTGCAGGCGAGCAGTTTCTGGAGACAGCGTGGTGAAAATTGCAATTGACACCGGATCAAAGAATCACGTTCGTGAAGCGGCCCTAATGTCAAGGATTAAGGGTGCAGGCGTGAGGGAAGAAGTTCCAGCGCGTTTCGGGGTAATACTAAATTTGTGGAGCTCTTCCACGACGAGAGACTGGACAGAAAAAGCCCGCCAGGAATTTTTGATTTCTACGTTCTAATGCTCGATTGTTTGTATGTATTTTCCGGTCCACATTCAACCCCGGCAAACTTCAAAGCCAGACCCTCAGGATGAGCAGCACGGAACTAGAAACAGAAACACTGCAGCCCAATAACCGCAAACGAAATGCAGAGGCGGCAGAGATCGAAATAGACGTGGAGGCACCCGAACCTCCGTCTAAGAAAGCCCTTCGCAAAGCAAAGAAAGCAAAAGTATCTGAGGGCAGCACGCTGCCCTCAGAAGCAAAGAAGGCAATACCGTCAACCGAAACGCAAGATGCATCCCACAAGGATACAACACGCTCCGAGTACGGGATCTGGATTGGCAATCTCGCGTTTGGCACTACAAAGGACGACCTCATAAAATTTCTGACCTCTAATCCAACGAACGTGATCCGCCGAGATCAGATAACAAGGACTCATTTGCCTCAGGCATCACCGAAATTTGGCAGACCGCAGAACAAAGGTTTTGCATATGTTGACTTCTCAGACCAAGAATGCATCGACACGGCGCTCAAGCTAAGCGAGTCTCTTCTGGGCGGCCGCCCGGTGCTGGTCAAAAATGCGAAGAACTTTGAGGGTAGACCCGAACGAAGAAAAGACCTGCTCGAGAAGCATACTCAGCCTCCAAGCAAGAGAATCTTTGTTGGGAACCTGGATTTCACCACCACGGTGGAGGATCTGGAATCGCACTTTGGAGTATGTGGACCGATCGTCCATACGCACATGGCCACGTTTGAAGATTCAGGAAAGTGTAAAGGATTCGCGTGGATCGATTTTGAACAATTAGAATCTGCAGAAAAGGCTATGCGAGGATGGGTTGAACGAGGAGATGGTGTCGAAGACTCGCCCGCGAAGTCGAAGTCTTCAAAGAGCAAAATCTTGCTGCACAGACTTCACGGCCGCAAGCTGAGAATGGAGTATGCTGAAGACAAGGCGGTTCGATATGAGAAAAGATTCGGAAAGACGGCGAAAAAGACGGCATCAGGAGAGGCGGAGACGAGAGAGGACAGGGGAATCATGGAGGTGAACGGCGAAGAAGAGATTACCAAGCCCACGTACCACAAGACGACGAAGCCCAGCAAAGCTCAAGGGAAATATTCAGAGGGGACAGTACAGAGATTGACAGGTGCAATCATCGAAAGTAAGGGCCAGCGAACAGTCTTTGAATAGATATGGAGGACATAACCTATCATCCGATCATCAACGGGGCACGAGATACATGGAGTGACTGGAGCCCAACTGGCGGGGGGCCTTTCCAGGCGAGCTAGACCCCAGGCAGTTAGGGGTTCCTTTCTAGGCTGGCTCTTGCCATGACGAAAATCTGGGGCAGCGGCCTGATCGAGTTTAGTAGCTATGCCTCGGGCGGCTTCAGGTGTCGCCTCCAGTCAAAAGACACTTTTTGGTGAAAGCAAAGGCATCTTGTGCCTTTTCGATCGTGCACTGACTTCATTATCACTTGCTCTGAGACACCAGAGACTTCAAAGTCTGACTTGCTTTATTTGGTCCTTCGACTGTTTTTTTCATCCGCGCAACCTCGAGATGGGTGTCAAGGTCTTATAAATGGTCTTCGCCCAGCAAACTCCCGTCGTCCTACCTCCACCTAGTCGAGACTTTCATGCTCGACAATCGATAATGATTCATCCTCGTTCTTCCTAAGCTCTATTTACGTCGCGTCTCGAATCGCACCACTCCGAGAATTTCAGGTCCGATTCGGGTTCACTACGAACATGCCCGCGCCCCGACGGAAAAATCTGCTCGCGAGCAGACGGCGGCGACAAGATGAAGGAGAGGAAGAAGGATCCATCCTCGGCGAATTTGAGGATGATTCCCTGAGCGAGGGTTCCGCGGTCACCAATGGTGAGGAAGGGGTGTTTGAAGGAAGTGAGTCCAGTGGGGACGAGCGAGACACGGTGCAGGAAACTACAAAAGGTGCAACAGCGCAGGTTCAAGAAGACTGTGCCGCTGTGATTCTTCGAGAAGATGTCTCAAAGTCTAAGAGTACTTCTGGGCATGTGGTTGATACCCAGCCCATGTTGCATGGGTCGAAACAAGCTCAGCAGTCGCAAGAGACGGAACAACTGCAATTTGACAATTTGCCTGCTTCGAGGCCGGCCGGTGCTGCTCGTCTGATAGATTCAGGACAGGAGTCTGGACTTCAACGCGCTCGCAGGGAGCATCATGAGTACATCCGCGAGAGGGATGCCAATCCCGCAATGGTGCCCACCAGGGGCGGGTTCTTCCTCCATGACGATCGGACCTCGTCCTCCGGTGGCCCAAACACAAGACCTTTTGGACGAGGTCGGGGTCGGGCCTATGGACCTGCAATGACCACAGGGTGAGTGGTACGAATGAGACATTTGATACCTTGACTAACGTGGGTAGACGAGGATTTGGTTTCAACACACCGATGGACAAGCCTTGGGCGCATGATCTCCACGAACAGCACGAGAACAAGACCCAGTCGGCACAGCAAGAAACCAGGCCAATTCCTCCTCAGGTCGACACGGAGAAGGGCCAGAACAGAGGTAAAGATCCTTCAACGACTCCAAATAGGTCGTTTTCTTTCACGTCTATCATGGGAAATGTCAATGTCCAAATATCATTTCCAGGCATGGCTGGCAAAATGACGGTACCAAATGTCGTCAAGAAACACCACGTTTTGCTTCCACAGCATCGTCCTCCGCTGAGAAGGGACAAGCCCGTCCGCATCTCGATCCCCGGAGCAGCACCACGATACGTCTTCCCTCATGTCGATCGGTCGTTCATCTTCATCCCGCGGGCCCTGCGTCCTAATCAACCGGGATATACACGCGGCCGTGGTAGAGGCAGCTTCCATGGAAGCCGCAGACCAAGCATATATGGGGGTGGCTATACACCAAGTGTTGCGATGAGCCGAAAATCCTCCATGGGGGCGTCTACATTGCGAGAAGATATCAGATCTCCCGTAGGCTCGGTCATTTCTCACCCAGCAGCAACCAATAATGATAACAGTCGGCCTGTTGTGCGTATGCCGTCTGGTGCTCCGACACCGTCTCTGTCGAGAAGTGGGCTGCCGACAATGAACGGTCAAATTCCCATGACTGCGGCACCGCCACCAATGCAGGCGCCTGCGCTGTATGGGAGCCACGCTGCCGCTATCCCTATGCACCAACCGCGGCCCCAGAAGACAGTCTCCGTGGCACATATCGAATCGCCGGCGGCTTTCCATTTCAAAGCTCCTCAGCAGCAGCAAGAAATACCCTTCCACCAACAAGTACCTACACAGATCTCCAACTTGTATATGGAAGACAAGACTGCGGCTCAACCCGGTCAACCGGCCATGCCTGGAATGGCTGGAGTGTCGCCTCTCTCGCAGATACCGGAAGGAGCGGTATTCGCGCCAGGCTTTCAGCCATACCCTGTCATGGGGGCCGCTCCGTATTTTGGGGGGCCTTACAGCAATGGGGCGATTTTCTATCCACCCGTTCCTGGTACAGGCTCGTTTGGAGTACCGATGACTGGTCCAGCACTGGCACCCAGCTTCATCCCTGGTTCGCAGTCGCATCCGATGAGCTACATGCCTGCAACAGGACCTCCGGACAACAGCATGCTGGCGCACGAGTCGAACGGTATGGTTTACTACTACAACAATCCCACAATGTTCGCTCCTGACGCCCAGGGTGGAATGCAGCAATTCCCGATGGCTCCCAATGGAAACATGATGCCACCATTGGGCCATGGAATGCCGTCCCAGGCTCCCTATTACTACTCTTCTGGCGCTGCTGGCATGTTCTATCCCGCGCAGTCTGGCTGATCTGTGGCCTGTGGAATCTCTATTTCTTCTTTTATTGATCACTCATATTTTGACCCTTTTGATCCCTTTTTTCACAGCGGGTTATGGAGTATGGAGCAACGCACGCATCTAAAGGGAGGAAGCTGGTTTCGCCGGGTTTCAAAGGATCCTTCACGCCGGGAGACTTTTCTCCTCTGTTTTCTTCCATCATGGCTTCGAGATATCCTTGACCATATCCTTCATGTACATTATATCTCGCGGTTAAAGGGAGAACTTGTTGGTGAATGTTAGAATGATTGAAAGGGTGAGATCAAGGCCACAAGGAAAAAGCAAAAGAAGCTCGAAGGCTGTACGCTGGCCCACCTGTCAATTGAGCGACAAGTGATGGAGTGTATTCTCGAAGTTTCATCAGGACGAGGCTGTCACCGGTTGATCTGAAGGAGGTCGAGGCTTATTATCTCGTGTCTCCCCTGTGCCAACGAAGGGTAGTGTCGGCGTTGAGGAGCAGGGTTTCTTTTGCTAAGAAGAATGAAACGAGGGTTCCATACTCAGGTCCACCGAGGCAACGTTGCCTGGGCTCCAATCTTCTTTTACTGAGAGTTTCTGACAAGGCGGTCCAAGCACAGTAGTAGTAGAGCAAGTAACCGGTGAGGAATGTTGACTGTGGAGGAGAAAGTTGGTCCACGAATCACAGAGGCCCGCCGGGCATCCTGACATTTGGTGCTGCCTATCCAGTGGCGTCACGTGTGGGCTACGCGGCAATGGACTGAGGCCGAGAGGTCGAGGTCTCTTCCCCGCCTTGAGGGTTGAGAGTGATTGCCTCAACCAGGCGGCGAGCTTTCCACCTGCACCCGTCATCTCTCGACGGCCTGTTGTGTTTGACCACCTTCCACGACCTCCCGTCCTTCTCCTCGACCTCCTCTGCATCCTCGTCTCTACTTCCTTGAGAGAGACACTCTTCATGACCGTTACTTGTTGAGGTGTTTCTCATCCCTAATCTGACCGACTTTTGGCAAGCCTGCCCGCAGGGTGCTACGGTCAAACCTACCTGACACCGCCTAATCCCAGCCTTTCCTTATCAACCATCATGGCTACACCCCATCCTCACATAGGTCCCGTTGGCCCCGACACCCTCATCACGGTCAAGGTCATCATCGACGGGACCAACAGAAGATTCAAACTCGCTTTACGGGATCTCGGTGCCAACGTGCTTCCACAAAAGGTGCGTAGATCTATAGGTGTCAGCCTGAGAATGGGTTCGCCCCTCGGCTCCTATCTGGCATAGCGAAGATAGAGAGACAGAGAGAGCTAACTCGTACACCGGCAGCTCCGATCCTTGCTTGCTATCTCCCCAGAGCAGGACGTTCGATTCGACCGATTCTCTGATTCCCAGGCAAGATACATCACCCTCGATAGCAACGATCCTGCCATCTACAAGCAGCTCTACCGGGCGGCGAAGGCGAAGCTCAAGCTACGTTTGAGGGCTACCATTGAGGGAAAGCCTGCAAGAGACGACCTGGCCCAAGACATTGACATGGCCCAGAGCAAACTTGCTGTCAAGGACGGTGCAGATTCCCAGGCTGAGCCGAGGAACAACTTCCTGGAGACTGTTCTCTCCCAGCCAGTGGCGCCCTCCTTCAAGGCCTTTCAAAAGACCTGCCAATTCTCTCCCACATGTGCCATTCCAGGAGCCTTCCATCTTGACGTCAACACTTCAGGCATGGACCAGACTGTCAACCCTCCTCAGGGCAATCAGAGTGACCTGTTCAGTCAACCTACCCTTCCTTCCCTGAATGACTTCCCTGCCACATCGTACACCATCGACTGCAACTATTGTGGTTTGACGGTTGAGAACGAACACTATCACTGCGGTATTTGCGAAGGTGGTGATTACGACCTTTGCAAGGATTGCTTTGAAGCTGGAATCACCTGCGAAGGGGACGAGCACTGGTTGCTTAAGCGAACCATTCGTAATGGACTGGTTATTCCCAGCACTACCGAGACCCTTGCCCGCAAGAAGCTATCCAAGGCAGCTGCAGGTTCCTCCAGCGAGTTGACCACACCCATCAGCCCGGAGGCCGATGACACAGAACTTACTTGCAACTCCTGCATTTTCCGTAGGTGCACACACGAAAAGACAAGGGCATCGAGCACTGACACGCTCTTAGGACTATCGGCCTCTGAATGTGTCACTTGCCAGGACTGTGACGATTATGACCTTTGCTTCGGTTGTCTTCAGGACGGTCAACACGGGCATGATCCGTCTCATACGTTTGAGGCACGCGATCCCGAAAAAGCGAAGGACGTCCCGAGCATTAAAGATCTCTGCTGTCCGGGACGTAGTATCCGCCATGATGCCATCTGTGATGGCTGTGACCAGGTAACTCCATTACTCTTACTCTCGTCGACCACCAACCTGACTCTCATTCTAGACCATATATGGCATCCGACACAAATGCCTGTCCTGCCCAGATTTCGACTACTGCTCCGCTTGCATGCGCACCGCCGCGGCGAAACACCCCTCGCACCGCTTCGTGCCCATTTCCGTGCCCATTCAAACCCTACGCACTACCAAGCCGACGCACCGTGGCATTTATTGTGACGGACCGCTTTGCACGTCCTACAAGCGGTACATCACCGGCGATCGGTACAAGTGTGTTGTCTGTCACGATACCGACTTCTGCGCAAACTGCGAAGCTTTGCCCAACAATGGGCACAACGCATCTCACCCCTTGATCAAGATCAAGCTTCCCCTCCGAAACGTCTCAATCACGACTCAGCAAGAGAACGAGCACGGCCAAAAGGTTGCTCAGTTGGGCGACCGACCAATGGCGAAGAACGCTGCTACGGAGACGACTCGATCTACATCAGCCAACGCTGCGACTCAGGTCCAGACCGTTGCCGAGGTAGATCCCATTGAGACTACCCCAGTGGTTGAGGTTGCTAAGGCGAGCGACGCGACCTCGGTGAAGCCCGTCACGAGCGATCTTCAAGCCTGGTTCGTGAAGGATTCGACCCCGGATGGCACGAAAGTTGCTCCCAACCATTTTCTCTCTCAAACCTGGACCTTGCGCAACCCGGGCCCCGACGCCTGGCCCGCCGGCTGTGCCGTCCACTACATCGGAGGTGATGATATGCGTAACCTCGATCTCCTTCATCCATCCAGCACAAGCGCGATGGCCATGGCCAACAGCAGCACCCCGTGGGCATTTTCCGTCCAGCCTGGTCAGACCGCCTTCTTCAGCGTCCTCCTCAAGTCGCCGAGTCGCGAGGGGCGAGCTATTTCTTACTGGCGTCTCAAAACACCAGAAGGACTTCCCTTTGGCCACAAGCTGTGGGTTGACATCGAGGTTCGCTCGACTCCTGTGGAGCTGCCCATTCGCTCGCATATCTTGCCTTCTGCTCTGTTGAGCGAGGCCACTCCCAGCGAGGAAGAGAAGGAGGACGAGCAGTCGCAGAGCAGCTCAACCATGATCTTCCCTAAGCTAGAGAAGGAATCGCCCATGTCTAGCGTGCATGATGTTCGTGAAACCCAGGCCGAATCAGCTCCGGCGGCAGTGATGGAGCCTACCGTCAAAACGGAAGAACACGAACTTCTCGAGGATGTTGAGAGCCTTGAACTCGAGGAGTCGGACAGCGATGGAGAAGGATTCCTGACAGATGAAGAGTACGATATTCTGGACGCCAGCGATGAAGATTTGTTGATGGATGGACACACACACGTGGGCAAGTAAGCTAACAGGCACGGGGACAGTGCTAGGGACCAAGTTGTACGCGGAGCTACTGCGCAGGGCGACGAGAGTGGAATGCGCAACGGCAAGCTTCGCCTGTGGTGGTGACAGAATGAAAGCAAAACAAACACTCCTCGAGGAATATGCGAGCCGGATCAGGCGGGCTTTTTTGGATCAAGCTGAATTGGGGCGTGGGTGAGGGACTGTTTACGGGGGATGTCAAAGTACTTGAATCTTTTCTCTTTCTCGTTCTCTTACCGTTAGTGACCAGGCAGAACTATCACACCCACGCACCGTCCTTTCTTTGGCCTGGAACCGTGATCCAGTTGGTAGGTACATAGGTATCTAGTTGAGGTATGCTTCGGTCACCAGGGAGCCCACTGCTCTGTGATATGTGTCAGCGGGAAGCAGCCTAAAGATGGTGGCTGCAAATCAAGCAGAGAATGCAGTGTCGTCATAGTGATGAAGACAGGAATTCACGGTATGGAGTATATTCCTCGACATTGCGGGGGGCAACGGTCGAGACGAGTAGCGCTGATCGGCCGAGGCGCCTGGGGGAGGGGTCGCGGGTTAAACCGGAGTTGGCAATGTCCGTCGTCAGTGGCTGCCGGCCGTCCTCCATACCTATCCAGCAACGCCTAGGCAGGTCGGTAGGTACCTCATAGGCAGTCTTGCTGGCATGTGCTGGCAAGGTCCTCTTGTCCAGGTCACCCGTCACCCTACCAGATCGCCCGGCACGCCAAGTTGGGTGACTTAGTCCCCGTGTGCCAAAACTCCTCCACATTTGGTCGGTTGCCCTTCACTTTTTGTCACCGCTTCTCTCAGACTGCGCTGTCCTATTTCACATCTGTTTTAAACTGTGGGCTTCTGCCTGATCCCCTCCATCGAGGATCCTCCTACTCGACTCCTCTACCCTGTCGTCGCCCGCCCTTCCCCTTCTGTGGCGTGAATTCCTCCCACATGGAAATTACACGACCCCTTCCACATCACCTGTCCAAATACCGAGCCTCGAAACCCAAAGGGTGACCCAAAACCCATCATCCGAGCAGATTGCCACCAGCTCCGTTACTCCACTAGAGTCCATATCCGTTATTTTTTGCGGCCTCACTACAGTTAGACGCTGCTAATTGCACCATGCATGAAGACTTGCGCCGAAGAGCCCTCGAGAGCGGCAAGACCGTCTCCAACAAGGCCAAATCCAAGGGGTCGTCCCGGGGAAGCTCGCGTGGCAACTCGGCGCCCAACTCGCGCAGTGCTTCCCGCATTCAGAGCAGAGATGCCTCAGACGACGAGGATTTAGACAAGGGCAATCTGAGTGACGATACGACCCAGAGGTGAGTTGGATGACGATTCCTGACATGGCGGACCACCAAACAGCAGAGGCGGGCTGACGCCGGTGACGTACAGTATCAACTCGATCGATGCCCTCCTCGAAACCGACGACATCAACGAGCAGACCTCGGACGTGGCTCGACAAGAGTTGAACGACGTCATCGTGGAACTGCTCGATCGGAAAGGGAGCAGCAATAAGAGCAGGGAAGACGCGCTGACTACCTATGTCAAATGCTTGACATCGCACTATCTGGCTGAGGTTCTCTATGGCCGTGTTGAGGACCTCCTCGGTGCGTTCAGCCGAAGCATCAAAGCAGAAACGAGCGAGAAAGAAACCACATTGGCCTTGCGGGCCATGGCACTTACTGCCATTACATTCGCCCATGGCAGCCTTTACGACACGGTCGCGGCGTCCTTGAAACGGACCATCTCCGATTCTCGGTTCACGTCGGTCAAGGCTGCGGCGATCTATGCGATTGGGATCTGCATTTCGTTTGGTGGCGCTGGAGAAGAAGAGATTCTGGACGTTATGACTTTCTTACTGGAGATCGCGTCGAGCGACGGCGCCTTTGTCGATGCAGACGACAGCGCCGAAGTTGTCACCGCCGCCTTGAACACCTACGGGTTCTTGGCCACACAAGTGGAAGACCTCGAGCAGGAATCGGAAGACGCGGTTGCGACGTTCCTCGACCAGCTCGATGCAGACGACGCCAAAGTCCAAGTATCGGCGGGCGAGAACATTGCTTTACTATACGAGAAATGTTACACACCACGCGAGGAGGACGACGAGTCCTCCTCGGACGAGGAAATTCCTGAAGACGATTTGGCCCACGACCGGCCTCACGTGCGATCCTACCTAGTCAAACGGTATAACCCTTACCACAACACGCATGAAGTGCTAGACAAGGTAACGGCACTCGCGTCGCTCAGTACCAAGTCGATGAATCGTCGAGACAAGAAAGCCTTGCATCAATCGTTTGCCAGCATTGCCCTGACGGTGCAAGACCCGCGACTGGGGCTCCAGTCGAACAATGCCTCGAAGATGGTGGTGCGAGTGCATCGGGAAGGTGAAATGCGGGTGGACAAGTGGTGGAAGCTGATGCGGCTGCACGCCATTCGAAGGCTCCTGGGTGGAGGCTTTGTCAACCACTACTTTGAAGGCAACAAACAGGTGTTGGACGCGTTGCCGATGATCATGCGGGGCATTGGAAGCTCAGGCATGCCGAGTCCTCGCAAGATGGGCGGCAACAACAAGACGCAGAAGGGCAAATACCGCGACGTGCGACGCTTTGTGTCGGCCGACCTGACGGCGCATTGAGGTTGACCCTTGGATGGCGCGAGCTCGAGGGTGGGCTCGGTTTTGTTTCCATCTTTTCCTGTTTTCATTTTTCATGTTTCATGTCTTAGAGCATTTCTCATGTACTTGGACATTTTCACCACGAGTTAGACAGACGAGAATCATGATTGGCAGCAAGCCGGCATCTTATGATCATCTTATGATCATCTTATGATCCGTGTAGGTGCGTGTGCGCTCGCATAAAGACATCGAATCGAGTAACGGGCCGATTATGCGCGGCGGGTTTCAGATTACCAGGAAGAGGGATGCTGGGATGACGGGATGATGGAATGACGGACATTTGCTGACTAGACGAGTTGCCATTTGTGCACATTGCATGGTGAGCAGACGAGGTACTTCCATAGTGAGCATAGCCAGTGAAGCCACGTCGATGGTAGGCGAATACGAGATGCAGCCACCTCGAAGGAGGCTTTTAAGTCTTGACCAGGTCACACGGACTCGTAAACAGGGCTGAATGCACGTACCTTGTACTCGGGCCTCCGTATCAAAAGTAATCCGGACCCAGCTTGCAGGAGAGGTGCAGGAGACTTGCTGCAGGCCTGACGGCCGCCGCGTCACTCAATTTCCTTAGACTGAGTATATGTGTTCCGGACGCCGACGAGTTTCTTATATGCCACGCTTTGTGCAAGAATTCTGGATGCTGGCGAGTTCCGTGCTGGTAGTGGGAATTTCTAAAGGGGCGGCTACCGTGCACGGGCCAGTGGCCACTTGGGCAATATGCCTCTTTTCCACTTGGGGGGCCACTTAGGGGAGGACGGGGGCGCTGCAATGCTGACATGATGAGGCTACTCCCTCGTAGGTAGGTAGACATTTTCGTATGATTGCACAGGGACGACAGGGCAGGTATCCCTGCCCCTTTCCGGGCGTGATTAACCGCCCCCGTAGAAACGCACACGCAGTCCATGTGTCCACCCTGCCCACTTGCCCACTTGTCTACCCCCCGACATTGGGCAGCACAGGTGGCTCTGCTGGCTCTGCTGGCTCTGCTGGCTTGGTCCTCAGGAGAAATCGAAATCAATAGGGCCACCCAAGTGCCCTTAGCTGGTGGGCGGCTAAGCTGAAAGGGGCCGACTCCCCCGCCAAACTGCGACTCAGCCTCTTCAGAACCCACTAATAGCAAGCAAGCCAATTACGCCGTACCCGGGCTCCTGTTTCGCGTTGCCTGTGCCTGTATTGTTCCCCTACAGTAGCACTCAGTTGGGTTTTAGCAGAGCCAGGACTCGTGCGTACTGCGTACTCCGTACTGTGTCTTCTCAACACTGTTGTCTCATCTCTTTCCTTTTTCACTCTCAATCCTACGCTGTCTCTCACTCTCATTCGCCTTTTGCCTTACCACCTGCTCTCCCTCTCCCTCTCCCTCTCCCTCTCACACAATCTCTCTCACTCACATCATCATACATCATCGTCATCCCCCATCCCAGTTTCTTCTCATCCTTGTCGATCCTTTTTTCTTGTCCTTTTTTCTCTCACCTGCAATTCTCTTCTTTATCCCTCCCCCTACCCACCTTTTTCTCTTCCCCTCCCCCTTGATCCAAGCTTCTCTGGCGTTCTTTCGTCAACGGTCGTTCCCCTTACCACCCACGTCTCACGTCTCGAGTTGTCTTGGCCCAGGGTCACCCTGCAATCCTCGATTCCTCACACCTCATATTCCGTCCTCCGGCCCTCTTCTGGCCTAATTCATTCTCCGCCACGCGTCTAAAGCAGGTGTACCTGTTCAGTCACTCCTTTGCGGTGCGCTTGGCCTCCCGGACGACGTGTGTCGAACTTCATCGCGTCGACCCTTTCTACGCACGTGACCACCTTTTCAGTGGACACGCGACACCTTATTTGGGCTTTACACTTTTTGCAACTGCCGTCCAGAACGCATGAGTTAGACCTCTTCTTCGAACTCCGAACCTCGATTTCACCTGTTCTGTTTTAAGGAAACAACTCTCCAATGGCCTCGATACCTTTCAATGTCACCGAGGCCGCTGATGCGGCTCAACCCGATATGGGTGGCGCCCAGTTTGCTTCGCATACTTGGATGGAACCAGTTGTCCGTTCAATCCCCCCCTTTTTACCCGGTGCTTCGTCGCTAACTGGTACCAGATCGTCGTCAGTATCATGACTGCTTCGCTTTACTTTAATCGGAGACACAACTTTCGCATACTCCAATCTCGTAGAGGTCGCTCACCCGTACGCTCTCTGCTCCCCCACAACGACTCCCAGGGCTCCTCCCCTGATGGCTTCACCGACTCCGATTCCCTCACCGAATCGGACGTCTTCACCTCGACCAAGCATCCCCCCAAGAAGCGAAACTGCTGCGGCGTCATCATCCGGACTCCCAATTCGTCCAGATTCTCCGACAACTGGCACTCTCGAGTATTGGCCAAATTTCCCTTCCTGATCGAGATGTTCTACTGGGTGTTGAATCTGCTGTTCTATACCCTCACCAAGGCCGTGGCTCAAGTTCTGTTCTCCGCCGACGACGGTTTGTGGCAGCTGGCCCAAGATCATGGCGTCCTTGTTCTCGACATCGAGCATAAGTCCTGGCTGAGATTTCTGTTTCCGATCCGAGAGAACGACTTCCAGGCCTGGTTTTTGAACGGTCATTTGACCGCCATCACATTTTTAAACCGCATTTATTCGCTTGTTCATATCCCCGGTACTGTTGCGTATGTGTCTTCCCTTCCTCGTGTTGTGCCTCCCACTAAATGTCTCTCTCCAGCTTTCTCTCGTGGTATTACTACGCAGCCCCTACCCACTCGGCCTTCGCCACCGTGCGCCGGACGATGACTCTGGGTAACTTTGCCGCATTCACGATATTCACCTTCTTCCCCTGCATGCCGCCCCGTCTCTTGCCCAAGGAATTCGGCTTCCACGATACGGTCCGCCAAGCAAACGCCGAGTCGGTCTGGGTTGGTGGCAACTATGTCAATCAATTAGCTGCCATGCCTTCACTGCATTTCACCTACGCCTTTTGTGTCGGCAGCACCTTCCTCTACCACTCTGGTGTGTTCCGTCGCGCTCAGAGGAGTGAACCACGCAAACCATTTTACACCCAGATTTTGTTTCTTGTTGCCGGCATCTGCTATCCGTTGTTGGTCCTGACGGTGATTGTCGCCACCGCGAATCACTATTGGTTGGATGCCGTGGTCGCCATGTGTACGACTACTCTGAGCTTCTGTTGCAATAGAATTTGGATGTTCTTGTTGCCGGCTGAAGATATACTCTGTTGGGTTTTGAGGGTGGATAAACCGACGCCGACGACGGGAGATAGACTGAAGAGGAGAAATAACGAATATCAGGCTGTAAAAAATGAAGACGAGCCCTGAGAAGATTGGAAAGAACCCGCTTTTGGTTTTTGTTTTGGGAATCTCCAAGAAGAAAAAGCAGAGATCTGATTTTTCATGCGATGGTGTAACAACCAGAACATTTGGGTTATTTACTGTTGAATATGGAGGGAAGTAAGAGAAAAGTCGAAATCTCGCGGAAGCGGAGGGAAAGAAGAGAGAACTTGGGCTGAGTACGACGCCGGAGAGATCTGCACGGAGCGGCTGTTGATACGCTGGTCTGTGGAAGCGAGCGTCCTTCAAGCCATGCCACCACTCCGCCGTGACCATTCAGCATGTAGCCACAACTCCAAAGCTCCTATCCTCCAGTCTGTCCAGCTGAGTGAGCACCCGCGAAAGCCGACAGCCATTCTCCAGCGATGAATGGACGTGAACAGTCTCCATATCGGGCAATGCGATGGGAGGGATCTATGAAAACTGGGGATTTGGGGCGTGCATCAAAGGTTACAGCTCCGTGCCGTCGAGATACTCTTCGTTCAAAACATGTTGTTATGGGATTGCCGCGTCTCTCCTCCATGTTCTTCCACGGGCTGGAAGCATCTATTCAGGATGGGGGCATATAACGGCGTTAAAAGGGTGGTGGGCGAAGCACCGAGTCTTTGCCTCCAGCAGTCTGCATATATTGGACATTGGAATATATCAAGGTTACTACGGTGCACAGATTATGTTGTTGCTTTCGCCTTGTGCCTCATTCAGTCAAACAACAAGTCATCGTCCAAGGCACCCATGTCTCCGGCTAGATCGACACGTACACACACAGAGACACACACATATGCTAGGCTCTGCAGCGTCGTCCAACACCCAAGTGCCACTGAATGACTGAACAACTGATTGACCGACTATCCCTTCACGACAGTGCTAGAAGGGGCAGCCGGCCTGGCTGGACTGATCCGCTCGCCACCATCAGCGTCAGCGTCAACGTCAATGTTTCACTGACGGCAAGCGAGTACGCTCAGTGAATCAATGCGTGGTGAGTCTTTCGGGGCCTACCGTATTTGGCTAGGGCCATATGCTTGCTTGCTTGCTGCGGTGGACGTACTCTCTCTGTCCTCGGTCCGGTGTATTCCTTGGAGGATTGGCTGATTTTACAATCTTGATCTTGTGACTGCTTGACCTCTGGAGACCGGGTCCGGATGGAGGCAGAGTCAGCCATGGAAGTGAAAAGGCAATGAAGGCCTGCTTCTCCATGCAGAGAGCTAGTATACATTTCCGCTTCCCATCTCCCTCCCTCCAACTCGAGGCATGCCCCTACTCCATTGCATTGGGTTGTACTGGATGCTGGGTCCCATCCCTTTCCTTTCTTCCCCTTTTTCCGACTCGAGACTGGACTGGTCCTGCCAAACCTCTCTCCCACTCCCTGTGCCGGAGCTGAGCTGGAACTGCAGTTGATTAATCGTTGCTTTTTTCTTTTCTGGTCTCTCCTTGGCTCTGGCCAGACCTAAGTAGACCGGTTTGTGGGAGGTGGAACAGCAAACAGACAACATGATTTTGTTGACAGTTCCAATCTGGGGTTTTCCTAGTTCTTTTTTTCTCTCAAAGGCCTCGTCTATTCTATATGCAGGAAGGAAGGGACACAGCGAGTGAGACAAGAGCAGAGAGCAGAGGATCGGCGAACGAGAGAGTGGGAGAAGGGAGAGAAGGGAGAGAAACACAGACAATGTTGGACAGATGTCTGGTCTGGTCTGGTCTGGTATGAGCTCCCTTACAAAACAACAGCCGCTGAAGCTGGGAGACCGTCTGTACGTGTGAGAGTCAACCTAGTTCACTACCTTTTGTTGCCCAAAACTCTACCTACCTACCTGCCTGAACAGCAACCATTTTCTCCGAAATCTGGGATGTAGGATCCCTGATCAGATGAGAGCAAAACTCGCTTTCCGCGCCCTCTGGTGTAGATGTAGCGAGGGCACCAGGTCCATTCAATCAACCCCTTCCCTCCCTCCCTCCCTTGGTGGACCCTATAGAGCAGAGCCCATGGCCTACGCCATTCACTCACTCACTCACTCACTCACTCACTCACTTGTTTCGTCAGTTCATGAAACACTTTGTCATGTGAAGGAAGGGATACAAAAACCCCATTTGTCAAAGCGAAGTAAAGCAGATGAAGTAGTGTGAAGTGAAGAACATACAATCCTATCCATACGTCACTCACCCAGCTCGTCGGTAGATCAAAAGATTGTAATTAGTGGTTTGATTTGGGCGCATCACGGCGTGCTTCAATACCTGGAGGACATATGAATGATAATAATAAAAGAATACATAGGTACCTATGTATTAAGGCTAGGCTAGGCTAGACAGGAATACTGTAAAGAAATCACTTGCCAGGTTAATACTGTATGTTTGTCGGTTCGTAAGTGACAAAATAGGTTTGGTTTCGGTCGGACGACACCTCCCTGGAGGAAGATACTGGTTTTACAATGTAGTATTATCATCGGCGCCATCTCATTTCCAACCATACATACATACGCGTCAAGAGCATCGGGGGTCGGGGGTCGGGGCTTGGCAATGTGAGGCTTGTTTGTATATTATGTAGTTCGTGTTGTATAGGACATGAGATCGGATCGGATCCCTGGCGTCGAAACACTGCCCTGTATGTTATTCCCCAAGCCCAAAGAAAGATCGGACTCAGAGCAGCCAGCCGGATTGGAGCATAGGCTGCTTGCTGGCTGCAGCACGCCTAGCCCATTGAGTAAGATAGACTGAACATATGTTCTTTATATAGCCATCCGTATCCCCCTTCTCGTACCGTGCGTGTGTGCTCTTTTAGCCCGGTGCTTTCTTATTGTTCCCCTTCTGACCCCAATGCGAATCGGCGACTGGCCTCTGCGCGAAGGCGGGCGATGTCTGTCGGCACGGGCGGCTGAGGCATTCTGGTCGTATGGCTCGCTGTTAGCTGCTCATCGGGAGGAGAAGTGATGGTGGTGGTAGCTGTGGATGGTCATGCGAGCGGTAACACTTGTGTGTCACCGTTCTGGGTCGTACCCTATCCTCCAGCATATCTTCCCCTCTTATTTCATCTTGTCTCTTGTCTCTCTCTCCCTCTCTCTTTTGTGTGGTCTCTCTCTCCTTCCCTTAGTCCTCCTCCTCTTCGTCAGCCTTTGCTGTCCATATCCTCCTCTTCGCTGACGCCGAGCCAGTTCTGTTCTTTCTTGGGTTTCTTGGGTGTCTTGGCTGGTGATACCCAAGACATACATGTTCGTTCAATGCACGTCAGCGGCGCCAGAAGCTGTCATTCCGGACAAAAAAAAACACGCAGCAGGAAACATCCTACCACAATCAGAACCTTGACCCTTTTCCCAAAAGGGATGCAAATGGCCAGAATCAACCCTTGCCGAAGAAACATTCCACGCTTCAGGCTGGCTGGGCGTGCTGCGACCATGAGGGTTACCTACCACCCGACCACCCTGAGCCGCAAAGTTTGACCGCTCGCTCTCCGGCGGCGAAGAGAGGGGACGGGAGTCACGGGCGCCAGGACGACGGGCTGCAGTTCATCATACAACGAACACACACACACACACACTCTCTCTCTCTGGAACATGGCTATCACCGGAGAGTAGCCCATGATTCACATTCCATTCCTGCTGCACCTGCTGTCTGTGTGTGCGAGTGTGTGTGTGTGTGTGTGTGTTGCTTCTGGCTGACATCTCAACGGACGGTTGATCGTTCACCATAAGGCTGAAGGCGAGGAGTGCGGAAATTGCTCGGACGCGAGGTCGTGTTGTGTGGCGATTGTCTCGTTCTCTTCTCTCTTGCCAAAACGAGCTACTACCCAGCTTACAAGCCCTATTAGCCGCCCTTGAGTATACAGTGCGGATACGGGAGGCGTCCCCCGGCGCGGGCGGCCTGACAATCAAAGTTATAACCAAAACCGGGCGCGCGAGAGGCAACTCTAGGTACAGGACGACCAACCATCGGATTCCGGAACAGGCATTGGCCTTCAGGAAGGATGTTTGATTACTGGTACGGTATGAGGAGTATCAAGTCGTTTAGTCTAGCCGGATCCACCACTGGGAAAAGAGGCTCTTGCTGGTTTGATACCTGTCCTTTTGTCCTTTCCGTCCTCAATACCTCGCCCCCAAGGCACTCGAGACCCATGCACGGACATCCACGAGCCCTTTGCTAAATTTGGCTTGGGGTGGCGGACAACGTTGGGCGTCATTCGTCGGTTGCCAACCACGAAACCCAGCCAGTGCCAGAAGAACAAAGCGGCCATGTGGGCAACTCGACGGCCGCCTCCCAACAGAACCCAGCTCCATCGAAGATCTTCTCGGATCGCAAGGGCCGTCCGTATTCCTCCTGGTACGCGGTCAGTCATGGGGCAGAAAAAGCATTCACCCCAGGGCCTCGTTGTCCGCCGGAAATGTCACACGTTTACTAACCCGACTCCGTCCTCCATCACCACCGGTTTCCCCTTCGCGCCAGCCACGAGCATGTCCATCAGCCGCTGCGGCTCCCGTCGAGTCAGGAGGTTACTCGGACGGAAGGCAACACGAGGCCTCTGCTGGGTGTCTGCGGCTAGGGAAAAAGTTTTCATGTCCTATCCACGGAACTTCTTTGTCCTCCCCAACAAAACTTGGCTCTAGGAGACGAAAGAAAGGCTCTGACTCGTCCATGTCTATCGCAAAAAGCGCCGAATCTTTTTGCCTTCCCCCCTTTCTTCGCAACAAGCTGCAGGACAAGACATCTAGACGTGCTGTGATTGTCAGGGCACCAGGTAAGACGGCGAAGCTGAAGGGACTCTCACCATGGACTCGCAATGCGCCCTTGGACCTAGGGTGCGAAGGAGCGAGGAGAAAAGAAGTTAACCGGAGTGGCAACTCGCTTCCTAGTAGCACCACATCCCGGTCCTCGTTTGGTAGACTGTCGCAGGAAGTGGCGTGCGGCTGATACAGGAATGGTTTTGCAGATGGCCAGGATCGTAGCCCTATAAGGCTGAACTGGCGGTGAAGCAGCCTGCCAGGTCGCCGCTTTTGTTGCTCGAGAGCTGCATCTTCCTAGGTAGTGTGCAATCTACTGGAGGAGCTTTGCCTGTCCGTTGCCGGTTGTTCCCTGTCGTTGTTCCCAGGAAGGGGCTTCCTGAGCCCGTCCGTGACCCAGCCAGGTACTGTAGCCACTGTTCAATAGATCATTTCTATCGTTGAGAAGGGTCTTCCTCCGTTGAAGTCCTGAGATATCCAGGCATGATGGCTACTGCTTATTAGTTTTCGAGAGTTCTTCTCCTCCAAGGTTACGGTCATCGTGCGTTCGACCGACGACGCACAGCCTTAGCCCAGCATCGTTTCCAATGCCGTGCCAGGAGATCGTTCCACAAGAACTTCTTCAGGACCCCCTCTAGGGTCTCCCACCGGGCCGTCTCTTCGGGGTATTTGTCCAATGTCTGATCCAACACCATACTCATAGCAGAGAGCAGTTCAGACTGCTCGAGCGCACCGGCAGCTGCCATAGCGACCCAAATGAGACACTCTCGGTGTCCTTTCTGGGCCTTCTCTTGCTGTGGCCGGGGCTTGCCATTACCGATGAGTGTGTCTTCAAGCTCCTGGAGCGTCTCATTGAACTCTTCACCAATCTTCCCATCTCCGAAGTGGAGGGTGAAGCAGGTCCCAATCACCCCGAAGCAGAGCTTGTGTTCGATCGAGGTGGTGGCCATAACCGACAAACACCTCAGATCTGCGATGGTATTCAGCAAGTTCCGTCCTCCTGGTGAGCTCGGCGGTGAGCTGGTCGGGGAGGCGCTACCGTCGCCCCTGGCTGTTTTAGATAGGTTCGCGAGAATATCGATCATCTGGATAGACATTTCCCCCGCCATGGCCATGTCGTTAAACGACGTCGACACCTTTGAGAGAGCCTCGCAAACTTTAATGTTGAACGGGAGAGAGGGATAAAGGGGTAGTTCGTTACGCATGGGTGATTCGATCGAAAGCTGGGCCATGCTGGTCGTCGCCTCGTTTCTATCTTTGACAAACTGCCACAGGGCATCGTAACTGGTCGACTTAGAGATTGCGCGTGCGGGAGGGAGCGTGGACAACTTACGCTTTCATGGCAGAAATGACAAAGTATTGCCATGGCGTGTCACCTTTGAGATCAGTCCGAATCTTGCGAATTTGTTGCATGGCTTTGATGTGATTCTCGGCACCTTCGTGGACGCCGAGCATGTACTGTCGAGACCGTTAGAAGTTGGTCTGCTTGGAGCCTCGTCTACTTACATCAATTGTCGTGAGTGCCGCAATAGTGCAGATGGTGGTGTCGTCTGCACACGTCGCTTCAGATGTCAGCCTCAACCGCAACGCAGCGAAGGCATTGGCACGGTGATGCGCAAGTGCGGTGTCCTTGGACCATGGAATGCCTTCCTGCAAAAGCCACGACGCTCGGCTGAGCGCTACCATGGCCTCGAACAGTACCGCATGGTTCAGGGCGTACGGAAACACCAGCGACTGGTACGGTTTGGGATGTCCTTCAAACGCAAGTGCTCGACCATGCTGTTCCGCCCAAACCTGTAAATCTGAAGTCAAGTTCAGCACAACTCCAAGGAAAAACCCAAGTCCCAAGGGGCATGCTCACAATACTTCACCATCCGCGGAACCACGCCTTCGTTGGGAATAGGAAACACATTGACCGGCTCAGAGTGGAAGATGTTGACAGAAAAGCGCGGTAGCCTCATGGCCTTCCTGATCGGAAACACTTCATCCTCGACGGGAGATTTTCGTTTTCGACGTCGGACCGAACTCGACTCTCCCTGATCGAAATCCCATGAAAAACGTTCAGACAGGGGCGTACTTGCCGGCACGAGAGCCGTAGATGAAGTCTTCAGCACCAATTCGGGGCGACGCGCTGGCTGACGATGATGGACCGCATGTTTCCTTGCGGCGGGCGTGCGCGGTCGTGGTTTATCACCGCCGGACGTCGATGGATTTTGCAACAGTAGTTGTTCTATTTTGATTGCCTTTGCCATGCCTTCGGTAACAACTGTGCGACCATTGTTGACTGGACGAGGATATCAAGCTCACGAACTTTGAGTGTGACTTTTAGAATGCTTCGGCTCCCGTGAGACAAGGCACAAGGCACAGGCAGCCTGGGCCTCTAAAGGGGAGCAGAGGCCCAAGTAAAGGGAGGTCAAAGTCGCTCGCAGCGGGGGCCACCAAAGCGCTTACAGTTTGTCAGCGGAATGCGAAGGTTGCCAGACCGGAAGGCCTTCAAGCTCAAGTTCGGACGAAGTTTCGAGGCACGAGTACGAGTAAAGCAGCGTGCGCAGCTGTTGCCTGATCGGGGTGCCAGCGGTTGGAAAAGTCTGTGGTACAGTAGGTATATCGTGTGGCGTTTGGGGGATGATGCTTGCCAATTGGGTGGGGATGCGACGGCATGGAATGTGGATATCCAGCAGAGTAAGATGGCTGCCAGTACAAACACGCAGCAGACATGCACGGCCTGTGCCCTCGTTTAGCAGCACTGATCAGTGGTCGGATAAGATTGGAGATGTCGTCGGTTCGCTTGTCACAGGATGAGAGTTGCCGGAGGTGGTGTACTTGGTTGCTCGCGCTCTGCCTGGTCGTCAGGGGGGCAAAACAAAGCTATCGAAGACAGTGCTGACATCCGCTTCTTCGGGACGCTCTAAAGGCGACTTGAAGTCAGCCAACGCGGGGCGTGCTGTGGGTTGGCGGTGGGCTGGGCTACTGCCCTGTCCGTTCGCCGGTTATGCTATGGGTGTGGTAGGCTGTACCGAGTACGTCTGTGACAGACCTTCGCATGGTAAAGTTTCAGGTCGTATTGTCCTGTCAGGGATTTGTGGATTTCGTGGAGTCAGGCTGGTGGGCTGGACTTCTTTTCATCCGTCTCTCGCCTCCCAGAACTCGGAATTCCTCATCCAGCAATGGGGAAGTCAAAGCTGTGAGGGTCGTGTGGGCACCCTGGTCATATCCTTGTTTCCGCCAACCAGCAGTGAGACTTTTCCGACGGTCCTCGACAATGCTTGTTGGATAGCCGCTAACAGTCCCAAAAGAGCGATCGTACATCTTTGGTCCGAATGGCCGATGGATGATGGCAGGGGGCCGTTTAGGAGTTACCAACCGCATGGGGCTCTGGCCATGGACGAATACTCGGTGCTTCTTGCCCCCATATCAATTGCTGGCCCCCCTGTCAGTAAGTGCTCCGACGTGTGCCTTTCAGACAAGTGTGCATAGGCAATGACTTTGTATAATTGGTGACCTTATCTCGACCCTCAGCCTTTCTGGTTTCAGGCTGCGCACGCACCCGTGGCCTGCCATAAACCATTTGGACCCTCCTACAGGACGAGCACATTTTCGGCGGAGCCTGGAAAAGAGTCAATTGTTCTCAACTACTAGACCGGGAAGGGGGGCGTGCGAGACTATACTCTACCAATCAAGACTAATCACTTCGCCCACTGGACTGTGCGAGTAGTTTGGGACTGCGACTGACCGGCTCGGACTCCTCCCGTGTGAGGCACTGGAGAACCCATTCCCAATTTCAGACTGGTAGAGGCAGGTTGTGTGTCATTGCATTGTCGATCCTTGTCTGCCTCCGTGGCTAGGGGTGAGGATATGGGCACGACTGAAGGTCGGAGAGCCAAGGATTTAGCAAGAAGGACAGAGAAGCGAAATGAGCGCTGGCTGGTCTGTTGAGTTGTTTTTTTCTCGGCAAGGGGACAAAGCCCAAAGAAAATCGATGCGAATAATAGGTAGACATGTTGGCGTTGGAGTCGTTCTCATGTGTCTGCCAGCTGCAGGAACCCGATTTCTATCACCCTGTCGATGCCTCGTGGCGGCCATGTTCATTTTGCCTGCCCTCACCCTTCTGGTTCTCGTTCCGCGTCCACCAATGGTTCGTATAACCGTTGGTTGCCCAGTCAGCCACGCCATCTACCCAACCTAGCTTCGCAGTATCTCCAGTGAGTTGCTCCTCCCAAACACAGTCGCACTCTCCACTTCTGTAAAAAGTCGTCGTCAGCCGCCATCAGCTACATCCTATGCTATGGAGACATACGCATGACAGCGGAAGTAAACAGTGTGAAAGTTGCAAGCTGCTCTGCATGTCAGTGCATTCCAGGGGCTTCGGAGTCATCAGCAGCAGCGTACTTCCCCACTCATGACAGATCAGTGTTCCCTGTCGGTCGCAGGCGCACAGGTCGTAGCACTTCAACGGTGTCAAGGCCCAGGTTGGGGAAGAATCGGCACTGCTGTCGTTTCTCGGTCTCAATTCGGTTGTGTTCTGGAGTGAGCGCGGCGCTGTTGGAGGGTTGTTTTCCCGGCAGTACCCGATATCGACGCCCGGTAGTTCCTTGATTCTGTCAGGCTCAAGCCGTTCATGGCTGGAAGGAGTATCTTGCTTTGCACTCGACGTGCCAGCCCCATGCGGATGGCAAAACAGCAGTACCCCGACCAACTGATTTCTTTCCGACACCCAAGATAGCACCCTCCACGCCATCATTTTCTCGAGTTGGTGCAGCAATGCCAATGGAAAAGAGATGGAACAGAATAGACAAGAAGCACAAGGACTGCATCAAGGCCTTCATGGCTTCTGTGTAGTATTTGAATGCTGACGATCTGGAAGGGGATTTAGGATGGTGACGGCCACGCTGCTGTTGGAAAAGGTCACGAAACGAGCAAAGGTAACTCGCAGCACTTGGGTTTGTCCGGCCATTCTGGGGAGATTGAAAAGGAACTCGAAGAACACAGGTGCAATTGGTAGCGAAGGAAGGTGAAGTGAATGTCTGCTCTTGTATCCAATGGCACTGGCAATGGCGCGAGTTACAGAGGAAGGTGCAAGGTCGAGTAGCAATCATTTCTTCACCTCAGTTGAAATCCCCGGTTGTGGTGCTGGTTGAGGCTTCTGTTCGCTGTCATCCTTCAAGTCCTTGATCTCAATGATCTGGCATTGGCTTCAGCGTTTGGATTATCTGGGAAAGGTCGAGCTGGCTGGCTTACATTGTTGCCTATGGAACAGTCAGCTTCCTGATATTGGGGACCATGCTAGGAACATTAACAGTCAGCACAGTGACCCCAGTCTCCCTCTTTGGTCACATCTACCCTCCCGCCGCAGTTGGGGCACTTGGGCATCTTGAATTGGACGATAAGGCTGAAGGCGGGGCGTTGGGATAAGGGGATGGGTTGTCAAATATCTACTGGCATCAAGCAAGGATCTGAGCGCACCAGAGGGGTTTTTGGAAAAGGATGTGCGAAATACAAAGATGAAGCGGTTACACGGACGGTGGACAAAATGTGAATCTCAGTTGCATCCGCTGACGATTTCCACGTGATGTGTACACAAGTGATGACATAAGCAATCGCTTAGGGTATCAAGCCCCTAGTCAAGCACCTAGGTGTCAAGGGAGACAAGATATTAGGTCAACCAGTTATTTGCTATTTCCATTGCTTCCCTATGGCTCGTCCATGAGCCCCAAGATAAACTTTTTGACCTCGTGGATTTGCAGGCGTTCCATGGGTTGTGTTTGGCAATTCATTCTCGCTCAGACTTTTCCAGACCTCTGCTATTGTCGCCCGTTGTCTCGGAAGCACCGAATACTGTAGCCCGTACATTTGGCTCCGACCTAGAGGCGGTACGAATCGTCCTGTGAGGAGTCGAAACACGACCGTGGGCGAAAGATAGTGTTGACGGATGCGTGCCCAGAGCTGGAAATACTGTTCAAAGATCTGGCGTAGTGATAACGGGGTAGAGGATAGACGAATGTAAGCCATGCTGGTCATCCCGCCGTCTCCTTCTTCCTCATTTTCCTCTTCAGCGTCGCCAGCGCTGTCATCATGATCGTCTCCTTGCTCCGTTTCTTCCTGGTAAGGGACTCTTGTCTGCTCGGCATCCAATAGCTGAAAATGAATTCCCCCGGGCAACCTCTTACTGTCCTTGATCCTAAGCATCAACGCAAACAAGGGGAAGTGGTTGAGACACGCGAGGCAGGTGTCCAGCGTCGCTTTCAGCGAAATGATCGCCATGCGAGCCGAAGCAAAGGTCAGGTAGAAGACCACCACAGTCGGCAGGAGGAAGAACAGCAGAGTGAACAATATCGTACCCAGCAACAGCTGATCAAGATCGTAGTCGCAGTTGTCGATCCGGTTGCGAAGCACGTTCCGCTTCTTGCCACGGAATAGGTGAAAGAGGCTGACGATGATTGTCAACTGCCAGTTGAAGATGCGTGCACTTGCGACGTAAAAGGAGTAAATGTGCATGGTGAGCAGGCTCAGGAGGTCGGAGAAAATGGCGATAGGCATGGTGGCCCCAGCAAAAGAGGAGCATCCGACAAAATACACGACGGTGGGTAATCGTGGAACAATGAGCACGACTATGGTCGAGGCCCAATACTCTATGACCCACAAGAAGAGGTCGCCGAGAAACGCAGCAAGCTCCGTGTTCAATTTGAGACCACCTGGATATGACATGAGCCACCTGATCATGCGCTTGAGACCTTCAATCGTATAATCATCCAAGATTCCACCAATGAGCTGAGATGTAGCTTGCGCATTGTCGCTAATGAAGCTTCCCAGTGCAATTCCGATGATGACATCGTTTGCTACCAGCCACAGCGAATTATAAAAGCGGATGTAATCGCTGTTTGTTGTTGGAAAGGACGACCAAGTTGCTTTGCGACGTCGAAGTAGGGAATACTGTGTCGGATAGTAGGAGAACTGTTGAAGGCGGAGATGCACTTGCTGACAACAGGCCGAGACATCCTTGAGTGCGAGGGTTCCTTTGACAGCCCGGCGGTTTTCTGCAGATTGTAGTCTTCGGAAGGGTAGGGGCAGCTCTAGAAGTTGTAAAAGGCCTTCAGCGACGATCCTGTGTCCAATGATCGCGATTTTGAAGACGGACAACACCAGAGGAAAGGCGTACGCCATAAACAGTGTCCAGAGCGACCATGCCGCAAACGCATAGAGTGATTGTGCAGATTCGACGACTCGTTCGCTCACAGAGAGGCTCCTTTTTCTCCGCGGACCGACAAGAGGCGTGTTCTTCTGGAGTAGCTCTGCAACTTCCTGCGAGCAATTGATCTGGCGAAGGATTGCAGGCAATGCCAACTCTTTCTTCGTTGGGACATGTCTGACCACAGTGTGGAAACGCAGCTTTGCCACTAGCTCAGCGATCTTTTCCCGCTCTTTGTCCCCCTGCATCCCATTCTCGTCCAGTGTAGAGTCGGGTACCCCGGCGACCAAGTATTCCCTTCCCAAAGCAAGCGATATTGGCTCGAGGGACATGTACTGCATTTGGGTGGGATTGGGGGGGTCGAAAAGGACAACTTGGACGGTCAAGTCTGCGCCTGGTGGGCAGTAGATAGAAGGTCTGCGAGAACCCGGAATAGTGAAGGCGCAAATTCTGGCAGGATCAAACGTCTCTGGTGGATCTGGATGATTGAGGGTACCTAAGACGTGCATATGAGGCTGGTCGCAAAGCTGAAAGATCCGGGCCACTGGATATGGACTATTGCGAAAAAGAGTGCCCATGCGAAGAGCAGATTCGACGCTGCGGACCTGGATCGATCAGCATCTGATTCTGCACATGTCTCTTCCACCAGCTTACTTCAACATCTTCAAGAACGGTTATGACAAACAAATCGTATTCCGAGTTCCTCCATCCCACTATTACACCGGGTGTGGTTGTCCGAGTAAGGCTGCTCGGCCAGAATATCCGTAGCATGCCATCGCTATTCTCGACCATGGTAACATATTGTTAAAGCTTAGAAGGAACCTCTCCGACGTAGTTGCTCTTGGGCAGAGATTCCATGCGCGAGGATTCGAGGATGAACAGTGGCTTCGTGGGAGGCGAGGTAGTCGAGAGGAATGGCGAGGACGACGTAGATGAGCGAAATAATCGCAAATGCTTTCGCAACGCGTGCAAAAACACCGTGGTCCCAGGCAAAGATGGCTAATTCATAGAGTCTGGTAACAAGATCCCAACGCGCAGTGATGTATCCAGCAACAAAGATACCAATAGTCAGGGAGGAGAAGGGGTGCATCGACGCGACCTGGTCAATTTGAGTGAGGAGCTGTCAATCAAGCATCTTGCGTTGCGACATGGTCTCAAGCAAATTGAGTTGGGACAATTGAAACTCTTGTGAATTCTGGATAGGAGACTGTACGAGATACTCCGCAAAAGCACCAGGGGAGGAGCAAAAGGTGGCGGAAATGATACGGAAGCGCATTTGTGCCAAAGTGGCAAAGCCACCGGCATCTTAGGAAGAAAGATTTTCCCATCCGCTGTGATAGAACAAAGCCCCCCTCCAGCACCCCAAGCACGACGTGCTCAAAGTATATCTAAAGGATTGGAATCAGACCGAACAATGAGCTTCGAGACGAGGAAAACTAGCTGTAGCGAATGAATAGCCTTCTGCTCGATCCCAACTCAGTTACCAGCCCACAGTATACGAGCTCTCTCACCACTGCCAGCCGTTGACTTGAAGCCTTGTATATCACTCGATGGCTTCTTGTGGGTATATCTGATAGTCTCATCTCGGGCAATGCTCCTGAGTGCCCGTAAAAAGACCAAACCACCCCTGTGAACCACCTTTGACAGGTCCTGGATGGTCTCGTGGGTAGAACTCTCCTGGTGTCAATGCCCCCTGCACTGGTTCTCGTTTCCTTCTCCTGCCCTCTCTAGACCAATATACGTATCTTTATTACTCTTGTACAGAGGATTGCTGAGACTGACGTTGGCTCCTGGAGGTCCTTCAGCTTGCAGGCCCTCTGTGCTTCTCGTTGGACCATTTGGCGCTAGCAAGCGCTAAAGCTGTTAGCGGTCGATCATCCGTCTTTAGCTCCGGATAAATCTCCCTGTGAGAAAGCTATCCCTGTCTCTCACCTTCTTGTAGCTTCCTCGTCTTCTGTATCACAGCATCCAGTATGATTTGACAAAGTCATCCTCGCGTCGTGTAATTCTGTCAGGGAAACGGCGCAGGACGCTGGCGGCCAGTGTGACATATCGGGGTACATTTGTTTCGCGTCCAAGATGAGACATTGCAGCTAGCCGAAGTCGAGGTTTCCAGCCTCCCGAATTTCGATTGTCGAGGTGTGAAAGAGCTGGTTATCAGCTGCTGTCGGGTGTATCTTCTCAACTCCATTGTCCTGAGGTAGGCCTGTTGTTCGTCTGTCTGTCCACCTCCCTGCTGCCAGCGTCAACCTCAGTCTGAAGGCAACTTGTGCAGCCTTTGAAGTCGGAACAGAATATCTTTGTGTGTGCCTTTGACCGGGTGGTTGCAGGCAGTGGAGGGGCAACAGCTATCTGCAGATTTGGTTGCTCGCAAGCCTTGCACTTGTTGAGCTTGGGCAAACACCAGCTTTGTCGGGGTGGCGGATAGGCGCATCGCATGGCAGCTTCCGACGCTCCGCAGCAGTGATCTGGGCTGGCCGCTGGCCGCTGGATCGACTTGGTCTGATCTGATCACTGACTGATTGCAGCTGCCTTCCGCTGTGATTTCTGTGAAGCGCAGAGACTACAGATCGATCGCACTAGTGGTCGGGTCGATCTGCAGCGCCTCTTCTCTACTATAAATCTCTCCTCTGATTTTCCAAAACCTCGACCTGAACTTCTGCCTCTTACCCCCTACCAAATACCTTCAAGTTCTCATCAACACCATCTGCGTCACTCTTTTGGACCAGAATTAACTACGAACTTGGATAACTCCATACTCTTACTCACCACATTCATCAAAACATCCTTCATCATGAAGATCATGCACGTCATCAGTCTGGTGGTTGCCAGCTTCGCTGCTGCTTCCTATGGTGAGTCAACAACCCCCTCTTCCACTTGTGTGTGCTCGCTGCTGACAACACAAACAGCCACTGCCATCAACTTTGGTGCTCATGAGAAGGTGGTTGCAGCCTTGGCAGGTGAGAATTTCAATCCCACAGACTTCTGACCACACGACACTGACGAAAATTGCACAGCTAGAGACATGTCGATTGATGAGATCCACGAAATCATCAACCTCATGCCACGTCGTAAGTTTGACAGGCCACTTGGTCTCTGCAATTTTGACTGACATTGTTTGCAGAAGAGCCGGTCACTGTCACTGTTACTCCTGCCGATTGCACCCCCCCCGGAACTCAGTCTACCATGACTCCAGCTGTTCCGCTCACCCCTACCACCACTTTGGTCACAGTCACTTCGTCCACCTCTGTCACCACGACTATTTTCACCACTCCGACCACTGTCAGTAGTGAGACTCCAGTCGAGACCCCAGGTGTTCCAAGCACTACTGCCACTCCAACGGTTGAGACAACTCTGGTTTCTTCTACGACTCCAGTCGAGAGCAGTGTTCCACTTACACCTGTGCCTCACACTCCGACTTTGTCATCTGAGAGCAGCACTGTCATCGAGACTACATCATCTTCCAGGACTACCTCTGCCAGTGTCTCGACCACTTCCACTTCTGAAACTCAGACGACTGCGACTGCGACTACAACCACTTCCACTGGCATTCCACAAGCTCCCAACTCAAATGGCGCTGGAGTTGCCAGTGTGAATGTCGGGTTGGCAGGATTGTTGGCAGTGTTGGCTTTGGCCTAAGAACAAACACCTGCAAAAGATACCCTGACGCTCTCTGCAGCTATGTCTGCCATGTGACACAACATGCCACTCACCAGCATTTGCAAGTGACAATAGACATTCTCCATCTCCGCAAATGAGATGCATGCACACACAACAACAAACACAGCTCAGCTCTAGCTTTTGCAAAGGAACTCCTGAAATCAAGTGTCAGCAACAACATGATTCTTTCCAACTAGGCCATATTGGACTGGCCACACGATGACCATCATGATGGTTCGTGAGGGAGGCAACTCACTTCTCTTGGATTGGATTGAGGAATCAAACATAATTGCTATTGCACCTTAATTGATGATTCCATCATACTGCGTGTTGGCACAGTGATCACAGATGATGATCCTTGAATCCATAGCTAGTCTCAAATGAAATGTGCTTTGAAACAACATTTCCTCTGCTTCCAGTATTTTCGTCTTCCTTCTTGAGTTCTCATGGTAGAGCACTGTAGTCTTAAGCTGCTGTCTCTCTCTCTCCTCCCCCCCCACCCCCCCATTCATTGCGTCATTCTGTAGACCAGGGCTTTGTTACAGTCACTGTCACCTCCATCTCCGAGGCACCGTGCCCAACTCCAGACAACCAAGGTCTCTGAGACTGTCGACCCCATTGTCGATCTGGCCAGTAGTGACACGACAGCGTCCCCAGATCACAGCAATCCCCTCTATAAGCCAATCACGTGCCAGGATCGCACAGGAATTTGTTCATTCACCAGATCGACCCTCCCCAGCGCCTTGATCAGATCAGATCAGATCAGTCAACATTCCGTAACCTTCCGTGGGCAGCCAGGTAGGCGATCGGAGAATTTATTTCACAGGCTTCACTTCACTCCCCTCCCCTCCCCTCGTTCTCTCACTGATCTCTCGCTTTTGCTCTGGTGTCACTCACTCACTCGCTTGCTCAAGTAGTGAAGTGGCCACCGTGAGATGGGCTGTTCGGACTGCCTGAACGATATTGAGGTCGTTGATTGGGATCTACCTCGCTATGTACAGACTAGACAAGGCTGAGGATTCCGGCTCATCTTCGGGTCTTCTCTTCACTGCAAAATTACCCCTTTTCCCAGGGCCAAGTCAGCTCCCGCCACAGAGGTCCCTGTGAAGGTGCCACAACCTACCTATGGCGCTCCTCCCGCCTTTAGCTCAGCCTGCCTCAGAGACAGTCGCAGAGATGTCAGGAGCTGTTCCCACCGAGGAATCTACCACGGCCGAACCAGTTCAAAGCACAGGTACTCCTGATGCGTTCACCGTGCAGAGCATACACTAAATCTTCATCCGCAGATGCTGCAACGATGGTGTTGGATGGCAGCGAGATGCCATCGTGTTCACATGTCTGGAGGCCGCTGGTCCGACGTCATTGTCAACGACTACATGAAATTGACTTGTCTTGGATGGCTGCAGCGGGCGACAGCGATAGAAGGGAGAGAAGTTTTTGTATGTCATTGTCCCTGAAACACCACAAGGTCACAGGGTAGTATCAAGACAATCTCACATCCAGGTATACCCTGTCTACATCTTCATGTAGAGTAACAAGACTGTGCTAGCCGGTGCCTTAACCTCGTTTTCAGTCTACTAGGCTCTTCACTTTCTTCCCAGGCACAGCGCCATTCTCCCAGACCTCCTCCCAAAAGCCTTCCTTCCACAATCTCAAAACCTCGAATCCCACCTCGATCGCGATCAGCACGATGATGGTCCACTCCAAGAACAACCCATGCTTTTCACTCAGTCTTTCCCTCAGCACGGTCGCAATCTCTGCGGCATAGTCCATCTTCTCGTTCAACACTTTGATCCTGATTCCCACATCCAACGCCCGGCCAACTTGATCATAGTAATTTTCCAAGTTGAGTTCATGCCGGGAATCCCAGAAGAGGTCGGGAAGGGAGTCGGTGAGTTCGGAGTAGAGGTTCAGTTGCGCGCGCAGGAGGAGGAGTTGGCCTGTTTTGCGGGAGATAAAGTCGCGGGAGAGCTTGAACGGGAGCCGGGAACCCTTTGCTAAAAGGGCCGGGATGTCCGCCGTAGAGGCGAGATAAGTGGAGAGGTTCGTCTCGAGGACGGCCAGCTTGGTGGAGCGCGCAAACCCGGAGGAGAAGGCGATCTTGGTCAGTACTGTATCAACAGTCTGGAAATGCGATTCAATCTGTTGATGGTCCGCGCTGGTAGTCGGTTCCTGATATTCTGACTTTTTGGTTCCCAGGATGATGGTGTCGCCCCGGATGAGGCTGTGCTCGCGGTTGGGATCTTCAATGTAGTCTAGATCCTCGGTCTCAATAGGCTCCTTATGAGGATTGTCTGCAGCGGAGAGAAGAGTGCGTGTTGCGAAGTATGAAGTGAACCCGTCCGGTAAAGCCCACGTTACCACCGTGCCCGACGGGAAGACGAAAACATCCCCGACTTCCGTCGACGAAAGGTCTCTGGCGGAAGGATTGGTGGAACGGTAGATCGATGAGATGGGGATCTGTACATGGACGACTTGTGGAAATAGGCCGGTGCCCAGCGGATCGGGCTCATAGCCTTTGTTGCGAAGGATCTCGACGACCTTGGCCAAGTCAAATTGTTCTGCAACAGCATACGCCGTCACCAGTTTTGGTGTCTGTTCCGCCTCTTCATGTAGTCTCACGCTTGGTTTTGTCAGGCCAGCCTTTGACCTCTGAGCCTCCAATCCAACTCTTCGCAGAGACGTCTTCGTGCCGGGCGAACGTGCCGTCTTTCGCTTTTGGGCAGGTGAAGTGGTTGCTGCTTCGACGACAGAATCGACCGAGTCCCCTTCTCTCTGTCCATCTCTTTTCTGCGCTGACTGGCTCATCAACGACGTATTGGAGGAGAAGAACTCCCGGCGACGCGGGCGTTGGAAAATTGGCGATGCGTGCAGTGGGCGGAAGCCCGGTTGACGAAGCACATCATATCCTGCTCGTCGACACGCGGCACAAACAAATTGATTTCCCAGGCTGAGCATTGGACGACAAGCCGCCGGGCGCATGGTCAGAAAAGGAAACCGGGACCATCGAACATCCAAGACCTCTCCGGCTTTGTTGGACCTCGAGCTGCAGGTTGCGTTCCGGCGCACGATGCGCAAGGCCAGTGACCGAAAAAGGCCGAGGACTTGGCGCTCGTCATTTCAATGTGTTCCAGATCCTCTCTGGGATTGGGGTCGGGCGTCTGTCTACCACTACTAACCACTCCGCCTGGAGACTCCAGCCTGCGCGTGCAGATGACGCGCTTCTGAGCTTTCCTGTCATCTGTATGGCGGCCGGAGATGGCTCGTCTGAGCCAGGCGACGGTGAGAAGCTTCAGGAAACCACCAGCCATCCTCCGCAGCCAACGAAGGCCCAGTCGACAGCAGATGAATCTGAGGATGAGACCGAGGAAGAGGATGAAGAGGAGGACGAAGAGCCACGGCTCAAATATGCTACGTTGACACGGAACGTGAGCTCGATATATCGCAATGGAGATGCCACGAGTGCCTTCCACGTGGCCGGGGATAAGATGATCGTGGGGACTCACAATGGGAACATTCACGTTTTCGCTTTGCCCTCATTCAACTCCCTGCGCGTCTACCATGCCCACACAGCCAGCATATCTGCGATCTCGATATCTCCTTACAACCCTCCGCTTGCAGGTTTTCGCCATGACCCAGGGTCGAGATCGGCAGCTGAGGCTGCTCCCAATACGGACAAGTCGCCGTCAAGCTCGCCCGCGCCGAAAGGGAAGCAACTGCAGGCTCCCGTACCAGATATACCTCCAAATCGGATATACATTGCCACGTCTTCGATCGACGGTAATGTTTGCATTGCTTCACTAGTCGATCCTCGTGATGTGCAGCTGCGCAACTTCGGAAGACCTGTTCAGACTGTTGCCCTGTCGCCAGAATACAAGTCGGACAGAACTTATCTATCCGGTGGGCAGGCCGGCATTTTGGTTTTGACTACTGGTGGACAAGCAGGAAAGAGTGCCAACGCGACGACGACAGGAGCGGCAGCGGCGGCCTCTGGCTGGCTTGGGTCAATTGGCCTTGGTGCAAACACCGGATCAGACAAAATCCTACACAGTGGTGAGGGTATTATCAGCACTATCAAATGGTCACTCTCAGGGAAATATGTGCTTTGGGTAAATGAACAAGGGATCAAGATCATGAGATCCAATTTGAAGCTCGAAAGCTCAGAGTCGGGCCTCGAGTGGAAACGGATGAGCCATATCGACAGACCTAATCGTTCGGGATGGGAGGATATGGCGGGCGTATGGAAAGCTCGTGCGGAGTGGATCGACCGCGATAATCTCGAGACCGACGACGACTCTCCCGTCGGCGCTCTCATCCCTGCTCCAGCGAACGGTGCATCTCCCAAGCCGGAGGTGAGGAAAGCCAAAGTGGAAGAAGTCCTGGTAGGATGGGGCGATTCAGCATGGATCATCAAGGTCTATCCAGGTTCTATGGAAAGTGGAGGTAATAATAAAATTGGACGCGCTGAAGTCGCTACGATGTAAGTTCAACAGACCCCTCAAGACCTAGGAAGACTGACCGTCGAACAGTATACGATTTGATGACTGTACAATATCTGGAATTTCGTTATATACCCCAAGTCTGCTTTTGGTGCTTGCATTCATGGAAAAGAAGAAGGGCAATGGATCGGCGTCGCAAGACCACGAAGGCAGCAGGAGAGGCCGACGAGCACGACATAATGCATTGGAACCAGAGTTGCGTCTCGTCAATATCAATACCAAGGAAGAAGTCGACACCGACACTCTCACTGTGAGTAGATTCGAAACCCTCTCGGCTTCAGACTATCACTTGGGGGTTCTACCACCGGTTCGTATCCCTGCTGCACTTATTCAGAAGGGTTACCTCAGCACCATTGGATCTGGTATGAGTACGGTTGGTTCAAGTCTCGCCACAGGCGTCGAAACCGTTGGTCAGGGGATGTGGGATGCCACCATGTACGGGCCACGCCTCTTGGGCGCCAATCGAATCTTCAGTTCAAGCGAGAGCGTTCGAAGCGGTCTCAGCGGCCCTGACCGAACAGGAAGCACCAGGGAGCGCAACTATCTTACAGGCTGGATCCCGGGGTTTGGATCCAGCGAGACAAGTGCCAAAGAGGAGATCAATACCATGGCCACAGCCCAGAGCATGAAGATCTTCATCTACAGCCCCTACGACTGTATTGTCGCCGTCAGGCGTAATCTCAACGACCGTATGCAGTGGCTTGTGAGTCTGAAGAGATACCAAGAAGCCTGGGAACTGGTTGATCAGCATCCCGAAGCGGCCGGCACCCTATCAGAGTCCTCGGGAACGTCAACACCACCAAGTCCATCGAAAGCTAGTTCTGTCGCCAGATCAGGCACCGCGGTCCCACTCAGTCCAACGCAGGCTCGTCAGCAGGCTACAATGACCGAGTTCTTCTCGGATTCTCTGTCGATCACGAGCTCAGCGCAGGCGAAATCCAAGAACAAATTCTCTGCTGCAGAGAAGGAGAAGCGCAGAATAGGCGAGTCGTGGTTGAAGCAATTGGTTGATGCCAAAAAATGGGCAGAAGCCGGCGAAGTCGCAGCCAAAGTGCTCAACACGACGAGCCGATGGGAGCACTGGGTGTGGATATTTGTGAAAAATGCGAAGTTCGACGAGATATCGCCTCACATACCAACGTTAGACCTGACACCTCCATTACCGTCCTCCGTTTTTGAAATCATCCTTGGGCATTACGTGGAGAATGACAGAATTCGATTCAAGGAGCTTCTTGATGAGTGGCCGTCTGATCTTTTCGAGATCAGCAGCATCACAGCGGCGATTGAAGATCAATTCCGCAGCGGGAGTGCTCCAAAAGGGTCGCAGGATTGGAGGCTGTTACAGGAAAGTCTAGGGAAATTGTTTCTTGCAGACGGGCACTATGACGAAGCTCTGAAGTGCTACATTGCCCTGCAGGACGCAGACACAGCCATGTCGTTGATCAAGGAGCACCACCTCGTTGACGCAATCGCTGACGACATTCCCAGCTTTGTGACGCTGCGAGTCTCGCCCGAACAAGTGAGGAGCGCGAGTCGTGAGGAATTGGCCGAACTCGCGGCTGATCCTATCAAAGTCCTCGTGGACGAAGCCACTGCTGGTGTCGTTGAGCCCGATGAGGTTGTTGCCCAGCTTGATAAACCGACACTGAAGCCTTTCCTCTATTTCTATCTTCGCGCCTTGTGGCGCGGCGAGGGAACCCAGGAAACGCCCGCGTTGCCCCGTGTCGGACATTCAGCTATAACTACGTCGCTTGCAGCTGACACCGGCAAACAACACGTCGAACACTTTGCGGACATCGCGGTCGAGTTGTTTGCAGAATTCGATCGAGATCTGCTGATGGAATTTCTGCAAGCATCCACAGCTTACGCCTTCGAGAATGCTGTGAAGATATGCGAAAGGAAGCACTACGTCGAGGAACTTGTCTACCTCTTGAGCAAAACCGGACAAACCAAGAAAGCGCTGTTCCTGATCATCGACGAATTGAAAGATGTCTCAAAGGCTATTGCCTTTGCCAAGGAGCAAGACGACCAGAGTCTCTGGGACGATTTTCTGGAATACAGCATGTCGAGACCACGGTTCATTTCAGGTCTGCTGGCAGAGGTTGGAACTGCCATTGACCCTATTACCTTGGTGAAAAGAATACCCTCCGGACTGGAAGTGGAAGGTCTCAAAGACGGACTGAAGAAGATGATTCGAGAGTATGATTTGCAGGACAGCATCAGCGCCGGCGTTGCGAGAGTGCTCAGTAGCGAGGTCGCCGTGGGGATGGAGACCCTGAGAAGAGGTCGGAGAAAAGGCATCAAGTTCGACATTGTCGCATCCACAGCGAAACACCAGCGGCCACTCGCCCAGGACGTTGTGGGCTCCAAGGATCAACCGGCGGACGAACAACAACCCGACGCCGAAGCTGCCATCAAGCCAGGACATTGTGCTTCTTGTCACAAGGCGTTCCATGAAAACGAAAGCGAAACTCTGGTCGGGTTCGCTTGCGGGCACGTCTACCACGTCTCACATCTGCTGCATGGTCCAGATGCAGAAGGGGACGAGGTGTTACTACCCCAAAATGGGGTTCTTCGCCCGGATGATGGCGAAGCCGAAGAGATCAGGTTTTCCAGATCGGTGGGACCAAAGGTCACAAATGCACGTTTACTGAAAGATAAGATACAGAACGTGGGTGGATGTCCCATATGCAAGGGATCGAGGGAAAGAATGGAAGTTGTGGGTGGCTGACAAAATGCCCAAAACCAATATCACTCACCTTCAGCCATTCTACACCTTTGCTTAGCGGCCGCCTTCTAGGGCTCTCAGACGAAGCAAAAACCCGCCATGGTGCAAACTCAAAGATACAGCATATCGAACAGCATGGGAAATTCATGGCTGCGACAACATGGCACAGTCTTCTGGCATCAAGTCGAAATATCCTCTTGCACAAGCTTTGACCTCTTTTCTTCCCCTACTTTGATCTCGATCTCGTACCGTTTAGGCGCCAACATCAACCGAATCTTGCTGGCCGGGATAATACGAGATCGATCTGAAACACCCTCGTATTCCCGCACGTGGTCTAAGCGCTTACGCTCTCCCCACTTGTTCCCGTCTCATATTTCCCTTGATCCAGAGATCTCTTTACATGGTCCTCCACGGCCGGACGGCGAGGCACATGGCCGTGGAGATGATCCGTCTTCGATCGCCTACACCTATTCTGGCATTTCGCAGCCCTTCGAGGCAGGTGGATCGTCCGGCTTGAGCTTCACTGACGCCGATCTTCCTTCTTTGGCTTCCCCGTGCTGACCCAACCTTGTCCCGTTCCAAGGTACTTAAAGGGCAAGGACCCCGTCATATCGGCGACCTGCTGAAGCCCGAACCTGTTCTGATTCGAGGTGAATGGAGATCGCGTGCTCTGGCTGAAGCCCGAAGCCTGCCAAAGCAGCAAGATTCTTGGATAACTCGGGCGATGTGGAGTGTTTCAGCGGTGATGGAAGATGGAAGGATGCAAGGCTTTCGTGCGTAACCGGGTACACAGGAACCTGTCACGGTAGCGGCGAACCGAGAAGACCTCCCGAAATCCCCGGAGTGCGATCTGGATGCACTGAGGTGAGCGGCTGGGCTGGAAAGAGACGAGTTGCTGTGACTGAGGGCCATTCTCACCCTTTTCTCGAGCAATATGAGAGAAACTCTGGGCTTGCCTCCTGGAATATACCCCAGGATACTGTCCACAGACGCTTTGCGACTGAGCGCCTTTTCCAGCACATTCACCGAACATGAGTCGGGTTCTCGTTGATACCTGCACCTCGATAGCCAATCAAGCGAAACGAGAGTTGCAGGATGGTCTCAAGGCATCAAGAATGAAACCATCTCATCGTTAACCTAGCTAGCAGAATCGCGAGATTCTGGCGCCTGAGCCATGTTGACAATCGAGCTGAAGAGAAGCCTCCCGATGAAACCATCCTGTCTTCGTGCTTGCAGAGGTTGTGAACAAGCCGCCCCCTTCTCGTCGTCTCCAGCAAGACCAACACTTGCCCATCCTCTGAACAATGCGTATATTATTGTTCTCGTTAGCTGCAGTCCTACCCGAGAGAAGGAACGCGTTGTCCCAACATAGCATTGTCCGACTCAGGGTCGGATGAGTACGTTTCCGCCGTCGCCGATTTCTTCGCTTGGCAAAGAAGACACGGGGGACATCGAAGAGGAGGCCCATCTCACTACTCCTGCTTCCAGCTTGTTGCTCTTCAGCTAAGCTAGTTCAACACCGTTCGCAGATTCGACCTTGAGTTTGGACTTGGACTTGAACTTGGGCTTCAGCTTCGGTTTGAGATGGGCCTTGTGGGTGGAAGGGATTGCTCCTGCCTTATATTGGGTTTTCCTAGCCCAGTAGGAGACGGAACAAGCTGTGAAAGAAAGACTAGCATCGGACTGAGGAGATGGTGAATGTTATTCTGCATCATGGCTTCGTTCGAGTTAGGAGGAGGAGGAGGAGGAGGAGGAGTGGAATCTATCAACCCACCCAAATCTTGATGGATGGGCGGGTATACGGTATGTGGTATAGTCAAGAGAACCGATTTGAGTGCGATTACAACAGTCGAATGGGCTTGTGGAATGTCAGAGGCACTGACAGCCAGGTCCAGCAGTCCGATACAGCAGGAGGAATAGTCTGTATTGCCATGCTCAATACAGATCCAGAGATGATATGTTCCCTTCCCCTTCCCTTTCCATTCCATTCCATTTCCGGTCTCCCCACCCAACCCGTTCCCATTGGTATATATCTATCCCGCGCATTTTCATGAGCCTCTCTCTCTATCGATTTCTACCTCTCGACTTTGTCCACCCCGCTTGAACCACCGGTGGCTCTCCTCTCGGCCATGAACGCGCGCACGCCCTCGAGCCGCGTCACAAAGAACAACCGCTTCGCGTCGTCCTTCCACACCAAGACGCCCGTCTCGTCCGCGTACCGACAGTTGGCCTCGTACTCGGCGCGCGTGGAGAAGTCCCGGAACAGGAAGCCTGGCGTGGTCGTCATGCGGTCGCGCTCCAGCTGCCACAGGTGGATTTGGTCCAAGATCGTCGCCGGCAGGATCGGCACTGTCCGCTGCACCTGCGCCGCGGTGGCCGTGCCCCGGGCCAGCAGGGCGGCTTGTTCGGCCTGCGCATGCCGCCTCATCTGAGGGTGCGCGTGCGTCGTCAAGTACGAAATGATCTGGTCGGCAGTGATGCCGGCCTGGACGGCGCGCTGCACCGAGGCTTTGCTCATTTTCCCTGTGACGAGATTCGGGTGGCGAGACCGCAGGTTGACGAAGAGTGAGAGAAGGGCGATCTGTAAGGGGGAAGACGTGTAGGCGTAGACGCGGTAGTTGGTCTCGACGATGATGAAGCCTTTTTGTGTGACGGTGCCTGAAGGCGTGGTGGTGCCGGACGAGGACGAGTATTTCTGGGAGAGGGAGGTGCCGATGGTCAGGTTGGTGGTTGAGAGGGCGGAGGCCGAGTCGGACGTCAGCGTTGTGGCAAGCCGTGTTGGGTAGAAGTAATCGGCAGGATTGATTCCGTCGTCGGACAGAGGTTGGTAGACAAGCCCAAGAGAGACGAGATCGGTGAGGCAGCGGCGCTGGGTTTCGTCCAGAGTGGAGGTCGAGTATGCGAGCCCCAGTTCGAGGGACGAGACGAGAAAAAGAAAGGACAGGACGTCGACTTTGTCCATATCAAAGACCTCGGCGTTGTCTACGTAGAGGAAAAGCAATGCCCACACTTGGGTGTTGATGTCTTGCAGGACAAACGCAAAGCCTTCCTTCGTGATCCTGGCTCTTTGGCCATGGATGTACGCCCCGCTGACCTCGATGAGATGGCCTGCTTTGAGAAGCTCAATGACTCCTGGAGCCGGTTCGATCGCAGGCTGCTCGTTGGCTGTTTCCAGTGGTATGGATGACGAGCCGACCATGTAGCCTAATATGCCTTCCCACCGCTGCGAGAATACTCATCCAGTTGCGATATCGTGACCCTCTCACCCTCAGGACCCGCGCGACCTGTCCGAAAGACCGGCTGTCCCCTGCCCCCGTCAAAGCCCGACGCAGAGATCTGGCAAAGTCCGGAGTCAACGCATAAGCCTTTGTCGAGTTGAGGGTGACATCGCGAAATATGTGGTAACGGTGTAGTAAATCCAGGGCGTGCTCACGTTCGCCTCTGCTGGTGTCTTTGACAAATTGTTCGAGTTGTTTCACTGGCAGCGGCCGGGGCATGTACAACAGCATCAAGACGAAGGATTTTGCCAACGCCGACAGCCGCTTCCTGAAGATCGCCAGAGCTGAGGCTGGACTTCTGTAGAGACGATAGAATTGGGTGCCTGGAAGCGTCTCCAGGTACTCCCATGACTGAAGTGTTGCGTCGGCCATGATGGCAAGAAGAGGAGGGAGAGCTGCAACTGTTGAGCTCTCTGTGACACCGGTTACCGATCAATCATCTTAACTCTGCCGATGCATTTGCTGCTGGATGAGGTTGACGATGAGTCCGAAAAGTGACACTGATAGAGCATCGTTTCGAGGTGCAAATCGAGTCAAAAATGCCAAGAGGCATACGTCTTCTTTGGGACAAATACCTCGCTGCTTTCAGCAGTGATTTCCCTCTACGCGGACAAGCCACGAGCGAAGTAACAGAAACGCCTCTCGAGAACAATGACTGGATTAATTACTAGGGACATCTCGACGTCTAATTACTGCACCTCCCGGGCTGGCCACGGCGGACTGCTCACTGCAGGGGATATACCTCCCCACCCTTCGACTCGTGCTGCCTCCAATACCCTGCTTGGCTTGTCCAAAGCCGCAAGTATGGTCATATCATCGCAGTGATACCGTGCGAGATATAGGCAAATCGCCTGTCCCTGGAGGATCGCCCGGGATGACAACCACCAAGAACCCCGGCAGACCTTCATATACCAATATAAAAGCATCAGCAGCGCCCAAGGATCTCTCTGCGACAGTAGGGACTTATAAGAAGGGTCCATGTGGTTGGCAAAACCAAGATATCTCAACCAGGTGCGGTCGTTGCATTCAAGGTCGAGTAAAGGTAAAAGTGTTTGTGCAGTCTTGTAGTAAGGGTTCTCCCATGCGGATGCCGACGAAGCATCTTCGGCACAGAGATGGTCGAAGATGGAAGGCACGTGTTCTGGAACTTCATCTTCACGCAATTTATCGCCATCAAAGAGGTGATTCACCTGTCGCCAGAGGCTGTTTCTTCTCAACGGGCTTGCCGCTTGCCAGATAGCTTGTTTTCCGTCGCTTAAATTGAGCCATGTCATGTCAGCATCCCGCAATGGCCAAACGTCTTCGACAGACGATGCCTCGAGATTGAAAAAGCTCACAACTCCAAGGAGAGAAGAGGCGATCAGCACCGCGTCCCCTTCCTCAGGTTTGATGGGCCGAGAAAGGACGCTCTGAAAGGAGATCAAGGCCTGGTTCAGGTGGTAGGCTTCGGTTGTGCTCGGCCTCGAGGTTGCCACTCCACCCAGGTAACGATCGTGAGACGCCGTCACTGCCTGGGCCAAGTGCATGAGGAAGGGGTGCGCACAGGCAAGCGGGATGACTTCTTGCTGGAAAACTCGGGCAACTCTCTTGGTGCCAATGGACAGAACTGTCCTAGACTGGAATCTGTCAAGTCGGGCCAGATCAGATTTGTCGAATCGCATAACTCGGCTATGCGACTCTAAGCCATGAGTGTTTTTGTCTAAAGATGCATTTACCATGGCTAAGATAGGCTTAGTCGTTCCAAAGACGGGCTTTTCCACGGAAGCGACGGCTCGAGGTTGAAGATCTGGTATACTAGGATCGTAGTTGCATAGCACCCCGTACTCCAGACACTTTGCGCACATCGGTCGAACCTCGTTGCATTTCACCCGACGTATTTTGCAGTTGCGACACCCAAGCCTAGACTTCTTGTGAGCTTTTCGCTTGCGGACGGTGGCATCGTCCCGGGCAGACGCTGGCACTTGGCTGGTTCTGGTTGTCCTGGCCATTAGGGGTTTGCTGGAGAAAGCTATCGCGCTGTGTGCGGTGCTCTCTTGACAAGAACAACGGGACTATGTTGAACCAAATCGAGTAACAGTTGACCCCAGGAGACAGATCGTTGAAGCCTTGGTTGTCTGTTGCATGTTCACCAAGGAGATGGGGAAGAAGCTGTCTACCTTACAGTGAGTAGAAAGGAAGCAAGCGTCATGGAGTTGCCGGAGTTAGTGCAGCACGCAAGGACATGAGACTCAACTCTATTCGTCGACCTTGGAGACAACAAGGAATAGTCGATGGAGGAAACGGTCCGAGATCAGGCCCTTACTGGCTGTCCCAATGCGCCAGCTGGTGGGTTGCATAACCTGCGCTAACCTCGACTCGTATTCCTCGCAGTCGCGAAGCCTAGAACTTTCGAGGTGAAGGCAACACAGAGGACAAAACTTTGAAGGTTACCTTCCCATGATGGTGGAGGTATCGCCACACGAACCAGGGAATCCAGTAGGAAGAACGGCGAGCAAAAGAAACAAGAGGAAAGGAGTGCAGCGCGGCGTTAAGGACAGTGGAGTAGATGATGAGACACGGTGGGGTATTTGATGTACGAGACGCAAGTATCTACGGTGAGGCACACAGCTATCAAGTGCAATCTCCAACACCTCATTTTGACTTCATTGGATCTCCTCCAGTCGACAGCCTTTTTAATATCATTGCGCCATTGAGATCTCGCTTCTGTTAACAAGCAATTTGATCTCTTACGAATCAACAAAGCTCCCGGCTTTCTGTGGAGGGAAGTGTTCGATTGGTTCTACTCGTGGCGGTCTCGGAAGCTTGGTCACGACACAATGTCGGCACTAAAGTTCGTCCGGCAGGTGAGTTTCCCGGATATAAGCGTTGGAGGGACTTTGAGCTGAAGCTATACAGGTGTGGGAATCTTTCAGAGCAACCTCTGGGGTTGAGCCACGGTAATTTCCCTCATGAATGACCAAAGACACTCGCATTAAGCTGGCAAAAACAACAGGTTGATAGATGGTGTAAGTGTCCTCCTGGATCGCAGAAATGCAACGAGCCATCATGCTTCTCTTCGGAGAGGGCATCTACTGTCGCATGGTCGTCGGCTCACATTTTTCATCTAGATGCGGATAACGGCGGCGGAGCCTGGCAAGGTCAACTTTGAACTTCCCATCGAAAAGCAGCATACAAATCGGTTAGGTATACTACACGGCGCCACACTGGCCACCATGGTCGATACCAGCGGTTCACTTGCTCTGGCATCTCGTGGTCTATATTCGACCGGAGTCTCGACAGATCTCAGCGTGACCTACCTCAACGCTGGTGGGAAGATTGGTGATCTGGTCAAGGGCGAAGTCATCTGCGACAAGTGTGAGAGAACTACCCTTGCTCCTCTCACCGGGTGAGATGTGGACTGATCTCATCCAGTTGGCAAAACACTTGCATATACATCGGTCAAGTTTATGAACCAAAACAACGAGATTGTGGCTCGAGGAAGCCACACCAAATTCGTCGCCCTCGCCTGGAAAGACGAGAAGAACATCACGGAGCAGTTGAAGCCGGACGTCAACGAATCCAAAGCTGGCGAAGTCACAAGGACAAGTTTCAAATAATTCGGCCAGTCTTTCCTACGTCAGAGCCAGCATAGAATTGCCGGGAAGGCATGTACATGTATATATGGACCATATACTAGGTAAATACTACATCTTTGTAGCTTACGATCTGAAATAGCATGGATGATCGACAAAAAGGAGCTTTGTGCTGGCACCGCATATGTGTGACTCGGTGGTGTTCAATTTCCCATTTCCTCAGCCTCTGCTCGGTCAAGTTGCACGAATATAAGAATAAGAGCCTTGCGATAGTTACACCAGACCCTCAGAGAGCGCATGGCGGCATTTCATATCGTTCGAATTGCCGCATAGTTTGATTTTGACGCAGGATCGTTCCAAACCATCTTGTTACAAAATGTCGATAATTGAATCGAAGAACTAGGGCAACCAGGGAGCAGAAGGTTTGCCGAGGACGGTGTCGCCTAGTAAAGCAGCGAGTTACGTATCGTGGACGACACTGAACATATTGTGCCATTCACAAGAAAACCACTACCAATGCTCATCCTCGCAAAAACAAAGAGCTTGTTCAGGCCACAGTCGTGTCGTCGTCGAAGCTCTAATCTCTTCGAAGAAATGTTGCGGCCTGCATAACGTCGACATGCCCCGCGCACCAAAGTCCACGCGAAACACCCCCGGTCTCCCCTCCACGACTTTCGTCCTCGACAACGGCGGATACAGCATCAAGGCTGGCTTCGCACCCTCCGATCCCGTGCCAGACACACAGGCGCTGTCACGATGTCATACCGTCCCCAACTCCATCGTCCGCAGCCGTGACCGAAAAGTCTACGTCGGTTCGCAGTCGGAGGAAATTACACAGTGGAGCGAGGCCTTGTTTCGCCGACCTGTCGAAAATGGTCAGGTCGTGAGTTGGGAGGCGCAGAAAGAGATATGGGATCAATCTTTCTTCGATGAACGGACTGCTAAGAAGGACCTGCTCATTAAGAGCCCCGAGGAGACGACCCTGATCTTTACAGAGCCACCCAATACTATGCCGGCTTTTCAGAAGAATGCGGACGAGATTATCATGGAAGAGTGGGGTCTCGGAGGCTATTCCAGGGTTATCGGTAGGTATGGCCGAGCCAGGGATATCTTGCGTCAAGGAAGAGTGTGCTGATGTCCAAAACAGGCCCGTCTCTTAATGCCTACAACGATCTTCATCCACTCTTTGAAGGCGCATCTTACACGAAGTCGGACAACGATCCTATGGCAGACCTGCCGATGGAATGCGTTCTGGTGATCGACAGCGGCTACAGCCATACCACCATTACTCCGCTGTTCAACGGTCGGCCACTACACCGAGCAGTCCGTCGACTAGATTTTGGAGGCAAGCATCTCACGAACCTGTTGAAAGAAGTCATCTCGGTTCGGCACTTCGATTTGCATCAAGACACCAAGATCGTCAATGACATCAAGGAAGATGTCTGTTACGCTAGCAAAGATTTTCGAAGGGATCTCGAGAAGACGTGGAAGGGAAACAAAACGAGGCCGAACCCGATGACCGCAAGGGCCCCCAAAGACTCAGGATGCTATGGACACCGAAGAAGCTGCCTCACCAGAAGATGAGGAGATCCGCGTCGACTACATACTCCCTGATGGCATCCGCCTTCTTCGGGGGTTCAGCCGTCCTCACGATCCCACCCCGGCCGCCGCACACAAGCGCAAACAAGCCGCCCTCTCCTCCGAACCCGATGCAGAAATCTCAATGACGTTGGGGAATGAACGCTTCTCTATCCCAGAAATCATCTTCTCGCCTGGCGACATTGGCTCGAAACAGCCTGGGTTGCCGGATATTGTTATGCAATCACTCAGTGTGCTCCCGCCGCTTTTGCAGGCCACCATGCTCAGCAACGTGCTCCTCGTCGGCGGGAATGCGCAAATTCCTGGCTTTGTGGAGAGAGTCGAAGCCGAGCTCCGCATGAGGGTGAAGAGTGAATGGATGGTTCGGGTTCGTAAGATGGCTGATCCCATCACGTCAACCTGGCTGGGCGGCGCGAGGCTGGCGAGTGGGTTTCCCAGGATTGTCAGGGAGTATGGTGTGACGAGGGAAGAGTATCTCGAACACGGAAGTGCATGGGTAGCCAGGCGGTTTGTGGGTGGCGGCAGTGGAAAAGGGCCTTGAAGAGTAGCACTACGTTCATGGACGAAATGACCCGAATGCAAAGCCGGCGAAGACCGCTGGAAGGGATCCGTACGCGTTATGCGAGATCGCGGCATATCTCAACGCCCACCTCCATGTCGACCCAGGCGCAATCGGGCTGAACGGCGTACGACCGAGACTGTGTCCAGAGAGCTCAACAGGATGCTTGAAACTGCTTCCTCGAACGAGTCGAGCACAGGCGGCTAGCTCTCCGTCTCTCAACCGGACGCAAACCAGATCCACACTGTCGATGCCTATGTTGTGCATGTATCGATTAGGCTGGATATCTGGCAGACAGTGCGTGATGGGTCCAGTTGCTGCTGGCTGTATAGGGGCTAAGCAGGCGTTGGTATGATCCGACTGAGCCCGTGGCCATGCGACCGTTGACCGGTCTCTCTGTTCAAGAATCAGACTGCGGACACGTGTGATATTGTTACCTGAAGACGATGGCCGTGCTGGGGAGGCACGCAGCGAGATTCAGCTCCAATGAAATGAGAGTTCTATTGAGATGGTCGATCTCTCCCTCTCGCTCCTGCGCTGTGGACTCCGCAGCCACAGCAACAGCAAGCGAGCAAGCAACGACTGTGAGGCCTGTGAGACCTGTTCCCTTCTCCCAGCAACACGGGGTCAAGATGCACTGCAGGCGATCGAGCCGCTTTCCCCCTGCCGGGCAAGATACCCTTCCTTACAATTGCACGATATACCCGGGGAGGACATTGAAATGGCAAACGGGATGAATCAATTTTTACTCATAATGAATGGATGAATGATCCCTACGGATTTAGATGCCTAGGTCTGTCTGTTCAGAGACCAGTTCCACGCGTATATCAACCCGACGCATACGCTCGCTGTCGTCATCAACAGTGTCCGCCGCCGCACGAGATTTGCCGTCGTCGCGTGACGAGCGTCATCATGGCGGACATGGACATGGTAGGGAAGATTCATCTCTCTTGCCTCGCACCGATGTCTGGCTCCTCCATGGGTTGGAGCGGTAGCCGTAGCCGTAGCCGCAGCTGCATCTGTCTCTGTCTCCGTCTCTGAGCCCTTGATATCGTCCACGCCTGTGTCCGGGTCCTCTCGGTCCACAGCCTCGTCCGTGTTTCCCTCCCAGTCCCAGTCCCAGTCCTCATGGGGTGCACCACCGTCTTCATCACCATCGAAGAGAAAATCCACGCGGGGATCTAGATCTTCGTCGTAGGCCTCGTCATGGCCTTCGCCGTAGTCCACATCCTCGTTCTCGCCCTCGGATTCGTCATCGTGACCGTCGCGCTGCTCGGACTCGGACTCAAACTCAAACTCCAGCTCGGAGTCTGAATCCACTCGGCCCCTTCGAGGACGCGCGTCGGTCGGGTACGCGCCCTCGGGATACTCGCCGGCGGGATAGCGCGGGTCGTCCGAGTATGCGACACGCAGCGAGTGGTCCGGGTAGGCGGCGTCGAAGTAGTGATATGCGCGGAAGGATCTCGGCCTGTGGATATGGATGTAGACATGTTCGATTACTTCGTCAGCACCAGGAGCAGTGGCAGCAGCGTTGTTGTTGAAGATCAGGGCTGGATTATCGCTCTTTGCCTCTGAGGTGTTCGTGGAAAGACCAGAGCTGATTTGGGTCGAGGAGTGTGTCTGTGATGCTGCTGCGGCGGCACCGGCGTGCGGACAACCTCCAGGCTTGGGGAGGCGCAGGGAAGTCACAGGGTCAACGAGCTCTGCGGTTGTAGACTGAGTCTGCCTCGTGGCAGGGTTGTGCTCTGGCTTTTGGCTCATTGTAGTTGTCTTTCTCGGGATCAAGTGTGAGAAGATCAGAGGTACAAGGAAGCAGAAGCCAATTCCAGACAAGAACAAGAGGAAGAGGGCTGAAAGCGAAGAAGTGACACGGTAGAAAACGAATGTGATAGTGACGACCAGTCTCATTGTGATTCTTCCATGTCAGCTCGGTCCATGTAGCGTCCCATCACGCACCCATCACCTTTATTCCAGATACACCAGTATTCCTGCTCTCGCTCTGTCTCTCCCTCTCAGAGGAGACAACATCACACTCCGCCGTCGCTGACCTTTTATTGTGGAGGCCAGGATACGGTGACGCGCCATCCATCACATGAACAACTCCTTTCCCCAGAGCCAAAAATTGGCCCGTTGGACCAAGAGAGCAAGGGCGTAAAAGCTCGCGAAGACGGCGACATATATGATCACAAGGGCCGCTCCGGCGATGATCCCGTCAGAGACCCCTGGGGTTTCTTGTGTGTAGGTCGGTTGTCGCTGTGACTGATGTCCGGGTTGAGCTGATGAAGGGCCATTGCGCCGGCGAGCATGTGGTTGGGGAGGGAAGGGATGGCTAGAGGGGTGATGATGGCCTGGCGCAGAGAGTAGTCTTCGCGTCATTGCAACTTGTTCGTTCTCAGTTTCGTGACAATGGTTTTTGCAATAGCAGCATAGTGAATAAATCCCGGCTCATTTATGAGCACTGGACACAGCTGTTCTGATTACTGAGGCGTTTGCACGATGGGCACGTTTGTCGTCGCCCGCTCAAGCCTCGTTGGCATGTTTGCGAGAGAAAAGGCAGACATTGCTATTCTTGCAGAGCATCCGTTTGATGTTCTGAACAGGCGCAGCAATCTCTCTCCGTACCCATGGCGCAGTCAGCACGTGAGTGACAACCGGTGTCCTACCTCGAGTAGGTCATTCCTAGCAGCTTGCGGATGGGCCGTCAAAAGATATTGAGAGCACAGCTTGGAATACTTTCGTTGGACAAAATCAATGGAGTATTCTTGAGCAGGCCCGAGGGAGGCATCATCATGAGGGAGCCTTCTGGCTAATTCGTGTTCACTCGAGCTGCGATTGACCGGCGGAAATTGGATCGTCGGGACCGGCAAACGGCGTCTCGAGTGGTGAGTCAGTGCAGTCTAGAACATACACGGTCATTACCACGAGAGGGAACAAGCTTTGCCCAGTAACGAGGAAGCCTTGAGTTTCAAGCTTGAACGGCGGGAATAGACTCTGCAGAAGTACTCCACTTGATCAGGTACGTAAATAGGGTGATGCCTGGACTGATGGGCCGTCAATGAGGATGTACAGTATCCGTCTATTGCAGGGAGGGGAGGGGGAAGAGGGTCGACGAGAAACGTGTTTGCCTGAAGGCAGCCCTGAAAAGCGTCAGAAACCATTGCATAAAGTGGGAGGGAGGCATGGCATGTCATGGTTTCCAACGGCAATGAGGTGCGTGTCACGGCGCATCTCTTCCGGTTTCCTTACTCAGAAACTCGAAGTGCTCGCGTAAATCAGCGTCTCCGAAAGGGTCTCGGCGTGCGTGGCTTTGGTGGCCTTTGTGACTCAGGCAGAAAGTCAATGGGCAGAAAATGGACCCGAAGTGCGAATACGTGCAAACTGCAGCAGCGTCATTGGTCGAGGCGTATGTTGGTTGGTCTTCTTCCTCTCACCACAACCACAACCACAACCACAACCACGCACCGAGCACGTCGCTGTCCCTCTTCCTAGCTACACGAACAACCCTTGGTCACGATGTAACACACGGTGAGTTTTACAGAAGAGATGGCAATCAAGAGGAGGCTAAATACAACATGAGGAAGTCATCAGGAACAGCGTTACAGTACACATGAGGCTGACCAGAAAGAAACCCTCATCATCCTCATGAGTCAGATCAGCCATTCCCTCATTCTCCATCCATGATCCGCCTCTCCACTTGTATCCACCTGTATGTCCAATGCAGGTGGTCTTTGCTCAAATCCGAGAGCCACTATTGTACGCCAACCTATCACGGGAATGGGCTCATACACTGCCTCTGTCGATGTGATATGCATGTTGGCTGCTGAGCGTTATCCCAATTGTCCCGCGCTGGAGGTCCAGGCCACCACCAAAATGACAAGCTTCTTGCCATCCAACCCCTCGCCGCAACGCCCGCCTGATGTGTTTGGCCTATAAAGGGGACCAAAGCCTCCTGCCTGAGTATCGAGGCTTTCTTGTTTTCTCTCACACTCAGCATCTATCAAAAAAAAAAAGGCTTAATTCAACTTACCTGACAGAACACCATAACTTGCCTACCGAAACAGGTCATACCATCCATCCACTTCAAGATGCCTTCGGATTCCAAGCCCAATGTGTCCTTCGACACCGCCTCGACCTCGACATCATCGATCATGAGTGAGAAGGAGCGAGCTCAACAGGAGAAGAAGCCTTCGCTGGCCAAGAGGGTCGTGACAGGTAAGACATAGATGTACCCATCACCCACCTGCTCCTGTCAGACATCGCAACTGGGCCCTTACAGAGAAAGAAGTATGAAGGCTAACAACGTCCTCCGCCTCGTGCAGCCATCAAGAACTTTGAGCCTCCAGAGCCAAGGATACCGCAAAGCAGACACGAGTATATGCCAGCCTGGTCGAGGTGATGCACAGTCACATGCCCTCGATATTTCAGTCTTTGGTAGAACTATTTGTGAATACCCATCATACCTTCACCATGGTTGGGACCAAAAGCGAGGACTTCCCGGGGGTGAACCACCAGCAACGGGCGCGAGACAGGAGTGCGTGGCCTGATTGAAGTTGGTGCAGAGGAGAACAGGCACAATCAGGCCACCCTCGTATCTATCTATTGCTCGTGGACCAAGATCTTGAGGTTGTGCACGAAGTCAAGAGCACGGTGGTGGCTCACGTGTGCGTGTTGACTGTGGTTATTTATTGCATCAGGATGGTCTTCGTGACGTACGAGAAAAGGAAAGGGAACATATCCTTGGATATAGTTGGCGGTCTTACCGTATCAACAGGCTCTTGGGCAGTTTTAAGCTCTGTCTATGCAGAATCGGCGGGTTTGAGCCAAACAGGCCCCCCCAAAATAAACCGGAACGGGCGTGTCGTTACAGCAGTTCTACAATCTAATGTCATCGAGACGAGGAATGCCGGAAGTTTCATCCATCAATTGATCAAATCCATTCCACTCTTTCTAGCAGAGCCGGCACTGCGAACTTTTATTGCTAGCAAGCACACCCCTTTGTGAGTGAGTAGCGGGAGTCCAGTCCTTCCGCTGGAATGTGGACAGGGAAGAAGCCAACCAGACCTTCTTCTTGCTGCCTCGTGGTCCTCCTGGAATGAAATAAAATACTCGTAACGACACGAAACAAGGCAAGACAGAGCCGGTTGGGTCCCTTTTTTAGTGATCTCCAAGAACCGTCCGGTTTTTTTTTTCCAAGACCGGGCCCCCCCTGTGCTCTCATTCTGGCCTGTGTTTTGTTATTTCTCAACTCAATTTTCTCGCATCAGATTCTCAAGGAGCTAACCCTCTGACTGCTCTCCCTTGTGTTGTTCTGTTCGATTCGGTTCGGAATCCGGTGCTGCTCACCACTCTCGCTTGATCATCTTGCCCTGCTTCGCGCATGCGGCGATACACGCCTGCGGCCCAGCGATGCTGCCCGTGCCGACGGGCGGGACGCGGGTGTCGATGTCCGGCGCGCTCAGGCCGCCGCCGATGACGGTGCCGGAGATGTTCTGCGGGAACGAGAAGAAGGCGTTGGCCAGGTTGGTGGTGCCGCTGTCGTCCGAGTTGAGGGCCGAGACCAGCTGCGCGTTCTCACAGCCGATGTTCATCATGGTGTGGATGGACGCCTGCGGGAAGATGGTCATCTGGCCCGGCTGCAGGGTCTCGGTCACGGTGCGCGCCCCGTTCTCAGCCACCATGTAGGTCTGTGTGGTTCCGGAGATGGCGACCACGAAGTTGGCGGCGCGCGGGTGGATGTGCGGTGGGAGCATGGAGCAGGGGCCGAGATTGAGCATCGCCTTTGACTGAGAGTCAGTCTAGGAGTCAAAGAGACATGAGGTAACATAGATGTGAACCCTTACCATTGTCATGCCATGGCCAACGGTGGCTGGGAACGTCGCAGCATTGGCGTTGATCACCCCCCCAGGCGAGAAGGTGTACTGAGCCTGCTTGGTGAAGTCAAAGAGCCAGTCCGAGTCGTTGGGGAGCAAGTTCATGCGGTCGAGGTTGGTGTTGGCCACGCGCAGCTGGGCCACGAGGCTAGGGTTCACGTCAGTGTCGACAGCCAGGGCCACAGAAGCCACAGCGGCACAGGCCAGGAAGCTGGGTCCGAGAAACATGGTGGCAGAGGTCTTCAGTTGGTGAGAACAGAGCGACAAAGCGAAGGGTGTGTGTGTGGGTGGGAGAGCTGGGATGTTGTTGAAGCAAGACTTTCGAGCTCAAGAATTGGTGTTTATCCCTGCACAAACTGGAGAAGAGATCTAACAAGAGAGCAAAGGGTAAGATGTCCAGTGGGAACATTGACAGGACCTTCTTGGCGAGTCGAGGTCAGATGGGCATTGAGATCTCCGGCCAAGTTCACTTCGAAGAGAGACTGAGGATGAAGTGAAGTGAGAATGAGAGTAAACTGACCTCCAGGAGATACCTGGTGACATGGGCTTTTCACACTTCACCCAGCAAGGTTCCTCAAGTCGTCTCGACAGACGGCCCCCCGACGAGGGACGTGATATCTTGAGCCTCCGATTCAATATTTGCTCGCACATGGTTCGAAGTTCTCGTGATCACGATGGGTTGATGTTGATCACATGTCCATCTGTGTATAAGACCAAGGACGATCTTGTTGGCATCACCAAGCGTTCCATCCATCCATAAGCCATTGATGACTTGTTGAGCAGCCACGCCGCCCCACGCGTGAATGGCGACGAGTGAGCTCAATGCTGCAGCAAGAGGGCTGTCGTCCGTTTGACGGCTTCGATGCCGCAACGACGAGGCTTGGTGGGGTTCGACCATACCTCACTCGATCATGAATCCAACTCGTGGCGTCGCATTCTATCCAGGCCAGAACGATGGAAGGCAACCTACCATCTAAACCTAGATCCTTGAATCCTGTCATAGGGGCATGTATTCCCGTGGCTGGCTTCCAGAACCTTTCACCGGGTCTCATCCTTGGGCACATCCGCTTCTTTTCTTCCTGAGCTGTCAGATTCATTGGCGCAGGAAGGACGTTTCCCACCAGGATCAGGCCCTCGAAAGAAGGATGGCGTGATGTGGAAATGGGTTTGCTGCAAGACGAGCAAAATCGGTGACTCGGTGGCCCTCCCGCCCTGTGCGAGGAGGCCATGCCGGACAAATGCAAGAGTTTCTGTTCGAAGAAAACGGTCGGAAGCGGTGTTGTTCATGGGTATCGAAACAGTACCTACCATTGCTCCAGTCGCCACAGTCCATTGCTTTGGATGAGAGCACCACGGCCCCAAGAACCGCAGACGTCTCTGCTGTTTTTGGTCATTGTCATGAGAGGGAAATCTATCATCTCTTGGTAAGAAGAACAAGAACAACGTTGATGCATCGCAAGATACTATAGGCAGGGAAATAGTCTTTGCTCACTTCCAGAACTCTAGACTGTTACTCTCTCTCCACAAGTCCGTGGACTATCAGAACAGATCCGTCACAGCCCCGTGACTGGCATCGCTGACCAGTGCGGCATATTTGGCCAGGGTACCTCTCGTCACCGCCGGCCTCGGTGGTTTCCACTCCTTCCGGCGCCGGTCCAGCTCCTCGTCACTGACATTCATCGAGATGGTGTTCGACTCGGCATCGATCGTCACCTCATCACCATCCTTGACCAACGCAATCGGGCCACCAACCGCCGCCTCGGGGCAGACATGGCCCACGATGAATCCGTGTGACGCACCCGAGTACCGTCCGTCCGTCACAAGAGCGACGTTGGTGAGTCCGGCTCCCATGATGGCGGCACTGGCCTTGAGCTGCTCCGGCATGCCGGGTCCACCCTTAGGTCCTTCGTATCTTACTATCAGGACAAGATTCTCTCCCCGTGGGATGGCACCTCTGTTCAACGCTTCGTTCAGTTCGACCTCCTTCTCAAAACACCTTGCCTTGCCTGTGAACCGAAGGCCTTCTTTTCCAGTGATCTTGGCCACCGCTCCCGCAGGTGCAAAGTTGCCCCTCAAAATCTGGATGTGCCCGCTCTCCTTGATCGGGCTATCGAGGCTCTTGATGATGACTTGATCGCTGGGCAAACTGGGCCAGCTCGCTACATTTTCAGCTAATGTCTTGCCGGTCACCGTGAGGATGGAGCCGTCGAGAAGGCCAGCTGCGATCAGAAGTTTCTGGACACTGGGTACACCTCCGATCTCGTACAGATCGGCCATGGAAAACTTTCCTGACGGCGCCAGATCGGCGAGAAAAGGGATCTTATTGCTCACGCGTTGGAAGTCATCGAGGGTGAGCTCTACACCTGCAGTGACAGCCATAGCGAGCAGGTGGAGGACGGCATTGGTACTGCCTCCGAGGGCCATGGTTATGACGAGGGCGTTCTCGAAGGATTTAGGTGTCAAGAGTTTCTTGGGCGTAATGTCCTGTTCCAAACATACTTTGATGGCATCTGCAGCTCTGGCGCACTCGCGCATCTTGGCTGGCGAGCTCGCTGGCGTGGAGCTTGATCCCGGTAATGTCAAACCCATGGACTCGATCGCCGTGGCCATCGTGTTGGCCGTATACATGCCGCCACAGGCTCCGGCTCCGGGACAGGCATGTCTTTCGAGATCCTCCATGATCTCGTCTTTGGTCTTGGACGTGTCTCCCCCATCGTCCGGTTGACGTAGAGTGTTGAACGTATACGCACCAAAGGCTTCGTAGCAGGTGGCTATGTTAACCGGCCGGCGCAGCGTCTCGGAGTATCCCTTGTCGATGGTCCCTCCATAGATCATCAAACTCGGTCTGTTGTGCCTCGTCATCCCCATGATACAACCCGGCATGTTCTTGTCGCAGCCGGGGATGGTGATATTCGCGTCGTGGGCCTGGGCACATGTCACCGTCTCGACGGAATCCGCAATGATCTCACGCGTCTGCAAGCTGAATCGCATCCCTTGGTTGCCCATGGTGATGGCATCACTTACACCGATGGTGTTGTACTGCCAGCCTAGCATCCCACGTGCATTGACGGCCTTCTTGACCTCCTTGCCCAGGTCCAGGAGGTGCATGTTGCAGGGATTGCCTTCCCACCAGACACTGGCGATGCCGACATGGGGAGCCGTCTGCATGGCCTGCCTGTCTGGCACACCCGCGGCGAAGAGCATCGCCTGTGCGCCGGGGAAGTCATGCTGGCGAGTCAGATGGGTTGAGTAGCGGTTGAGCATGGGTTTGCCATCGACGCCGGTGGGCTCCGACGAGCGCACGAAGTCGAGGTAGCGGGGTTCCTGGAAACCACCTGTTTTGTCCATCTTGAGGGTCGGCTGCCGCCCCAAGCTCAGTCCTACAAGATTACACAAGAGGATTGCGCGCGAGAGAAGATACTTCGTGGACAGGAATTATACGCAAAGGTCAGTCTCGGTGATAGATAGCCCGTGGTTTGTGTGTCGAGTGTCAGAAGGAAAAGTTTATGACTGAAAAATCGAGGCAAAGAAGGAGAGTTCGAAATACAAGATCTTCCATTGGCAGGATCCATGGCATTGACCATTGACACGGTGCCCTGGCTTCCCCACATCTTTGACATCGCTTCCTCGGTGTTGACGCCGAACGAGGGGTTGATGGGCGGGATGAAGTTGGAGGGGTTGACAACGACGAGGCTGCGGATCTAGGCTCAGGGGGTTTGTGCTGTTTGCAACAATTGCCATGTTTTCCATGTTTGCGATGTTTGCCCTGTTTGTGCTGGCGTTCAGGCATCCATCTCCTCCGTCAATTCCTGCTGCATCCTGTTCTGCGACGTCACCTCTATCTATGAGCATCTGGGGACTTGCTCCACACCGTCCTCATGTGAAGAACAAGCAAGAGACGCTCCGCGCCAGAGAATGAGGATCGCCCGCAAAATGCCTTCGTCACGTCCACCAGCACAACGGCGACGGAGATGGGCCCCAAAAGTCAGGACTGGGTGCAAGACTTGCAAGTAAGTACGCAGACGTCTCGAGTCTCTCCATCTCGATGACCGCTTTAGGACACGACGGATACGCTGCGACGAAGGGAAGCCGCATTGTGCGAGGTAACGAGAGCCGCGTCCTCCTCTGTTTACGAGGCTCTGACGTTGATCAAGGTGCTTGAAAGACAAGTTTCGTTGTGAAGGGTACGAACCTCCAAAGACCTGGCTGTTCGAGCCATCTCCGAAAGAGAAGCTGGAGAGATCGGAGTCAAATCCACCTCTTCTCCAGCCATTGGCGTCCCATTCGGACTCTCCTACAACCAAGGGCAATCAGACCTTTGCCGATTTGAGCAGGTTTCTTCTCGAACCCTCAAGTCCGTGGGTAACGGACGTGGACCGAAGCTACACCCAGCTGTTCCTCCTGAAAACCGCGCCTCTTATCTCTACCACCAGAAAGTGGCGTCACTTCTGGCAATTCATCGTGCCTCAAGCTGCTTGGGATAACCCATCGGTCCATCATGGAATGGTCGCGGTCGCAGCGACCTTCGACTCGTATATTTCGGGGGCCGACCACACCACCCTCATATTAGACCGGAGAGCCCAGGCTGTTCGTGCATTCACGAACCACCCTCCTTCGTGGGACGTGGCATTGATCCTCTGCCGATTGTTTTCCTCGATGGCCCAGTGCAACGGGGATTTCACTGCCGCCATGGCACACATGAAAAGCGGGGAGAAGATTCTCCGCGAAGCAACGCAGAATGGACAGACACGGTCAGACATTGTTCGGCTCATGGCTGCCACCTTCATGGGTCTATCGGCCGATGCGAACAATGATATCAGCGTCATCAGGCGATTTCTCCCGAGCAAGCGCCGCGCCTTTCTCGAGCTCAAGGTCATAGGCTCTGACTATGGAAGGCTTCTGCGCCGGATAGCGCCAGGGCACAACCGTGAGGTCGATACGCCGACCATGGGCTTTCTGTCGATCGCCTTCACCATGATGAACCAAGCCATCAGCTCTGCGATGTACCCGGACCTCCTGGTGTTTAGTGGCGATGACGGGGTTGTACCGGCGGCGCAAATCCGCACCCATTTGATGCGAGAGGACTCCCTGTTAGCTCTGGACGACCTGATCATCATGTATCCATGCCTATGCTATGAGCTGGAGCAGTACTTCGAGGCGCGCGCCACCACCGCCGCCAGAGACGCTTCGGTGGTGTCGACCCTTGACGATCTGAAGAAGCGCCTCAAACTCCTCGTGGACAACTACGTCGTGCAAGCATTAGAAGTCGAGCCCCGCATGACGGCCGGCACGTTTTGGCTTGATGACGAAGGGCTCTCGGGGTGCTTGATGGACAAACACCTCGATCGGCCCCAGAGCGGCGTCAGCCCGGATCTGGGTCAACAACAGGTCGATGCCGGCCACCATGAAGACCCCGTCCTGCGCGAGAGAAGGGAGTACTACCACGAATATGTCTGTCACTACAAAAGCGGCTTCATGTGTTGATTTGGAGGCGGGGGTTGTTTATGGAAAAAAACACTAGTCTAGAGCACGACGGTTTCACGATCTAGAAGTTGTATGTCAGGCCAGGGCGTCACTGTGTGCCTCTTCAGGCGAAAAGGCCGTGTTCGAGGATCAATCCATCAAACTAAATATTCTACCGACTCACCCACAAGTAAATTGTGAATCGATCAGGACTATTACTTTGACAGACAGACAGCCTTCTTCTCACGAATCTTCGCCTGAGCCCCGGGACGGACCCCCTTCTAGCGAGCCAGTGAATGCATTGACCGTTTCGTTGCGAATCTCCGGTTCCAGGACGGAACTTATTGTCGCTTGCCAGCCAGCCAGTCAGCCAGCCAGCCTGAACAGACAAGAAATACCATGAGTCCTTAATCACGCTTTGCTACAATCCCTCATTTCTCGGCCCTTCAAATGCCTCGGTCTTCATATTTTTTTTTGTTATTTTGTGATTTTTCCTCATATCACCTTGGGTGAATCTGCCGCGGATCTTTCTTTCTGTCTCGCTCTCTCGAGGGCATCTCCCTTGTTTTTAGAAATCCGCTTCACTCCTTTTCACAGTCCTGCTTCTTTCCCCAACAGCAGACGTTTCAAATGGAGACGGGGTGATTTGGTATACAATAACTTCTTCTTGGCACACAGTGGCGCATTTTTTCTTCTATCCCTTCCTTCCTTCCTTCCTTCCTCTCAGACTCGCTAGGACACATGTACAAGCACGAGATAAAAAGCTTGCTGGAAACACAAATGGTCGTTAAGGAGAGACATGAAAAAAGGGGGTGTCAACAAGTCCTGAACCAACCCGAAGCTCCAGATATCCTCCACTGGACCTTTGTTCCCCTGTTTTTTTTTTACCTTCCTCCTGGATCGCTCTTGGAATGATCCAACAAGCGTCGGATTCGGGTCGGAGAACTCCCTGCCGTAAGCACATTTACTGACTGATAGAAGGGAAAGATGGAGCAACTGTTCAAACGTTAGCAACTCAGTCCAGAATCTTCCGATCTCGAAGGCAGCACTCACTCTCCATGATGGCGGGTCCAAAGAGCACTTCGTTGTCGCTGAGGCTGCGCCCCGAAATGTCCACAATGGTGATGAAAATGAACACTTGACCACCACCGATGCTTCCTGGAATGCTGACGTTGATACTTCCATCCCTTTCAAAGACGGCCTGAATGGACACAACCTCGAGACCAGCGATGAACGTTACAAAGATGAACTCGGTTTCGGAGAAGTCATGGTGGGATTTCGAGAAGTCTGGGACGAGTTGAAGAGACGAGCCAGCACCAGGGGCGGAGCAAGATGAAGCTGAGCCACCGTTTGTGCGCGCTGAGAGAGCGGTGCTTCGCCGTCCGTAAGCAGGTGGTGTGGGCATAGACATGGTCATTGAGGACATATCCATGGTGGTAGTGGTGGTGGTCGTCTCCATTGACATATCCATAGTCGTTGTGGTCGATGTGGTGTAGGCGGTCGTCGAGTCAGTGGTGGTGGTGTAAGCGTAGTCGGTGGTGGTCGAAGTGTACTCGTAGTTATACTCCTCTGAAGTGGTCGAGTCAGTGGTGGTGGTGGTGGTGGTGGTGGTGGTCGAAGTGTATTCATAGGCGTCCGTAGTCGTCGAGTAAGTGACATCAGCGATATACGCGCTGGCAGTATACGTGGCGGTTTCGATGTCGGAGACAACGGTAGCATAGTTGTAGGAATCAGTGGTGAAGCTCTCACTGCCACTGGTCTCGTCGAAGCAGGGCTGAGCGTTGACTGTCAAGCCAGGGAACGCGGTGAATGGCAATGGTGGGTTCTCAGGAGGGCAGGAGACGATAAACTGCGAAGCGATGGTGAAGACCGAGTTGGCGTCAAGAGGCTTGAGTGAGGATCCGTTAGTTCAGATATATCGCCAGAATGGGGGTCGCTGGATAACTTACAGTGGTGAATGCATTGGAGGCGGCAACTGCACCGAGAGAGCTCCTCTGCGCACTGGTGTGCAATGCTTCTGTGGCCATAATACTAGCAGCCACGGCAAGGATATCCCGTGACCCAATGAACGGTGCCGCTCCGAGATAAGCACTGGTTCCAACAGACTCCAGGATGGCGCTGACAGTGACGAAGCTGGTAACGTCCGTCACGGGGAAGCTATACTGGCAAGGCTGGACCGGCGCAACGCCCGCGGATTCAATCGCCGCGATGAGAAAATCAACGTGTGCTGATTCGTCCGAGGCGATGAATTCAAGGTTGATGAAGAACTCCTCGTCAAAGCCGGCATTGAGGAAGTCCTGCAGCTGGAAGCTGCTGAATGCTTCTTTGTAGAAGGTGTTTTCGAGATGCTCGAGCTGTTCACGAGGGTTAGATCACTGAGTTCTCTCTCTCGGGCGGAGATGGTGGGCTACTGACCGTCAGAGCGAATTGCAAGATGGTGATATCAACCTCTGAGAACTGGCTTCCACGCTTGGCAACAGGATGGGCCAACGTCAAGCCGGCGAGGAGGGTGCTCAACCCACAAAGAGTGAATGTTTTCATGTTGGCAAGAAAAGTGATGTTCTATGTGTGCCACTGGAGGCAAAAGGTATATACCGTGGAATAGATGAATGAGAGTGTCCAGCACAGGTTAGAAGGAGAGCTTGTCAAAAGCTTGGATAAATCGAATGAAGGGCAGACTTATCAAAAGCCTTAAAGAAAAGAAGGACTTGTCAAAAGCCTGGTGAAGGAAGGACTGGAATGCGAGTGCTGGTTGGAATGGCTGATTGATCTCACATTGGCCGCAGGAGAAAGGAAAGTTATATACACACGCCCTAGGACAGCAGACATCTTCCAAGAAGGAAGCGTGAAGATCCGAGCATCGCTTGCTCGCTCATCCATCTCGGTAACCCGTACGGAGTTCATCTTGTCAGCAAAAGTGTTCAACTCACTACAAATTTTGACACCGGATATAGAAGGTGCCTGTTTCAATTGCTCCAATAGTGCTGTATCAAGGAGGAACATCCTTGGGGGTAAAGGGAAAAAAAGGAGCCCTGTATCTCATCCACGGGGTAAGCGTGCCCAAGCTATCTTTCGGAAGCTGGTAGATGCCGGGCAACAGACGTTCAAACGCTCGGGCTGATCTGCGTGAGGAAGATGGGCGAAAGGGGTGTTTGGTCAAGGCTAACGCTTGGGCCGAGATCTCAGCGTCTCGTTCCTGATCTGGGGAGACGGGCTAGAACCTGGCTGAGCCGGCAGCTGCCCGCTGCGAGGAAGGCCATAGCAGACTTTTCCCAATTTCACCAACGGTTGCAATCTAACTGCGACGCCGGAGGAGCTCGAGGAAGCGATATGAGGCTGGGGGGCCGCTGGCGCATGGGACAAGGCGCTTTCATCTCAACCGTGGCGGCACGTTGAAAACACTCCTAGGGAAGAAGGTACCAGCCACAGTGGTTACTTGAGACAGTTCGTGTCTCTCAGTGACTCAAGAAGAAAGGGAAGAGGAGAGATGGTAACCGGAGGGTGGACTAGCCGAACAATGGTGAAGCTGTTGACATGTTTCAGCGATGAGAAAGCGCGACAATGCCAAGTCCTGGTCACGTGCAGACGAGGTAGGCTTGGCATGAGCTTCGCCTCGGAGCTTGCAGAAGCGTCTATACCTCTTTGGGAGTGGTGACGTCAGTGGAGATATCATTGTAACCGCGTGCTTGCAGCTTCAGCTGCTCTTGATCCATCAAACACAACAGACAGCCCAATCTTGTTTTGTACCTTGCACAATCCCTGTTCAGCTACCTGGTTCGTTCCCCAGCAAGAGCCCTACTCAGCCCGGGAACTCACATCAGTGAGCGCGCACGACAACCTCATAGGTTCATCCCCTGGAGGGGCTCCGCTATGATGTATGCTGGTATCTTCCAGCACGCCTGATCGTCAGTTCCTTTTCCTTTACCATTCGTGAATGAGCACTATGTAGGCATGTGCAATGGATGCGTTGGTTTACCTATAAAGGTAGGCCCAGGTCGTGGCCTCGTGGCCATTCCCAATTCCGTCGTGGCCATCAACTTCACAAACAAATCGAACCATCTCTGAGAAGAAAAACAAACAAAAACTATTCCCGTTCCAAATCAGCAAAGATGAATACTCAAGGACAGGCAGCTGGACAGCAGCAGGAGGATTACGTTGACAAGGGTGAATCGATCTGCTCCATCCCCTTCTTATCACGAGCCACGGGGTTAACGCTGTCTCTCTCTACGCAGGTCTCGACGCCGTCGAGAAGAAGTTCGGACAGGGTATTTAGATCCCCTTTCCTCCTCCCTTCCCGGGCATATTATATGCCTCCTCCGCTCCCACCAGTTTCACGTCCCGGGTTATTGTTGTGATCCAACAATTGTGACTGGGTTATCCACATATTAAATCACCGTCCTGACATGGTTTGCGCTCGATTAGGCAAAGTCGACCCTGCCAAACAGAGAAGCACGAACGAGAAGATCACCGACAAGGCGAGAGATATGTTTGAGAAGGCCACAGGAAAAGATGTCCCATCCAAGGTGCGTTCAGTTCTTGTCACGTGGAAGACTTTTCATCGGGCTCCACATCCCGAGTGTCGGAATTCTCGCAGGACGCGGAGGTGAGGTGCGCAAGGCCCAAAGTGGTTGGGTCTTCAAGCGCCGGAAAGAACGGATGAAGGCAGGTTGGGATGAAGTAGTGGGCCACTATCAGTCTTGCCGTCTGATCCACGATTCCATCTGCAATATATCCGAGGCAATATGACCATTGCTAATATTGGCATGCTTCACTACAGGTCAGCAACTGATTTATGGTATGGATGCCCAAATCAGTGCACGATATCCATGGGGGTTTGAAGGAGGGAAGGTAACCAATGCTATAATTCGAATGTCAAAATGAAATGAGTAAACATCCACGCCTTCTGCCCTATCACATCGGCCTATGCGTCTGCAACATCAAGTCTAGATTTTTATACGTACGTAAATATGTCGCGTGAATCTGGTGTCGGTGTTGTCTCCCCCTCGAATCTATGCAGGCTAAATGCTGTTGGGTCGACACAAGCAGTATTATGACTGGGGGCGGTTCCCCGTAAGATTTTCTGTCAAACGCACTGAGCACGAGCAATCATGTATTCCTTCTGTCGTCATAATATATCAGTCCCAAGGAAGGTTTGGGCTTCGACGCGTCTTGTACCGATGGCGAGCAGTCAGTCCATGGGGCTTCACAAGAGAACAGAGGAGAGAGATGCGGTGCCCTGATACAGATCCGCTACAGATCCGCAGTAAGCTCGATGGCGGTGATCTATGATCAATAGCAGATGGACCTCGGAAATGGCCAGCTCTCGTCTCCGGAATTCGGATGTGCATGTCCGTTGGTCTGACACAGAACACGCCAGTTCCAAATCGGCCCTTTTGCGCTGTAATAGCCGGACCACGGACAGCATCAGGCCAGGACAACGTCTCATTTTCCCCGGTCACCACCGTCACCTCCGTCAGCAACAAGTCACCCCCCTTTGGGTGCCCTCCGTCTGGTTTCGGAGGCCGGAGTGAGATAACCCGGAGGCCCTGCTGCATGACGTGTCACGCGGAACAGGAATCCGCCACCACTCGGAACCAAATTGGAAGGGTGATTCGACCGGCCAGTCCAATCCCGTGCCGTTGCAGTGCCAAGGCAACCGGGCTGGCGGTGGATCCTGTCAGGACAAGTGACGAATGGTGGCGGTGCTGAAAGATTTCCCTTTTCTCGTCAGTCCCTGCATGGCAGTTTCACATTCTGCCATCCTCGCTGGCCTCCGGCATTTCTTCACGCACAGTTGGGCCCAATAAGTCTCGACGCTGACCTGGAACAGGCAGTGGGCCAGCAGATCACCCTCGACAGGGTGGCGCGTGAAGATTCACCTCTTTGGTGCACTTCTGCAGGAACAGGTCCTCGCCCAAGTCCGCGGGCGCGCAGATTCTGTGCGGCAGATTCCCGTGGTGATTGTCGGCGATACAGCCAAACTCCATCGGCGATGGTCAGTTGCAGATCAGCTTCTCTTCAGAGCAAAATCTCCGTCGTGAGGATCAGGCGAAAGTACCCCCTTCCTCTGGCACCGCCTGTCGCCCAGGAAATGTCCCACGCGACTTGAGATTTCTGCATGAGGCCCGAGGTGTTCGGCCTAGAACCTCGTCCCGGGTGCGGAGCTCTGGAGGTATTCCAGTCATGGTCCAGCAGCTCCGCAAGGAAGCGAAATCGAGATTAGAACCGGGGACGGACAACACGTGCAAGATAAGGGATCAAAAGAGGTGTGTCTAGTGTCAATTTCGAACTGCTGCTGCTTCGTTGGACTTCAGCCAGGGGAAAACTGTGGGGACCGAATAGTCTCTTCTCCGCGGGTCAGTATCTGGACGTCCAGGATGTGGTTTAGACAACGCACCTCCAAGGGACGTGTGACTGGTCGGAGAGATTGGCGGCGCTCCCAGACGATCTTGTCCATAGCTTGCAACCGTGTCGACCGGGCGGTGTAGAGTTGAAGGTGACCGATCTCTGAGACCGGTTTCGATCAAAAGCCCCGCGGCGGTGATGGATGGCAGACGGGTCACCGAAGTGTTAGAGTCGGGCGACAGTCGTGATGATGTCTGGACGGTCGATCCTGGACCGGTGCTCGCCATCGCGGGCGGAGGCGGTACTGGGTCGAACGTGCCCGACGACGTAGACGAACGGGAGGGCGCTGGCACATGCGGGCTCGGTACCGGGAGTGGCAAGATGATGCGGCCGCCCGACCCAGGCATGCTGGGTTCAGTTTTGAGTAAAGCAGGTGGCAGAAGAAGTTGCTCAGTTTCCGCCGTCTCGGAGCCATTGTTTGACGCCGCCGTATCCTGTCACACATAAAGGTTAGCATCGTGGCCGTGAGGAGTCGGTCCACAGCGAGAGTCTCTTACGTTGTCGCGGGCTTCCTCGATCAAGGCTCGTACCTCTGGTGATACCATTGGCAGAATCTCATTGAGAAGGCTTTCATACCGTGCCAAACGGCGCGAGGTGGCCGTGAGATCCTCAGCGGTCCTGGACGAGCGGGGTTCGCTGTCAGCATGCTGGATTCACACGCAGACTCAATCATGGGCGCCAAGTGGTACATGACTTACTTTCGCTTCCTCCATCCCTTGCCGTAGCCATAGTAGCAAGTGGTGCCGGTGTGAAGACACCTCCGACATGCAGGCCTGGAGCCATCACACTTTGTCTTGCGCTCGCGACATGGTTCGCAAGCGTGACTGGTTCGCGCCCGTTCAGGCTTCTCCCACGCCGAATTGCTTGACCGTGAAATGGGCAGCGAGGTACTTTTGGTGACACCAGCGGGAGAAGCGATAGAAGGTGGAGACAGGCCACTGGTGGTATTGCCAGGCTTCATGATGATGTGCCGAGGCTCAAAAGAGATTTTTCGGGAACAGGTCAAGACATATGGTTATGGACCTCGAGAATGCAGCGACACGTCAAATCCAGCAGACCAGAGTCAAAGTTATGAGTGTGCATAAGCAGCAACAGATGGTGCGCAGAGGCGGGGGGAGGAGTGAGGAAGGAGGAAAGGAAGCCAAGCTAGAAACTTTGGAAGGAGGTAATGAGGTAGGATATCGACGGGTAGATGTATCAAGCTGCAAGATGCGTGTGGCCGATCTCGTGGTACTAGGTATTCGTCGGAGGGAAAAAGGGTGGAGAGCGAGGCCCAGTGGATCGATGGCGGACTTGCGCAAGTGTGGTAGGGCAACGCGGTAGACGGAGTCCCAGAGCGTTTCGAAGGGGGCGTGTGTGTGTGTTGGTGGTGAGAGAGACACTAGCGAAGGGGTGGAATGGCGAAATTTCTGCTGTGGACTGGCTTGGTCAGGTCAGTTCCGCCCCGTCAGTCAGTGAGTCAGTCAGTCCGTCAGTCGACTGCTGCGGCAAGACGGGCAGCTGTGATTCTAGGCAACCGAAGAATGAGCAAAGTATTGTCGTTGTACTGACACCAATGGTCGGGTCAATCGTCAGGAAAATTGTAACGGATCGCGTGGTGGGCCCACGGTGGTGGTCGGGACCCGGAAGGATGGAGAATTGCGACCTAGAACAACCCACAGCAATAGACCCTGTCTAGGTCCCGGTACCTCTTGCTGGAAGTGATCAAGGGCCAGGGAAACCCATAGCCTCGACTAGAACGTCCGGTCTGGCAAAGGGAAAACAAGCGAGCGGAAATGAAAAGACCACTGCGCAATTTTGGTGTCCTGGTCCTGGTCCTGGTACCAATGATGCTGGCTGGGTTTACGGGAGCTCGGACCGGGGACAGCCACCGCGAACAGGTTCGGAGATGGCGGGGGGGCGATAGATTTGGGAGTGTTGGTGGGTGTGTGTGTGTGTGTGTGCACAGGACGGATGAGCTACGGAGAGAGACAGAAATGGGCAAGACAAGAGAAGGGGAGGGAAAGAGGTCGCGATGGCTGAGTGGCCCGCAGTATGACCTGTCGAAGGGGTGGGGGAATTGATGACTGGGGGCGAGAAGAACCGTTGGTCCAAGATCGAGGCCATGAAAGAAAATCTCACGCGCGGTGCAGGTCGATTGTAACGGTGAAAGACGGGGAACAGCCGTAGGTGTGTGTGGTCGACCAGACGCCAGGGCCAGAGAAGAGGCGAAGACGGGCATGAAGATCAGGAGGTTTGGTGGGAAGGATCCCGAGAGATCGCGACAAGAGGGAAGCACCAGAAGAAACCGAGAGACGGCCAGAGACAGACCACTTAGCCAAACGAGGCTAGAGAGGAGGAAAAGAGGGAAAAGAAACATCAGGAATGAGAAAAGCAAAAGGGAAGAAAGTTGAGGCACGGGATCTGCCATTGGCTGGTAAGATGATGCACATAAACAACGTTTTTTTTTCGTCCTGTTTGGCTTTGAACACGCAGCCCGTTTCGTTTATGTGGCAGTGTTTTATTTAGTTAGTTGTTGCAACGGCGGCGGCGGCGGCGATGGCAACTGCAGGCGGGCACGGGGACAAGATCGGGTTACTGGCTGTGACAGATTGTACCCGTACAGGGCACGGGGGCCTCCGCGTATATCAAATACCTAGAACTATGATACCTACAGTGCTGCGTATGTACATACCTAGGGTAGGTAGGAGGGTGAGGGTACCTCGATGCGCTGTACCTACCGAGTACCTCGTACACTCTCACTGGTCCTCGGAGGCGCCCAGGTACCCAACTCAGAGGCCCAGAACACCCCTCAGTACTTGGCAAAGCCGGGGGAACTAGGTGCTAAATCAGTTAAAGCTCCTTAGGGCTGGTGATGCACCGATGCCTCCTACGTCCGGAACACGTTCTCCGTTCTTCTTGCCGGCACCTCTCCTCAGGCTAGGCAGTGGGTAGGTACCAACGCTGAGGTATCGCTGCCAAGCTAGCGCGGAAAGGGACTTTGCGGTAAATCCTATTATTGCTTTCTTTACAATCGTTAACAATGGAGCTGCCATCAGGAACACATAGGTGATCTCTTGCCGGCTCTGCTCTCGGCGCATCTCTCTGTTTAGTAGCTGTCTCGGTCATACTGTGCTCTGTAAGTCCTTTACCCGCCTCAATCTGATGCTGCCTCTCAGCCATGTCATCGTTGTCGCGCTACCGCCACGTCCGCCACTATCATTGCCACCACCGCCCTTATTCTCACACCGAGTACCTCGTACGCGTGTAAGTATGTCCTTTCTAGGCCAGGTGATTTGTGTTCACTGACCCTGTGCACTGATGGCTCTATCTCCAGATGGTTCCGGACCTTCCTTTCTGGCACAAACCATTCCACTGCGTTATGTTCACCCGGATATGGCTTCCAGTTCTCATCCGTTCGCCACCTCCTTTTCTTTCCAATCATGCTCGCTTGCGCTCGGGAAATTTATCCATGAGCTTGCTCCACCCCTCTCCCAACCGGGCTCAACAAACCCAGCGCCGGATTTAAAATCCCTTCTGGCTCATACAACAACCCCGTGAATTGGATGGACATGCCGGTCCCCATGTCGAGCTTCTCCCTCTCCACCTTCGTTCGTTTGTGCATCACGCGATCGTGTCTTGTTATCTTCTTTCCAATTGTGTGCCTGGTCCCCAGGACGCATGGCATCAACCCACGACCGCTAATGCAGACTCGAAGTGACAGAGAATCCACATGCACTGAACGCTTCCCCCGAACGGGGTGCGCGAGAATAATCAAGAGGTGGCGGCCACCCTTCGTCTGACACGCTCGATTTTTCTGTTCCCGACCTGACAGAAAAGAAATGACAATTTGTCACGCCCCCATCATGGCGTTCGCCGCTGTCAGTCAGACCGGGTCTCAACACTATTTGACTCGGGTGCAGGGGACAACGGAGCCATCATCCGGGTCTAAAGAGCTGGTCTCCCCTTGCTTGATGCCCGTCTTCTGGACTCCCTACAGGATGTATGCACTCGTTAGCTATTGACTTTGCCCTTTTTCAATAGACCGGATGATAAACTACGAGTAAGGAGAGATCTCTTGCATTGTTATAGGATAGGAGGTCAGGTGTTGCACCGCGTTCGAGCAGCACTCGTCTATGTAGATAGAGACTCTCGAATCTGCTCTCCAGACAAATCCAGAATCCTCCATACCTACATACTTTGTAGCGACCTCGTGTTCTCTCCTTGTCTTCTACTCGGTACGAGGTGTGATGAAAAACAGTCTCGACCAATTACTTTCCTTCACCACAAGACCCTGTGAAAGTTGAAGTCAAGCATGGCAAAAGAAATCCAGTAATTAAGGCAGAACACGAAACCGGGAGAAAAATCCCTTCGAAGTCATCCAAATCATTCATTGTCTACATGTTTCCATCTCTCTCTCCCCCCTTACCAAGCCCGCCATTTACAGGATCTCAGGTCAAAAAGAGGCCTCCCGGTCCCTCTACCCCTTTCGTCTGTCTGTCTGTCTCTTCCGCTCCGTTGTAGATCTGGCTGTCACTTAATCACTCATTCATTACGTCGTCAAGGTGTTGGAACCAAACCAAAACAACATTAATGGGTACTCCCACGGGTGTTGTTGCTGCTCCTACCCAGTCTGCATGAACCCCTCTCCATAAGAAAAGTCGATGATAGGTTTCCCCTGTGCCATGAACACACCCCGGCCAACGCCCCATGTGTGTCGATTCCAAATCGTGGATGGAAAAGATTCAAAACTCTTCGTCTTCGAGAAGAGAGTAAAAACAGGCGTTCTAGCACTCACACGCACACACACCTGTGTAGTCTTCCCGACAAGCATAATCACAATCACTCACAAACTCCCCGGAACACCCACGCTGTGCAAACCAATCGATATCACTCATAAGTCCCTGTGTCTCGTCACAATCCAGTCGCCTCGGGTCGTGCCCTCTCATTTTCCCGGGCCCCGGGGTTCTCCTTGTCCTACCCGATTCGGTGTCGTACGTGTTTCGCATCTCGTTCTCGGTCCCGTGTCTGTCACAGTCATGGGTCATCTCTTGATACTAGTCTTTCTGACCGGTTCGACGCCCTGCATGGCGCCCAGCTTCGCTCGATCCAGACCAAAACGAGGCCCCCTCCCGCGCACAGGAGAAAGGCCTGGCCCCGTAGTGTCCCACTCTTGGAGCCGGCGCTGTATGTTCGGGTCGCTTTCGTCTCCAATAAATGTCCAGGACTCTTCGGTGTCGCCGCCTTCGTCGAGGAGATCGACAGCCGTGAGGCCGGCTGCTCCTCCGGCCGCGGCACCCGGTTGTTGGATAGCGGCGCGGGCCCGGACCAGTGATCTCGCGTATTCGAGGTCGCGGTAGATTGCTTGAATGGCGGTTTGCACGCCGTTCTCCTGCCGAACAATATTAGCGCCTTCCCTTCCCAGATTCTGCTCGTTCTCAGGAACAGTAGGATCGACAAATACGAGTAAAGAAAGGGGATCTCTTACCTGGCGAATCTGCTCTCCCAACAATCTCGCCTTCACAATCATCCGCTCACTGTGCGTCGCCTCCCACAGCGCCCTCGAGAACAAACTCACGTTGACCTTCTTCAGGCAAATGCCCACACCGAGATCTTCCACTCTCGATCCAAAAAAGAATTGATCCCCAAAGAATGGCTTGACCACGGTCGGGAGTCCCGCTCGAAGGCTGGCGCCTGTGGTCCCCGCGCCGCCGTGATGGCACGCTGCGTCAATCTGCCGGAACAGCCAGTCGTGTGGCGCAGACTTGATCTGGAAGATCTCTGGGGGCAGGGGGACTTCTGCCTTGACAGCCTGCGGATCGCCAAGCCGGTCAGACCAGCCCTTAGAGAGAATGCAGCGCACGTCGGCCTTGAGGACCGAATCGACAACCGTCTTCGTGAGTGCCGCGGGGTCCGAGACGACGATGCTGCCGAAGCCAATGTACACAAGCTTCTTGTTGTCGTCTCGAGCCTTCTTAATAAAGTCCGTCAATTCGGCAGCGGGGGTCCAGTCAGAGGCCTCATCGAGAAACCAATACCCCGTTACTCTGACCCAGTCGCTGTAATCCAGCGGCGGAGCCACCACGTGTGGGCTGAAATTATACAAGAACGGCACCTTATTGGGCTGCATCTTGTCCAGGTTGGTGCTCCTCAGATTTAATTCTTTCTTGCGCCACCGATTCACTTGCCCCGCAATGGCCTTCCAGAAGACATTGTCGAACATGACGTACGAGTAGTAGTTGTACGCACCCCCGATTTTGTGTTCCGGAACGGCAAAGGCGTGCGGGTATGCACGCGTGCGCGTCCATGGCATGGTGAAGGCGCGAAAGTAAGGGATGCCCAGGGCTTCAGCAATGTGGATGCCCGCCATAGCCGAGGGGGATTCGATCAGGAGGTCCGATTCTTGACAGGCAGCCCAGGCTGAGGTGAGAAGTTCATCGATCCATGTGCGGAACTTCGCCGAGGCTTCGCGTAGAAACGAGTACGTGAACATGCCGTTCTCAACGCAGATGCGCATCAACTCGGCCGGGTCACCGTCCACAGGCCTGAAATCAATCCCGTGCTTCTGGATCCAGGGGCCAAATTCAGCATGCGTGGCAATCCGTGGACGGTGCCCTTCGGCGAGAAGGCCCTTACACAAGGCGATGTAAGGCTGCACATCGCCTCTTGAGCCAATGGTGAGACACGTAATGCGCAGCGAAGTAGTTGGTTTGGTGAGGTTGATGATTGAAGCGCGAGGGTCATCAAATAGCACTGGTCCGGAGGATTCTTCATCCTTGTGGCTGTAGATTGCCTCGACCGTATCGGGTAGGACGAGAGCATGGTCGCCCGCCGTAGAGGTGCGACGGGCTTCCTGGAGCTTGCGGTGTTCCTCTTTGGCGATTTCTGCATCATCCTCATCCGCTTTGGCGAGGACGCCCGACTCGGCCATGTAGCGAGCTGTTTCCAGACTGTGCAGGAGCGTTACGGTGCAATCGTCACGATGTTCGGCCGAGCTGAACTCGAAGAATAATTCCTCATGACCACGGATCACCAAGACTAGGCCATGATAGCCAAACCGGAAGCCTTTCTCTTTGTCCACGTTCTCAATATCTTTTAGTGGCAAGACCAGCTTGGTTCGCGTCCCAGGTAGGAGACTTCGAAAGCAGAATTTTCGATTGCTGATGTATATCTTGCCATACAATGGAAGGACGCGATGGAGGAAGCCAAAGTACGTTGCCTGTAGTTTCTCGGTGGCGGGCAATGCGAAATGCGCGCGAAAGCGATCGCCGTGGCCGACGTTGGCTTCTTCATCTTCCGGATCAACGCCCCTGTCATCGGGCACGACACCCTCATTTTCTCCGTAATGTTTCCTACTCCCGGCCCACATGCCTGATACCTTTTCGAGATAGGACATGGACTCCGTGGCAAGCAGCTTTCTCATGGAAGTGGACCGGCTTTTGAGGTAGTCCGCAAAAGCTCCAGCTCTTTGTAGAGGGTAGGATCCGGCTTTGACCAGATCCTGCAGCGTCGGCGAGGAATTGTTCCTAACATAATTCTTGCCGGGTTCTAATTCTGATGAAGGGATATCATTCTGCACCGTTGCCCGGCGGTCCGTCTGCGGCTCATGTGCGCCGCGGATGGGGATAGCAAAAGCATCTCCTCTTTGTGGTGAGCTTGATAAGATTGTTCCACCCTCCGATGATTTCCTTGTGGGTTCAGTCGATATGGATGCCAAAGTTTCCATTCGATGAATGGCCGGTTGGTGAAAAACGTCGCTTCTGGTCAAGATTTGGCTGGCCGACATTTGTGCTTCTGCCCGCGGCGACAGGGGCGCGGTAGACGAATCTGTTTCCTTGTCGATAGAGTGAACATAAGAATCTTCGGAGTCGTGATGCCTCGCTAGCGGTGACCGGGTTGTTCGTTTTGACTTGTTCACCTCAAGACGACTCGTACTTCCGCTTCTACGGCCGCGCTCAAAGCTGGCACGACCGTATTCCCCTGTGAACTCGTTGCTAGAGCGAGAAGGACTATTGCCACGAGCAAACTCGCCGCTTCTTCTGGGAGACATTCTGCCATCATTTCCGACGGAGAACGGGAGCAGAGTGGCTTTAACACTGTCTTTGAGGGGCGGACTCGACTGAGCTCTCGGACTCTCTGCGCCAACGTCCGAAGACTGCCTATTCGAGGACGCCCTTCTTGGGCTGGACAACGCATCGACCTTTCTTGTCGGCGACAGGATATCTTCCGACGTCCTCCTGGCTGGGGCTTCGGTGATCAGGCTTCCGAGGACGTTCAGTGCATCTTGGCCAAAGCTGAAAAATGAGAAAAAATACTACACGAATCAGTGCTGCCAAATTAAGGTGGGTTGGGGAAGTGGCCCTTACTTCGTCGATTGCATATGAATCCTCGCTTTCAATCACCCTAATCTTAACCGTCTCAGCGAACTCGACCACCGGGCTCTCCTCAAAGTCAATGATATTTTCCAGGGGCAAGGAGATCTTGACACTGTCTCCATCGTTGTGGGAGCGGAAGATCGTCTTCTGCAGAGTCTGTACCCATTCCTTGGCGCTCGAAGCAGTGTCTGCTCGAAAGTGGTATGTACGATGATCTGTAGTGACGGAGAAATCTTTACAGGCCTTGGACTTCCCTTTCTCCTTGTCGATAGCGATATTGGCAGATATGCCATATCTGAGGTCGATATTTCCGGAAGGAAAATAGAGGTTGGACGCATCTGAGTAGTAGGACAAAACATCTCCCTTGAGTGAAAACCAGTACCTTTTGTATTTGGAAGTCGTCCTGCCCTTCTTCGAAAGATAGCCTGTTTTGACGACGGTGTGAGACTTCTTGGTAGATAGGCATAGAAGCAAATGTGTTGCTTCGTGATGTAAAGATAGCCTTGAAGGAGCACACTCTGCAAGAGCCAACACGGATATTCGGCCACCACGGGCTCGGGCACTTCAAATCCAAAGATCTCCATCAGTCGCGTTGCAAGGAGCGTCTGCGGTGTCGAGTCGCCTCTGCTTCTTGACTTCAGAGCTGTGGGAGATTCCAGCATCTGGTCCTGACCCTCTGCACTCTCTTGGAACTGAGCCTCCGCGGTTATCAACCGGCTCAGAACAGGGGCATCTCTTGGATTGCTCCTCGAAGACTCCGAGGTCACGTCGCTCTCAGGACTGGGGTCTTGTCGGGGGGTGCCCTCTTTTCTGCGTATCGGTCTTCCCGGTAGACGTGGCAACGACTGCACCAACCGCTGACTCGAGAGACGGTTGATCTTCTTTTCGCTAGTGATTTTCCCGTCCTTCGTAGCTACAGACTGTCTCTCTTTCGACCCCGTCCCTGGAGCAACCGAGGGTGATACATTGTCGATTGCTGGCTGTCCTTGTTCTTCAGGGATCTCATCCTCACTATCGCTTGACTCGTCGAATCTCGTGTTGAAGTCATTTCGCGACCCGGCGGCCGCGATCATGGAAAAGATGGATTGATTCATGTATTGGGCAGGCATGTTTGAGCCTCGATTTGGGGCGGTCACGTCTTCTTGGGCATCGTCTCCCAGACGCAGGCGAGAGGGGATATGTGATGAAGGGAGGAGGTTAAGATTTGAGTGTCGCATGTGAAGTTTGCGGAGACCGCTCTTCTTGGACGGAGGGGATTCGAGGTTCGACATCGTGTCGTTTGTGAATCTGCGGACGCGGGTCAAAGTGATAAACGGACTGGATTGCTCGGCGCTGCGGCAGAATGCCCTACTCAAAGTGTCGGCGACGCGTGAGGCATTTGGGCAAGTGCACACTGTCAGCGTCCCCTTTGAGCGAGACCAGTTGTTGTCGAGGGTCACAGGTTCAACGCACAACGCAGTCTCTCACCTGACTGCGCGACGGGGTTGTTGAGAGGGAGCAGCCCGATAGCCAGGACGTCCGCTGAGAGTCGAGGACATTATGGAAGCATCTCTACAGCACATGAATGCCGATGCAGAGAGAAACAGTCGGGATATGCTGCCGCTAACAATCTTCTCGTGCCGATCAACAACGAGAATACAGTAACAATAATGCAAAGACTGAGGGAAGTTGGCAAAACATATCTCTCGGACCCTGTGCTGCGTGTGTGTGACTGAGCCTCGAGACTGTGTATCCGCTAGTAAGCCAGGGTATGTATGGTCGACCCAATCACAATGCTTGGAGCTGCGTGATTACCACAGGTTCCGCAGGCAGCATTAGGCGAGATTCGGCTCAACATTCCAGGCACCACAAGGGGAGGACCTATGTATGTACGAGGTACTACAATAGGGCTGCTCCCACAGAGCTTGGATAAGGAGTGCATTATTACGTTGCATACTCGATACTTGAGGATGAGGATGAGGATGAGGATGATGATGATGATGATGATGATGAAAAGGGAGTGTGCCCTTGTCCTCCCAGCCATGTTTATTACCCTCCATACTCCTCCAACTGGTCTTCCTTCAGCCGTGTCCATAGGGTCCATCCCAGCCTGCACAAAGCCATCCCTGTGTTTCAAATAAACCGCTACCTGAGTGGACATCTAGGACGTCTCCAGCATTTTGGCATTGTTCCGAGCACTGGCAGCCGCGGTAACAGACACTAGGATCGGGGTTAGCCTGTCGGTACACAGAATGGAGTTGAACTGGTGGGTGGCACTTACATCCTGCCGGGGAATCGTCCCATGGCATGTACATTTCAACCAATTGCAGGTACGGGGCCGATGAAAAGGTTTTGTCCTGGAACAAAGCATGAATGTCCTCCTTGCTTTTGACTTGGTATGTCTTGTAGCTGCCCTCCTCTGCCCCAAAGGTTGGGACCAGCTCCTTGTACTTCCAGTTTTGGATGTCGTTGTAGCCTGCTTTCATCCCGTGGATGAAACGTTCGATGGTGTAGCCGTTATTGCAGACGATGAAAATGATCGGGTTGAGGTTATGTCGGATCATCGTGCTTACTTCCTGGCAAGTGAGCTGGAAGCTGCCATCGCCGGTGAAGAGGATGGTCCGACGGTTACCACCCAGCTCTTTGGCGGCCAATGCCGAACCCTGGCACGCACCAGTCGCATATCCAATGCTTCCCCATAGGATCTGGCTGATGTTGATCACATTTTTGGGGAATCTTGTGTCAAATATGCCATAGTTTGAAGTTCCTGTCTCAGTGAGCACAATGTCACCATCTCGCAGCCACTGTCCCAATCGCGGCCAAAACCAACGGTGCGTGATGGTAGAGTCGTTGGGATTATCGTCTTTGGGGATCTCTTTCTGATGCAGTGTAGGGCCAGGCTCGATGTTCAGTTTGGGCAGTCGGTCAATGACTTTGCGAAGGACGCCTTTCATTCCGACCCCAGGATACTCTGAATATCGGACGCGCGTGTATGTACTGTGGAAATCGATTGTCTTCAGCTGCGAGGTTCTATAGGAGAATCCTGCAGTGTTGAAGTCGGACTTTACGCTGCCGATAGTGATGAGCAAATCAGCCGCTTCAACGCGCTCCTGGACTCCAGGGTTGGAGGCATCGCCGGCATAGATACCACCAAAGGTGGGCAAGGTCTCATCGACGGCACCTTTGCCCATGGGCGCCACGAACACGGGGAGACCCGACTTCACGATCAACTCGTGGGTCTCGGGCAAGACGCGGTGACGAATGGCGCAGCTGTCAACCAGAATAACTGGGTTCTTGGCAGCTGTCAAATACTTCAAGACCACGTCGACCACGTACTCTTCCTTTTCTGGATCATTCTTGTGCGGGCTCAGGTCCAGTGGGGTCTTGAGTCTTTGGCCCTCGACCTTCCGTTTGACCATGTCCGTGGGAAGTGTCAAGTAGACGGGCCGACTGCTGAGGTAGCACTCGCGAAGTACATGGTCAATTTGTGAGGCAATGTCGCGAGGGTCCGTCAATTTGGCGACTTCCAACGCTAGATGGCCAGCCATTTCGGCGAAAACATTGAAGTTCCCGTTGCCCAGGGTGTGATGTAGAAGCATGCCATTTTTCTGAGATATGGTACTCGGCGTCCCCACAATATGCACCACTGGCACGAACTCAGCGAAGCTAGAATCAACAGTCAGTCGATGCAACCATTCCGAATCAACGTGACTCGCCTTCCTGCGGTTGCATTGAGGAGAGATAGCTCCCCGACTCCAAAGGTGGTAATGACAGCTGAGATCCCTTTGACTCGAGCATAGCCGTCGGCGGCATAGCCCGCGTTGAGCTCGTTGCAATTTCCCACCCATTGGAGGCCGCAGCCCTCAAGATAGTCGAGGGCTACCAGATTGAAATCGCCAGGCAGACCGTGGACCGAGTCGATGCCAATCTGCTTGAGCCTGGTGAAAAGATAAGTAGCCACATCCACTGGCTCTCTGAGCTCTGTGGTTCTGACATCAGTTAGAGCAGCCATGACTGGGCACGAGCAAGAGCAAGTTGTATGAGATAAAGGAGAATAGAGATGAGAGATGAGAAAGGAGAGGTGACGTTCAGGACACAACACTCGGAGACAACGGGAGCGAGTTCAAGCTTTATACTGTAGGGAAGGCACGATACGACACCGATCAGATCGGCGTAATAAGCATTGAGGGTTGCAGCGGAAGGCCGGCAAGATGCAGACGATGCTTTCGAGACCCGAATGTTGAGATGACCTCGAGAGTTAATGGGGATTGAAAAAGGCACATGTAAAGTTGAGATCATGATGCTTTGTGATGCAAGGGTGGTATGATGTGACGTGCAACATCAGCCCACGCGTCCCGACCAAAGCTTGTGATAATAATTGGATCAAGCATCCTTATGTGAGTTATTCTAAGCTGCAAGGTAATGGACACAGGATTTTGCTGGGCGATCTGGGTGCAGAGCTTGCCTTAGCTATGCCCACCATGCCTGGGTAGGAAGTTCTACAGTAGGGCGACTGCTGATGCTGGGGAAAAGGGCTGTACTCGATACACATGGCAACAAAGAGATCTGGGGCCAAAGCTAACCATGCCTAGGTGGGAAGTTCTTAGGTAAAGAGCTCTTCCGGTGCCAATAATGCCGAGTGTGATAGAGCTGTTTGTTTATCTCGGGGGGCCGATAGCCAGTAGGGAAGCCCATCTGTGGTCGAGGCCTTTTCCATCAGGTACGCGCTTATTCCAGCCCCTCTATTGGGCACCCTTAACGACAGCCTCATTAGCCCCATGCTAGCCCCTTCCGGCTTCGTAGGCCTGCCTAATCAGCCTTCCTTATTCCTTCGGCCCCAAATCGTCGGTGCCGCTCATCAGCCACGCAGCCCATATTACCCAGTACGCTTGGTTCGGCCTGCGACTTTCTCGTCTCTCGCCGTCGTCGACGTCCTGCTTCGCTGACACCCCTCTCGGCCACGGCGCCGACACACTATCTGCGGATATATTTGTGCTTGTTGCCCATCACCCTGCGGCTCGTGGCAATCTCTCCGCCCTTCCCTCAGTTTTATAACAGCCACAACTTCCTCCGCCGCACCTCAGTCATCCACTCCGCTTTCTCACCTTTTCCTGTTCGCTAAGTCCGTCTGCCGGCGAGATCAAACATCTATCATGTGTCTTTGACGCTGCGCTCTTGTCTAGGGGTGCGCCTCGTTGTTCTGCTCGACTCCGAGCTGAAAGGGACGTGGACAGTCTCCTTCGAGATACTGTGCCAGATTGCGACCACCGGGGTCGAGGTCCGAAAAGCTGGGGAAACTCAGATTGCAGGCAATGATTGTGGCGCTTGTCCGACTGCGGTGATAACGACGCGAGTTGGCTGGTGATCGAGTGCTCCGGTTGACTACCTGCGACCAACCTTTGAACGATGGTCTCGAACAGCCAGATTATGGATAATCAGCGACAACAACAATACATCCCTGGGCCTCCCCCTCCACCCGGGCAAGGTACTCTCGGCCATCTCCCACCCCCTCCTCCTCGACCGTATCTCCAATCGAATCTTCCTCCTCCTCCACCGGGACCACATCCCTCCGCCCTGCCGCTTGGGACCGTCTTTGGACTGCCGGGCGCAGGATGGCAGCAGCCATGGGGAAGATCGGGATTAGGTCAGAACATACCGCCTCCTCCGCCATTAAACCACACCCAGCCTCAAGGGCAACACCTGTCCTATGGTATGCGACAGCTGAATATTCCGCCGCCGCCTCCGCAGAACGACAAACCCATCTTGTCCGCTACATTTATTCCAACTGGGGACTCGTTTGGGCCCGGCGTCGGCATTCCACCGCTTGATGATTACTCTTCATATTCTCGATATGATGCTCAGTTCACTTCCGAGCCTTCATTGTCTCACTCCGATCAGAAGTATTCAGACCCCACCACTACTTCTCACAGCTACTCGTATCCTAATCCTGTGCATCCAAATCCGGATATCGCCAATAGGGAAAGCCGGGCTGCCTCTGCCTCTTCTAATAGGGCCGCTTTCACCCTGCCTCTGCGCGACATCAACGAACCAATCTCCCCGGGACCCCCGACCGCAACCTTGGTCAATCCGCAAACAAGCATTGACCAAGGTCGGCAGCGAGCGCACAGTGCGGCCGTCGGTGGAAGCAACTCCAGCGAACTATCTTCGCAATGGCCCTTGGACCGTGTCCTTGCCTGGCTGGCTGCGAATGGGTTCTCAGGTGATTGGCAGGAGACCTTCAGACTCCTGAACTTGCAGGGTTCCGAGTTTCTCGATCTGGGTCGAGGACCGAATGGCCGTGGAAATTTGGGCATGATGCATCAAACGATTTATCCGCAGCTCGCAAAGGTCTGCTCGAGCGGCAATACCGGTTGGGATCAGGCCCGTGAACGAGAGGAAGGCAAGAGGTTGCGCAAGCTGATTTCCCGCCTGGTCGAACAGGGAGGCGAGGGTCCAGCTAGTGCAGGTATTGGCCATCGGAGGCGAGAGTCTGGTATGATTCCAAGTGCTTCCACCGAAGGGAATTTGGAAACTTCGCCTCATCTTCCCCGATCCGAGTTTTGCAGCGCGCCTGGCACAGCTGGCCCAGAAGGGAGTCCCGGCAAGCAGATGCCTCCACAGTTTCCGAGCGGGTTGGGTCCTCGAAATTCCCAAGGTCGAAGCAGCACCATGCCCGTGCTCAGCAAACACAGCAGCACTTCTTCCACTCCAAGCGACTCTAAACCACCAGAAAATTTTCCAGGCCTCGGCCGTACAGATTACACAAGAGGCGTGCTGACCAGCATGAACAATCGGGGTCGACATAGCCCTAATCTGTCCGGTGATGGCTCGACGGGCTTGTTTCCTAAAACCTTCGAGGCCTCCCCCAGTGCCAGCCCTGGTCTTGGAAGTGCAGTCCCCGTATCGGCTACAAGTACCTCTTCTCAAGGACTGCGACCGGACCACAGCAAGAGCAACAGCACCGATTCTATGCTCAAGGCAATAGGCCATTCCCGCTCAAATGTCAACGTTCAGGGGCCTTACGAGAGGAGTAACACATCATCTGGAGGCTCAGAACGCTTCTATGCAGATAGGCGCGACGCGCAGGAGATGACCAGGCCTTCGCCGCTAGAAGCCCATAGGACTTGGAGTAACGACTATGCCCCAGGTCCCGGAGGAAAGGATCACAGCAAGGGTTTTCTCAGCAAGTTCATGAGAAAGAGGCATGAGCATAATCAGCCTCAATCAGATGAACATCCTCTGGAATCACCGACAAGTCCTGGGCCATTGAAGCTATTTACGAGGCCGAGCGCGAATGGTAGCGACTCAGTGCTGCTTCCGCGCCCTGCATCCGTGACGAGCGAAGATGAGAGGGCGCTGGTTGCCGGGCGCCGAGGCCCCAATGCTTCGAGAAGGTACCTTTTTGTGACGCCAGACTGTTGGAATTACCGGCTTGTGGATGTCACAGACGTGGAAACCGCCATCGCCCTTCGTAGTCTCATTTGTATCGAGCTTGGGATACCAGACGCCGAATATGCCCAGATCTTTGTGACCGAGCCAGGTCAAACAGAGCATGAAAGTGCTCTCTCGGACAATTTGCTCGTCGCAATTCGAAACCGGACAGATAATCTGGGCAGCTTTAAGCTGTTTGTCCAGAGCCCTACACTCTCTGCAGTATCCGGCTCTGCCTCCCAGTCTACTGGTCTCGGGGTTTCTTTTGGACAAAAAGCTCAAGCCGAAAGGGCTCCGCCCATGGTCAAATCGAACTCCTCTGGTGGCATCAGTCGGAATGGTTATACATCTCCAGGACCCGAAGTTGTCGCTGACCCTACTCTTATGCAAAAGCAGGCCGAAGAGTATCGACGGCAAACAGAGGCTAAACAACGTGCCTACTTGGAATCCCGCCGAGCTCAAAAAGAATCGACCTCGACATACAGTGGTGGTGGCATTCGAGGAAGCACGGTCATAGACTTCGACAGTCCCCGCCACTCACCCTTTGAAGAGAAGAAGGTCGAAAATCTTGTCCCAGTTCGGCGGCCGCCAACAGCACCTGCAGAATCTACCACTTTGACCAAGGTCAATTCTCTTCGAGCCAAAGGGTCCAGCAATCGATCTTCCCTCGATGCATTAAAGAGAATTTCGGATCCAATTGCCGAAGAAGACGCAGAGCGTGCAAAGAAGAAGTCTGCTGCTTTTGCGGCCATTGCTTCGGGCGGCATCGGTGCGGCATTAGCCAATGTTGGCAAGATGGCTGGCGCTCCCGCCACTGTGGGTAGCCAAGGGCTCCAACAAGACAGAAGGGGTACTGAATACAGTCGGAGTACTTCAGGTGGGTCCTTTCGTCCCGACTTTACTCGGGGCAAAGGTGATATGCTGTTCAAGGTTCCTAACTATGAAGAAGGTTTTGCCGATATGAACCAAGAGACTCGGGCACGGAATGCGGTGTTGGAAAATGCCCGGCGCTTTGGCGCTTCTCCAGCGGTCAGTCCTTCGACCGAGACCGCACCACGACCGTTCTTGCAAACACGAAAGTCATATGGGCCCGATCTAGAATTTAAGGAGACGAATGTTTCTTTTGCTCCTTCACCTCATCCCATGAAGGATGATTCGGACGACGACTCAGACGATGGTCTCTTTGCTATCCCCCTGGCAAACAAATCCCTATCCAAAGATGATCATCCGTCTCGCAGCAAGGATCAGAGACCAACATTGACGGTTGATACGGACCAAAATATCAGCAAGAATGTGCGGTTCAAATCACCAAGTTCGTCCAGTGGCATACAAAACACAGGGGAGGAAAGCGCCACAGCTAGTGGAGAAGGCTATGACCGCAGTCTTTCCGACGGCAGTTTCAGTGGTTCTGCTCAGTCTCCAGATGACCGAATGAGTAGGAGAGATTCCTTCATCAGCGATATCTGGGCGAATCGCCCGGCTGTGGAAAACGTGGTTCACCATCTCGATGAATTCTTCCCCGGCGTCGATCTCGACAAGCCGTACCTGGAAGAGAAAGGCGATAACAACTCGCCCATGAGGACGACTGAACAAGATCCTCTTGAAGCTCTCCAAGGACCCTCCAACGGCCTGACTTTTGGTACCACTGGGCTCGATCTCGATTTCAGTCGCAAGAGTGACTCGGACACCTTAGGCTCTGACGAATCCACTTTAAAGGCGAAGGATCGTGATAAGGTTGCCAGTGTTGCGCAGAGGCAAGTCGGTAAAGCGACAGGGGGCATTTCTCGGATGAAATCTATCCGTGAAGTTGCTCAAAAGCGAAACGACATCAAGCGAGGACCTTCTATTGCTGCTCGCGTCGAGCAGAGTAACGCAAGCAGCATCGTTCGCCGGAAATCGACGAAGATGTTTGGCGCTCATATCGTTCAGATCAGACCAAAGCCAGGGAGTCGATTGTCTACTCTAGATCCTATCCCTCAAGAGGACGTTCCCACGGACGACACACCAAAGCGGCAGGCAACTTTCAAGATCATTCGCGGTCAACTCATCGGCAAGGGTACCTATGGACGCGTGTACCTTGGTATGAACGCGACAACCGGTGAGTTTCTGGCTGTCAAACAGGTGGAAGTCAATCAGAAAGCTGCAGGTCAAGACAAAGATCGTATCAAGGAAATGGTTGCTGCTCTGGACCAAGAGATCGACACTATGCAGCATCTCGAACATCCAAACATTGTGCAGTACCTTGGTTGTGAACGCAAGGAGTTCTCCATCAGTATCTATCTCGAGTATATTCCTGGTGGCTCGATTGGCAGTTGTCTCCGCAAGCATGGAAAGTTTGAGGAGTCCGTGGTCCGATCGCTTACTCGACAAACCCTTGAAGGCCTGGCATACCTTCACCAAGAAGGCATTCTGCACCGAGATCTGAAAGCTGACAACATCCTCCTCGACCTTGATGGCACATGCAAGATCTCGGATTTTGGTATCTCGAAGAAATCAGACAACATCTACGGCAACGATGTCACCAACAGTATGCAGGGCTCGGTATTCTGGATGGCGCCTGAAGTTGTCAGATCACATGGGCAGGGATATAGTGCCAAAGTCGATATCTGGTCGCTTGGTTGTGTGGTTCTGGAAATGTTTGCCGGAAAGCGACCGTGGAGTCGAGAAGAAGCTATCGGCGCCATCTTCAAGCTGGGAAGCCTCAGCCAAGCGCCGCCTATCCCCGAAGATGTTCAGTCGACAGCTACAGTTGACGGTCTGAACTTCATGTATGATTGTTTCCAAGTGTAAGTCTCCAGTTGCTGGCTGTGAAACGTCGCGGACTAATGGATGTACAGCAACCCAACTGACCGACCAACGGCCGACACCCTACTTCGACATTCAACATTCTGTATCCCTGACCCATACTACAATTTCTACGACACAACATTGGCTGCGAAGCTAAGGAACGTTGACGGTGCCGGTCTTGGTGGTTGAACATTTACAACGCTGTACACATGATACCAACTTCTTGCTACATCCAAGGATCTATAAACGCGATTTTTGAGCGAATATATCCAACAAAGAGCCGTTCTTCGCACAGTAATTACACAACGGCAACTGACGATTTAACGCGGCCTAACGAAGGGAAGGAAAGACATATAATGCGCGATTGTTACTATAGTGGTATCATATACACAACGAACCTTGGAAAGATGGGAATTGGACAAGGCAGACAAAGGCGATGGTGGGGAAAATGGTGACAATGTTGCTGCTTGTCCTGCCGGAATATGGAGATTGTTGGCGAGGAATGCAGAGGGCTCACATGTTTTATGACACATTCCTCGGAACATCACCATTGCCTGATCCTGATCCTCGTTTCGCTCAGTTCCGTGCGTTCCTCCCTTCACAGTGCGTCTTTCTTCTACCGGCCGCATGCAATTCGGCTGTGCTGCATTCGTCATGTTCAAGACAAGCCGCGCCCTTCATCTCCTAGCAGAAGCCTTACAGAAGAGGCCGCCCACATCGATCGATGGGTATGTTCGCTTTCATGGCTCGTCCGTTTGCAACACCAGGAGGCTTTGTTCATGTCTTGCTTAACTCTGTTGCCGACTGCGGCATCGTGGGTGCCATTCATTTCCTTTGTATATCGCATCAATGCCTTGACCGCCACAAATGGCAAGCAATTTCGTTTACCCAAGACTCCTTGTTCTGCATTTCCTATACCCGTCTGTGATCTTGAAACCAGCTCAATAGGGGGATCCATTTGATCCAATCGCAGGGAGGGAACAGCAACAGATCAGGACAGCCAAAATGTCTGATGTAAGTGGCACACCGGCGTTCTATCCTGACCGGAACCCCTTGTCGGCGTTTGTCACAATGCTGGCTTGTTGTTGCTGACTCAGTACATGCAGAACTCTCCTCGGCGTTTGTCTCGCCTGCACAGCATCAGCCATAGCAATGGCACCAGCACTTCTAGCCCTCCGAAAGCCGCCGCCCAGGCTGCCGGGGTCTCGAAGACTCGCATGGGCAACCGGTCTCAAGGGCCGATCCATGCCACCGCCGGCGGCGCGCCCCCTATCGTCTCTCCAAAGTTCAAGACGAGGCGGGCATTGACGCAGGCCATCAAAGATGCGCTAGGCCCCGCGTATATCAGTCCTCCTGCCTCTGATAAAAAGGCTGCTGCGCCGGCGGACAAGAAGAAGAAGGACGAGGACGGGTCGGCCAGTAGTCCGAAGAAGGCTACGGGTAAAGGGAAGAAGAAGGTCTGGTCGAAGAAGGAGGAAAAGAAGACGAAGGCAACCACGCCCGCTGTGACAAAGAGGAAAGTCACGGCGAGGAAGGACAACGCTGAGCCAGAAAAGACGAGTCCCGCCAAACCGGAGAAGAAGACAAAAGCCGCAGCAATGGCAAAGGCGGCGGCGAAGAAACCCAAGGCCACGGTCGTGGTGGACGATAGTGCGGACTCTGACGGTGCAGCCACTGCTGCTGCGAAGAAGGCTACGCGCAAGGCGCGAGACACGACTTCTAAAAAGGCGGCTGCGACGAAGCAGGAGGCCAAGGATGATGATGAGGACAAGCAAGACAAGCAGGGGAAGACGAAGGAGAAGAAGGAAGCGAAGAAGTCGAAGGACGACGTGACGCGCAAAGGGCGGACGAAAAAGACGACAGCATCCAGGAAGAAGCCCACAGCAGCGGCGAAGGACAAGGCTGATATCGATACCGCGACGATCAAGAAAACCCCCACAGCTCCAAAGCCGGAATCCAAGAAGAAGGCGGCTCCAAAGAAGGAGGCCAAGGTTAAAACCACAGTTGAATCCAAAGCTATCAAGAGGGACAACAAGCCCAAGACTGCCGCCACCGACGCAAAGATTTCGAAGGTCACCAAGAAGGCGCCCGCGAAGAAAGCAGCCCCGGCAGCCAAGAAGGGCGCTGGGAAGTCCACGGCTCCTAAGAAATAGTGCCAAGTCATGAGCAACGTCAACTTAATAATAACAAGTATGTAGTTGAGAGGGAGACTGAGCGAATGCTGCTTGGGATTTCGTGTCTTGTAATTAGGATAGCGCCGACATAGGATTGTTCTGTTAGTAAACCAGATATAGGTGTTGACAACGAATATTTGTGGAAGACTCAGAGACTGAAGATAAGGAGGTTGTTTGTGTGGGTGTGCCCTGGTCGCCGTCGTATATATTTCATTCTTATACTGCTGTATATTGACTTGGATGTGCGGACCGAAGGGTGAATAAGTCGTCTGCGAAGATTTCGTGGCTCAACCTAGAACTGCACCGTGGAACTGCGTCCTGGAACCACGAACATGGTCCTTCGAGTCCCTTCTAGTAAGAGGCATGGTAGCATCAGCACTCTTCTTGAGCTACGAGACCAGCCGCCCTTTATTTGAGATCTCTGCTAACCACCAGACCGACAATAGACCTCGTTTACCTCGTCTGGCTAAAGTTTGGCCACTAACCTGTTTTGGGATGTTACTAGTCTAATTGGACGTAGCTGGATCCACAAAACTGGAGACGTCTTCGCCACACTGGTAACCAGATGAACTTTTTCAATCACTCACTCTGTTCCTGAAGCTTGAGGATGCTTAGCACCAAACCCCTTCATCATGATACCAAGCTGGCAATCTGGGCTATGCCTGTGCGACCCCGGGCATAATTTGCGCGTCCAGAGGCGACTGTTCCCCTATGTAGCGTCAGCAGAGCTTTGATTGGTATCAAGCGACGGCATATTTTGGGGTGCAAGAATTCTGATAGTGTCTTCCAGCTGCTTCCCACGAACGAATAAGGGGAGTTACGGAGAACAACCGGACTTGTCCGGCGCTTTCATGCCTGTGTCACATCTTCTGACGGCAAAATCAGACTTTCTGCGGCTGGGTGGCTCCTTCGGAGAACAAGATGGACTGACAAGAGTCCTGGAAGGGCGTCTGACGCTTGCTACGGTACAATTGCCAGTGGGACAAGGACCTCGAGGGCCGGCGCAAAGACGCTTGACCCATCATTAAGCAGTGAGAGCACGTCTCATTGACCACGGTTTGAATACCAGTAAGTATGATTGCCGCTTGTACGATGGCTGAAAAGGAGTGAATGATGGTGAGGCCCCTTCGCAAGATCATACTCCTTCTCAATACGGTAACGTCACCCTCCCAACCATGCATTGTCCGCTACCACTCTCCCGTGCCTCCTCCTCTCCCGTCTCCGACTGCTACGTCCCTCCTCAAGTCGTCCAGGTGCATACATGTGACTTTTCGGTATAGTTGAACGGTGATCACACGACTCTGGGAACACGTGCTACGTCAGTCAGCGCTGAGCTGTCACCTTCTACTGCCAGGGATTGATCTTACTTTGGTGAGAAAAGTTCCAGCACCTCTTATGCTTCATCCTCCAAGTCGAAAAGCTCAACAAGACTGCGGGGCGTGAAGCTGTTGAAAGACCAGTCGCGGGACATCAATCGAACGAGCCTTTGGCAGCAAGATGGGCTCGTGCAGCCACTGCAGCCGGGTTCGCAAGGGTTGGAGCAAGCCCCTCCGCCGCCGCCGCCGCCACCGCCGGCCACGACCATCATGACGAGGCCGAGGAAGGTGAAGATGCTGGTGAACTTCATGTTGATTGTAGTGGAGGGTGTTTGTTTCGAGATCGAGTTGCTCACTACTGATGAAGGGGAAGAATTTTTGACGACTGGGAGTTGACGGTGGTCTTTATACGCCACGAGAGACTTGCAGACCCGGACACCAGACCCTCAACGAACCCTTGGCACGGCCAGAGCAGCCCGTGCAACTGACCACCGGGATGCTCTTTACGGAAAAGTCATTGTGTCGTTCCCTGGCAGGGGAAATTGGAGTTGCTTCCCTAGGACCTCTGACTCGTATAGGCATTGCTGGCGCCTTCATACCTCGAAAAGGGAGCTAACCTGTCTTGGTTTCTCCGTTGCTCCACTCAGCTATGCACACAATACTTCAGAATGCAGTCATTTCAGCGAAACCGGTTAGTCTCTCCTTGTTCGAAGCCGCAAAATCGTGGGACGCCTGGAGGTTTGAGTGGGTGGTGGGCCAGAATGAACCGCTTTGAAGACTGTCGGCCCCAAAGCACTAGGGACTCCTCCCGCCAGACGCAAAATAAGCACTATCAATACAGGAAAAACACGGTATGGACGCTATAACAGCCAGTGTCTTGTGGAGTTCACGAGTGAGTGGCCACGAGTGTCGAAACGGAGTATATCGACGTGGACGGCGACACGCCGGTCAGATCCCCCCTTGCACGCCTGAGCGCGCCCGCGGCCGCAATCCACACGAAGCTTGCTTGCCAGAGTGTTGTTTCTCCAGGTATTGGCCAGGGGAAGCAAAAGGACCTACCAAAAGGGTGCCCCTGGATCGCGGAAAAACCCTATTTCATTGTCGTCCAGACCAACATACACAGTCTGGCCTACGATGCTAGTATCTGTTTATTTTGACCTCCTCTTCTAGGATTCCGCACATCGCGATCGCCCAAAGCGCCCGCCTGCTTTTCTTTCCCTCATCCAACGTGCCTGGCTGAGCTGTCCCAGAAAGAACAGGTCACAATGTTGCGCCCTGTCCCCCCATTGCTCGGCGCCCTGGCGCTGGCCGTTCCTGCACACATGGCCAGTCTTCTGGCCATGGTCTTTACACCTGCAGATTCCTATTTCCGGCTCATCGCTCTGCTTCTAATTATCCTCCTCGTCCGGCAATGCCTCGTCACCATCGACGAGCCATCCGATCTCGGAGAGTTGTTCCGGCTCTACATGTGCGGCTATATACTGTACGCCAACGAATTCCTCCTCCTCAAAAAACTCGTCGCTCGGGCTTCGCCGTCGACCCCACAGCGCCTCGTGTCCGGCCTGAGGCTCCTCTTCTCCCCGAGGATTCATGTGCCAAGAAAGGCAATTCCAGCGTTTGACCCCACGCAGCCCAACTACGTCCCGACACGCTGGGAGTTCTTTTGGCGACAGACCCTCCGAATTGCTGGGTTGGCTACTGCTTACTACTGCGTTTTCCACCGCTACCCCCTGCACATCCTCATCACCGACTATGCCCGACCGAGAGAGCACCTGCTGCGTCGGCTGTCTCAGGTGAGTGGCCGCGAGGTGGTCGTGCGGGTGTATACAGCCTTCAAAGAGCATTTCAGGAACTATCTCCTGATGAGCCTGGGCCACAGTAGCACCTCTCTGGTCGGGGTTTTCCTCTTCCAGGACGATCCCGCCGACTGGCCACCGCTGTACGGCAGCTTGAAAGATGCCTACACCGTGCGGCGGTATTACAGCCACTTCTGGCACCGGGTCATGCGTACCGCCTTTGTGTCCAATGCGAAGTTCCTGCTGTTTCGCGTGTTGCGGATCCCCAGTTCGGCCGCAATGTCTAGGTATTTGGTGTCTGTAACGGCCCTGGCCATTTCCGGCGCCATGCACTCGGTGGCCTTTTCGACGCCCTGGCGATGTGCCAGTCTGCTCCCGTTGTGGTATTACCTGTCGATCGCGGGCGCCATCGTGGTGGAGGATCTGGCACAGCTGGCTTACCGCAAATCCATGGCCTCGTTTCTTTCTGGCAGAAAGGCAGGCCCCTCGACGGCCGATGCGAGCGAGAAGGATGATAAGCTGCTCCCATTGCATGATGTCAAGGGGAAAGACGAGTCAGGAGGAGGGGGAGATGGCCTGGGATCCTCCTTTCAGGGTAGTGGTGACAAACGCCCCTCCGTCGGTTGGCGATGTTTGGGGTATTTATGGGTCATGTCGTTCGAATGCTGGTCGCTTCCCAGGGCGGTGTACCCGCAGCTGATCTGCCACTGGCAAGAGCGTGTTCTGGCCTTGCATCCTGAGGCCACGCTTTGAGCACGCCGCCGTGAGCAGCAGAGAGTGGCGTCTGCCGAAAGAGCAGAATCAGGAACTGACAAGCCCATGATAGACTAGAACAGCGCCACAGCCAGATCCTGCTCCTCTGCGTGTGTGTGTGTGTATGTGTGTGTACCAGTTTTCGGGGTCAATTTACCTGGGGCAGCAGTTCCCGGCCTGTGAAAGTTCGTGTTTTGGCCCGTTACTAGTGGCGCAAATCTTTTTCGGGGTATTGTTTTCAAGCCCTGTTCGTAAGCATCATTATGTACGTACGAGTCGAGACCTCTCTCTCTCCCCCTTTTTGCGCGTCTCTCTGGTCACATCCTCTTTACCGGCCGGGACCGCACCGCTCGTGGTGGTGGTGGTGGTGGTGGTGGTGGTGGTGGTGGTGCTGCTGCTGCATGGTTCCACAAGTACGAGATACGATGATATGCCCCGTAAGGCGGTAAACGAGCAGCTGGGGCTGGGGAAGAAAGAAAAGGGAACGAGTGGGAACGATCATGATAGGGGTGTGGGGTCCACACAGCACATGACCCAGTAAAGACGGAGACGTTCACGACTCGTCGACAGCAGACAGCGCACAAACGAAAGTGGAGAAACACATAATAAACAATAGGGGCGATGTGTGTGGATGGTCTTATGATGGAGTTGGCATAGCGGTACGGAGTATACAAGTACTCGGGACATGTCGAATACTAAGTACGAGGTACGGCAGTCGGAGACACTGTTGTATGGAGTGCTGACTGATTAATTAATTAAGTAGCCAATTAATTAAATTGATCACTCCCCGAATTGTACCAGTATAGGGCCACAGGGCTTGCCGATGGGTACAGTCAGCTCGGTTATATACGCGAAACCCATTTCATAGTCGCGTGGTTTAGTTTGGGGTAGTTAGTCATCGTGTAGCCAAAGATACATCTATTTCGTTCTCGTCTTATTACCTTTGTCAGACGACAGACCTTGATAGGGGACACAAAAGGTGAGGGAGATATGTGGCAGCAGATCGACCAGGATGGACTACTCTGGCTGGCCCATGGACTACAAGTATACATCTCCTCTCCCCCTTGTAACAAGTTGTTTCACTTCCATCTCGATCTGCTCCACTCACCGGTATCCGGAGGTATCGAGTCACCAGCCTCGTCCACTTTCTACTTTACTATTAGTGCTGACGAGCCAGGCCACGCAGCTCTCTGCAGCGGTGCTGATAGTACGCGGTACCAGTAAGACGATGGGCACGACCAGGAGATCGACTTCTGCCCCAGCAGAGAAGATATTCGTTGATCGACTCGTCGTGGTGGTACCTTTGACCCGTGCGTGTGTGTGTGTGGAGAGAGGAGGAGGCCGAACCGGCTAGAAAACCGATTACAGATTCGTGGCGAGGTGTCTCCCCCTTTTCTCTCTGTCAAGAGTGAGTGAGTGCGTGAGTGAGTGAGTCGATGGGACCCGTTCGTCCACGCCAGTCTGAACCAACCCGCCCAGAGAGTCATTTTCCCCTCTGCATCTGCCTCTGCGAGCACTTCGTTGCACGCCGCCTCCCCCCTCGCGTTTACCTGGTGCGAGATACCACATCCTCATTCCTTTCTGCCACTCACTGTTGTATATACCCCGTCGAAAGAGAGGGAGAGGCAGTGAGTGATTGAGGATGAACGACGACAACACGGACTTCATGGCTGCGGCCAATATAACGCTAAAGTTCCGGCACGGCGACGGCATCGACCGGATCCCTACGACGTGGTTCGCCTCGGCGGACCCGATCGACTCGTTCATCTGGGCCCATGTGGTGGTGATGGTCACAGCCTTTGCGGTGGTCTTTCCCATCGGCATGGTCCTGGGCCTGGGGAGGTCGCGGTGGCACATCCCCGTCCAGGTCTTGGGCTTGCTTCTGACTGGTAAGTATCTCTGAGTCAACGGTGGTGGTAACGGTAGACATGCATGCATGCATGACAAGTCCCGAGTCTGCGGCTTTCACGTTGACAAGCCCACAGTTGTCGGCTGGATCCTGCCCTCGTTCCATGGAGGGAGGCAATATCTGAAGCCCAACGTCCACGCCTCGTTCGCAAAGTGGCTCCTCTGCGCCGTCGTCGCGCAGGCAGCAAGCGGACTATATCTGAGCTTGCGGCTGGAAGGGCCCCGGCATCAGACCTTCCGAAGAATATGCCAACGCTGGCACGGCGTCGCGGGGAAGTTGATGCCCATCGCGGGCTGGGCACAGATGATGCTGGGAGGAGAGACATCGTAAGGCTTTCTTATCCTTTTCCCTTCTATTTTCAATTGTGGCGATGAGCTCTTCCACGGCGGAGGAGGAGCAACTATCGAACAGACTGACCGACTGCCGAATTCTGCTCAGGCAAGGTTTCTGCCACGGCGACTGGCTGCCCATGTGTGCCGGACATGTGTCGATGGGATCGATCATGATCGGGACGGGGATTGTCCTGGTCATCATCACCATCGATGGTGAGCGGTGGATACGACGAACGGGGAGATCGTTGGATTTCTATGCTTCCGCCATGATCACAGCTTCTGGGGCCGGTAACGCATGTATGTTCTTGTTTTCTCCTTTTCCGTCGCCTCCCATACATCTTCCTTCTTGCTTACTTGCGTGTCCTTTCACTGACCTGACGTGACTTGACGTCCAGTATTCGAACATGTACGTCTCTGCACCTCCGTACCGTCCCTCAAGAGAAACAAGCAAGCAAACCAATATAACGCCTCGCTAACCTTCCTCTTTTCTTCCTTTTCGCCACGAAAAGATCCCCGGCTCCGAATGGAACCACCGCGAGTACAGCCACGTCGCGTTCGGGGTGTTCTGGTGGCTCGCCGGCATCGTGGGTCTGTGGCAGACGCGCCGCCACGATCAGCGCACGACCATCCCGGGCGTGGTCTTCCTGGTCACCGGGTGGTACTTCACCATGCACGAACAGCCCAACCCCCTGGCGAAGCATGTGCATGAGATCCTGGGCCGCGTCATGATGAGTGCCGGCGCGCTGCACTTTGTCGAGATTGCCTATGTCGCCACCACCACGTCGACCGCGAGCGATCGAAGCAGCAGCGTCACGACGGTGGACTCGAGGCCTCATAAGTCGCCGAAGCCCTCTGAATTTGTCTTTTCGTTCGTAAGTTTTTGGATTGGCCCCCCTTTCTTTTCTATTACAAGCCAAGTTCCAAGTCTGGGAGAGACGACACGGTACGGGTACGGTGATAACGGTAAACCTGTCAACAGTTAATCATTGTCATGGGCGTCATCAACCTCTACGCCCCTCCCCAGACCCTGTGGCTGTTCAACCTCTGGGGCCTGGATTACATATCCCTCATGCTGATTTGGTTCTCGATCGCGATGGGCATCATGTGCTGTAAGCTTTTTTCTTCTCTTTCCGCGTGTCCCATACATCCATCCATCAATGCACACAGAAACGTCTCAGAACCCCCCACACCCCCGACGACAGAGACACTGATACTCACCGTGCTACGCAGTTACGCTCATGCTCGTCCAACTCTACCGGAGCCTCAAATTCTCCGAACGGATGCGATCGAGGAGAAGACACGGTCACCAGGATCGGGGAAGCATCATCGCGGAGGAAAAGGACGAGGACGAGGAGCAGACGGAGGTCTATGGCCTGTTGGGTGAGGGGGAGGGGGAGGATGAGGACGAGGAGACAGCTCACTCACGGTGACGACGACGAAGACGACGAGGATGTCAAAACAGCAGCAGCAACAACAACAACATTCCACACGTAGTTCGTCAGGCACAGCCTTGCCTGTTGTGTGTGTTCTTATCCCAAAAGCAAAGAGACTGGGGAGTATTGAGAAACCAGTAAGAACCATAACAGACAGACCACCAGACCTTACGAAGCAAAGGGGTGATTGATATTATTGGTTATCTGCCAGAAAACTTCCTCCCTATTAATATATCATTTGTTATATTTCCACTACAGATCCGAGGGCTAGCTAGTGAGGCTAGGCTGGGCTCTATCTAATGCTCATCACGATTCACGGGTCCCCTCCAAATTATCCAATCGAGACGTCCGTTCTCTCCCGAACAAAAACACTACGAAAGAAGCAGAACGGTCCATAATGGTCACTCACATAGGGGTTTGAGGTATAAGGGGTAAGATCGGGACAAAACGAACCCTTTTGGCCTAACGAAGCACGAGCAAGACGAGTAGCAGGTGATCCGAATGTGAGGAAAGCAGTAACCGATGTACAGTAAGTATGCAAGAGAGAAGAGAAGACAGAGTTCGATCGACAGGATTCTCGTTTCTCGACTAATACCTACAGTATGTATCCAAGGCATTTTCTGCCCCTGACTCCGCAGATATGTACACGAATGTACAAATCCAAGGATACAGTAGAGAGAGGCCTGATACCGCTCCCTCACTCCCTCACTCCCCTTCGAGAGGGAGCCACAGCACTCTCACCGTCGCCCTAGATTCTCCTTGTCGTGTTCCATCCGCGTCCTTCTCCGTAACACAATTATCCTCTTCCCAGGGCACGACAAACACGCACCGTTCCTCCGCCTCGCCCGTGCCGTCGTCGCGGACAATTTCTCGGACACCGCCCTCCCAGTCCCTGCGGACGTCGTCCCACAACCTCTTCAGGTCGCCGTCTCGCTGGCGCAGAAGCTCTGCGACCCGCGCCTCGTGGCCCGAGATCTCTGCCTCGAGCTCCATTTCCACGCTTTCGGCACCGTCACCCGCAGCTCTCGCGGCTGCGAGACCGGACTTCAGCTCCACGAGTCGCAGTCTCACTTCCCGCACGACGGCGTCGCATCGCTCGCGGATCCAGGACTCTTGTTGCGCGGCCTGCACCAGCGTGCAGTCGAGACACTTCCCGGGTGAAGTCAGGAACTGGCGGACTTGGATGTTCCTGTCCGTGTCGTCCGATCTTGCAGCCTCTTCTGGCGTTCTGGCGGTTTCGATGACTTCCGTCCTCAGCACAGTCGGCAAACGTGCGGGTCGAGGAGTCGGGGGCGTGGTGTGTGAACATCCAGGGAAATGGAGCTGCGTGTAGGGAGGGATCGGACTCGTCAGGGAGGACTTGCGAACATGGGCCTGGTCTGGGCGAGTGTTGCCATTGCCGCTGCTCGAGGATGGACGCGGGTAGGCCTTGCTGCCGCTGCCACGAGAAGAGAGCGTGCGGGCAAGTTTCTTCATGTTGCCGACCAAGTCCTGGGCTATTTCCTTTGGTTCACGCAACCTGTTTGTATTGAGAGCAAATCTGGCAAACTTGATCCCAAGACGAATGAGCAGATCACACGAAGGGTTGTCTGTCTTGCCTATTCCTTGAAACCTTGTCCTCGCCAACCTCGTGTGGCACGCCGGATCTGAACAAACAAAAGACAGGTTCACCAACCTGACAATGGGACATCACCGCCGCCTCAAGTATCGTCACGGCGTGACATGGCAATGTGAACGCTGTCATTGGTCATATCACACAATGACAAGTCTGAGCCCTGCGTGGAACAAGCAAAAGCATGTCCGGACACGGAGCCGGAAGTGAAGACAATGGGACGACTCACTCGCCCGCGCCTCAGCAAACAAGAGAGGTACCTTCAGACAACGAGTAGCTCAAAATGCGCCGAGTGTTCTTCCAGCTGCCCTTCGTCGTTTGCATCCACAGCGACCCACTCCAGTGTCACACATGCAACATGGCCTGCTTCGAGAAGACGGAAGAGCCCGTCGCCATTGTTCTTTCTGGTGCACGGACCACATCACAGCATGTATCCCGTGCGGCATTCCTCCCCGAAGCAGAAGCACAAAGGACACCGAGACAACACAACCATGGCTTGGGGAGCACTCAGAAGCCGGTAGGGACACGCCGAGGGTTACCATAATCGTATCAGAAGACACAGGACTCGCAGTAGATATGCGGTCGCCAGAGAAAGCAGACGGGGTATATATTGATATATATTCTTAGGCCAGCACCAGATGGACAATGCGTAGACCGTAACTCCTGGACTCTTGTCTCATTCATCAGCATTAGGAAACCTCATGGTAGCACATACCTTGCGCCGCCCACGACTCCCGTCCAGGAATCGCTGCCGTGCAAGCCAAACTCCGCCAGTAGACTTTTAGAAGCCAAACTTCGATCCAATAAACCCCAGTGCTGCCGCTCTCTTCTGCTTCGCCACGAACTTGCCTACGTCGTCACTCCACGAGCTACTGGATTCCGCGGCTCGGTCGAGACTGTCACCTGCTAACCCCAAATTCTCTGTTCTTTCCTGAAGCTGTCGCTGCATGTACGCCCAGTACGTTTCTTGAGATTGATCTGGCTTGGGTGCACGTCCCGTCCGCGCGGCCTCCCGTTGTCGTTGAAACTCTGCCTCCTGCGCCGCCCGCATTTCCGCCAACATTCGCTTAGAAGGTGGTCGGTCGGGCCCGCCGATGAGGATATCCATGTCCGAAGGAGTGATGTACTGTGTGCCGGCAATCCATTGGAGGTTGCTGATTGTAGGTCGAGGAGGGACCATTTTGGTGGCGTCGTAGAGACGATCGGTGCTGGGTGGGAGGGACGTACCACAGCCAAAGACATTAACCATGGCGAGTTCGCTCGGACCTGCCCAGCCCAGGATATCCCCTGTGGGCGACACGATGGCGTCGCTGAAGCGTTTGGTATCGAGGAGATGATTTACCCGTATGCTCGCGATCTCTTTCAGTGCTGGGATCGAGAATGCTCGAGCGGCACCATCGCCAAACAAACCAACGAGAGCATATCCACGTTCTTCGTACCGGGCTATGGTAGCCGAATCGCACAGGTAGTGGTCGAACGTTTTGGAAGCGCCTTTCGCTGATGCTGGACGAAAGATGTGCGCCGAAGACACTGTGACAGCCACAAGAGCACCATCCACCTTCCGGCCGGACTGTAAACCTCCCATTGCATATCCTGTCGCCGCTGCAGGGGCGCCTGTGTGGGTATCGATCGGGCACAACGAGATGACCCGGTCATCTGACAAATGTGTTACCCCTGTCGACTGCGCCGTATACCGTCCGGAGGCAGATGGGAGAATCTTGAACGTTGCCACACGACCTCGAGATGTGCCGACAAACAAGGCTAGTGAGGAATAGTCTGGTTCAGTCGTTAGCCCTGCGCGAATCCAATCAGGGAAAACGCTTACCGTCACCATCAAGGGTCAAAATACCGAATTCCATGGCCGTGGCATATTCTGTCGATGGGATGGCTGGCGCACCTCGTCGAATGCTTCCCTTCCGATGTTTCCCTCCGACCATTTCATTGAGAAGAGCGGTATGGATAATAGCTGGACCACGGAGATCCACGATGGTCACTCCACCTCCAGCATAACCGGCGGCAACGAACCCGACATTGGAATGTCTTAGAGCGGTGACAGCACCTTGTTGATCATTTGTCATGGTCAGAGGTAGGAGACCTTCCTTCAAGCCTGGATCTGCCCGTTTGCTAATGTCTTGCATTTTCCCGGCTCCTTCGTTCGGGCCCGGATCCGATGGAGGATGGCCGAAGAATTGATTGCGGTTCAGCCGGAAAACAACGAGTTCGCCGGTTTTCAACCCTACTGAAAGCTCTCCCGTCGCACCAGACATACTCATATGGGACACGTCCAGTTTGTCCCACCGGCCCACGGCTCTTCCGAGATCAACTTGGAGGACATTGGGATTTTCAATGACGTCGCCATGCCCGGCATCCCATATTCGGATGGTCCCATCAGCGTGGGCGGCTTGGACGATATTTCTGTTTTCATGTCTCTTCAGGGGCTTGATGCCTTCAGCACCACCGATCAAAAAGTTGGGTCCGTGCTGGCGAACTTCGCGCATACCCAGCCACCTAGTCCGGTCGACGAATGCCAGCGCTGTTTTGGTTATGAATGGATGTACAAAAGATAACGAGACGTGTAGTTGGTTGCTGGGTGTAATGGGATGTCCAGAGGGAAAGCTCAAGGTGATTACTTCGCCGGATGACAGCACGGTCATGACTGCTATCGGATCATGGGAGCCAGCAAAATGCGGTGATGAGCGAGGAATCAAGAGAAATGTGTTGATCGCAGCATTGGGCGGTGTTGGGAGAATATGTGTGCGTTTTGGATGGCGGAAATGATTTGCCAGGGAATCCCACGTTGAGGTTTGGTAGTTTGGCGTTGTACCCAGTTCGATGAACGTTAGACCCCTGGTAGGGTCGGTCGTTGGTGAGCCACCCGCGAGAAGCAAGCCAGTATCATCTGGATTTGCTTTCGAGCACCACGCAATGTGGAAGTACGGCTCCTTCACAGTACCAAACGCCGAACCCACAGGGCTGAGCGGAGTTCGAGGGGCATTCCTCGGCGGTCCAGCTCCAGGCACGTTGACATCTGTGTCTTCGATTGTCCTCGCCTGGATAACTCTGCCATCTCGAGGATCCCAAAACACCAAACTCGAGTCGTCGTGGGCGGTCAAAACAAAAGTGCCAGTTGGATGCCACAGAGCATGTGTCAATCGCGGATACCGAACGGCGTGGGCGTTTGTGGGGTCTCCATCTCCGCCCCGAGCGCCAGGCGGCAGTTCATACTGGAAGAACTTGGTAGCCTTGTTTTGTTTGAACGAGTATATGACGGCGCCTTCGGAGTAGCCGATAAGCAATGTCCCTATATCCTTGGGGTGGAATTGTATCGAGACGATGGGTAGAATCCGTGCTCTGGGATTCCGCTCCCGCCACAAGTTGTGGATTTTGAAGGGCGTCTGATGCTCCCGGTCCAAATCGAATGCCACGATTTCCCCTGCCACACGATGTCAGCAATACTTGTATACTATTCTGTGCTGTGTTCAAGCCCCACCATTTTGCAAGCCAGAGAAACAGTAGTCCAGACTGGGGTCTGAGAGGATAGCCACGACCTGGCCGGGAGGGGAATAGCTGGCCAGCATGTGCTTGGTGTCAAGGCTGAAGACACTGACATCATTCTTGCTGTCGAGGATGATGATTTTGTCGGCGCAGAATTGTATGGATCGAATGGAGGATGGTCGAGGAGGGGTGAAGGTCACGCAGACCCGCTTCTGTCCAAAGACATAGACGACGCCAGGGCCGAACTGGGACTCGTTGGTGCCGACAGCGAGGAGCGACTGGACAGGATCGTAGGCGAGAACCGAGATCTGCGAGTTGATGCCATAGCGGGCAAACTTGAGATATTGTCAGTGTCCCTGGAAGAACTGTGAACTCGAGGGCAGTTCGTACGTCGTCTAGCATAAACGATTCTGGGGTGACACCGACGGACAGGTCATTCTGAATGCCGGCCTGCTTGCCACGAAGGAAGTGCGCCATAGTCAATGAGGACGCAGTATCCCCCGCATGACAATGCGGGAGTGCTGCACCCTACGTGACGAGTAAAAGAGGCACTGGGGAGGGCTCAGTTCAAGTCGAGGCCTGCGGCTGCGATGGACCGAGTGAAGACCGGCGGGACGCCAAGTGGCAGTGAGCTGAGGAACGCGTCGGAGGGCCCTGGGCGGTGATCTCATACCCCGTGACCCGGTTGGTGACTAATCCATCTACGCTTAGATCACGGGGAAGGCTTACAGTAGGTGAGTGGTCATGGAGCTCAATAAAGCATTCATGTGTTGTGTCCAGCCCCGAATGAGTGATAAGTACATTCGCCTCTCGTGAATAAAGCCAACAAACACGCATCAAAATCCAACCGCTGCTATGCAAATGCGAAGACCACACCCCCCAACATGTCTATTATCTCGTTCAAGTAGGCCTTAGGTCGCTGACGCCTCCACTTCTGATCCTTCAAGCCGACCATTTGCTGCTGTAAGTGGCAGCAACGCTGTAGGTGCTATAGGTGCTGGTGTAACTAGTGGTCGTATAGGCGGTCGTGTGGGACGGCGGGGCGCTATAGGGTGCGTTCCCAGCAGGCTCGATCAAGACGAAAAGACCCGAGAGGCAGACAGGTCCCACAGCGTCACGCACGACGAGGGTGGTGTCAACAGATTGGATGATGCCTGGGAGGACGGTGCCAGGAGGTGGGCAGGGGAAGCTAGGCGCCACTGTAAGCAACTGTCCTGGGATCACTTTCAGGACACCATCGTTTTGCAGGCCACCGAGCGTATTGAACGTCACTGTCAAGGCACAACTTGTCAGTCTTTCTTTGTCATCAAGCATCATCAGGACTCTAAGGGAGGAATTTACGTACAGCCAGTGCTTGGGAGTTCGAGGTCCAGCTGTGAGAAGTTTAAGCTACATTGAATTAAACGTCAATGGTTTTTCCATGAAACAGAGAGTCCGGAAGGAGATGATAGGAGGCGGATGAACCCCCTCTCTAGGCCAACCCGCGGCAAGAAGATCAGGCGACGCTTACCTTCCACCACCACTGAAGATGGCCTGGGACAGATCACCATAGATCTGGTCTGGGCTTGGGACGGCGAGGTTCAAGGAGCAGGTGGCACCCGCAGCGAAGTCGGGGATGGTGAATTGAGAAGCCGTGGCCAGATCGTTAGCAGTCTCGACGTAGAGATCCTGCGATCTCAGAAAGGATTTGTCTGGATAGTACTGCGAGACTGTCTGAATGTTGTCGGCAAAGAGGACGAATTGATCGGCCGAAGGGATGAACGGGCAGTTCTTCGTGGCGTATGGCGGGTAGCTACCGCCATAGTGGTGCAAGCTTCCTGTGGCGGCTGCGATGCTGGAGAAAGCGGCGGTGGCAACGGCTGTGGTAGTCTTCATGGTGCTTGATGGGAAAAGATTGAATGCAAGGAAATATAGTGGAAAGACTTAAAAGCCCAAGATTAAATGTAACGAAGGTCGTAAGGAAATCTGTTACCCAAGTGAATGGAATGAGAGACGGTCGATGGCATTGATTGAAGAGGGCGGGCCGTCCATCATCTTTATAAGTTCTGCTTCCTGGACTTGCGCAGCTGTCAGCTCCTTCTTTGAATATACAAAATCCTGAATAGGTTTCTATGACCCGGGTGATGCTGGAGCTTCCAGCCCCTGCAGCCTGTACCTGGGGAAAGGTGGCTTAGCCTCAGTGGCTCTGGCGGGCCTCTGACCAGGGCATCATCCCATTTGCGAGTGGTGAGGACCTGGGCCAGCCTCAACAGTCTCACCCATGCTGGAGAGCGGATGTATTCTGAGTACTACCGTCTACCGGAGCTGGTCACTGGTCGATAGGCCTGTTCAGGCTGCGAGCAACACAAGGTCACCCCCGATTAGAAGAGACATCAACCACAATTCGCATGTTCGGGAGTGGTCCGCCAGAGTGAGGTGCCTGATGTCGGCGTGAAGAAGGACGACCGGTCCGACATTGGTCAAATACCCCCAAAAGGCCCCGCGAAACGCTTCAATAGACCATTCCTGTCTCTCATACACTCTGAGAATTGCTGCGAGACCGGGACGAGAAGCCCCCGCAGTGTGGTGCTTTCCTTGAGGCCATTGAGGTGACAGAGGTTGTGAACGGCTGTCTGTGAACACCGGCCGAGGGGGAACCCAGCTCACCACAGAATGGTCATGATCCCCCGCTAGCCGAAGCTGGATCTGATGTGAGGAGGATCCTTAATTAGACGAACGATACGGGGGAGAGGGTGTGGAGAGGCCATATTGGCGGATATTAATACTCACGCCATTCAGAGGAGCTCGGCAGAATCCGAGGATTCATTGTTTAGATCGCATGAGTAAATCGTTGGAGGCTAGTTATGGTCTGCTGGTGGTTGAGAAAATACTTAATGATGAGAAAGATGTGAAGAGCAAGCATCGTGGCCCCCTAATACGATAAGATTAGCTATTCTTATTTCGCTGCTTTAGCAATCTTCCTCCTCCCTTCCCTTCTTCACAGCATCGTGTGTGCTTGTGCTCCTTCAAACGCAGATCAGGCTGCCTAATAAGCCCTGCCAGCTGCAATATCTCGGGCCATTTGTCGGACATGTGACTCTAACTACGGATATCACCATCCCGGTGGATTGACAGGATTGGCTAAACGAGGAAAAGGAGGGGAGTGGTGGTGGAAGAGAGTCAAAATGCTTTCGATTCAGCTACAGTGCATCGTCCTGTTACGTGGCTGAATCACAAGAACAACTCACAGCTTCAGGACACCTCTCGCCATGAGGATCTGCACTGCTGGCAAAGAATCGCTCATGATCTCCGTCCTCTTCAACACGATTCCGTCATGGGGCGCCCCCGCCTGCTTCTTGTAGAAGAAGTGAAAGCCTCCAGGGATCTTGACGTCCCATTCCCTCCCCTGCAGGTCCTTGACCTTCTTCTCCTGCGCCGTCGGCGTTCCCTGGCAGTTGGCGAACAAGTGGGCTTGGCCAATCATCTCCCAGCCGTCGTCCGTCTCGAAGCACACAAGGAAGTAGGGCTCATGGAACTCCTGGGTGAACGCGCCGTACATCCCCTTGGCTTCACTGAATGCCTGGGCGTTGCCGGTGTGCACTGAGCCGTCGGGTTTGACGAGAGTGGCGTCGGCAGAGAACTGCGGGTTTCTGTGTCAGCTGTCGAGACGCCGGAGTCTTGCAACAGTACCGAGATGGAGAGAATCTCACCCAGTCACATTCTTCTTGGCTCCAGTCTCCACGCTTGTTGAAGAAGAGGGTATAATCTTCCATCCACTTCATGGCAGGGTGCTTGCGGGTTTCATCGTCCCAAGTCCCAAGATGAACATAAGCCGGCCTGGTCGGGTAAGACATGGTAACCAGAAATACGATGAGGATTCTCGTCCGCTGTCCCAAAGCACAAACAGTATCCTGTGGTCTGGGGAGTAGGCAGCTGGAGAGCTTTGCTGTTTGGGAAGAGACGAGCGACATAAGGCGGGATTATATGGTCAACAGATATTCATTCGATGCGAGGCGAGTGAAATCGACACCATCCCATCACGAGAACAAGACTCCAGCCTTTTCAGCTTGAGCTGTCTGGTACAGAGCTAGATTCAGCCGCTCCGCCAACAAGCCATAGCATCCCGCGCATGAGAGCACGGGGCAGGCGTCTTTTCGACCTCACTCGATTTCCATGCGACAGGAACAGGAAAGGACTGAACATAGCTGGCAAAACTTCCCGCGCCTCGGGAAGCTGAAAGGAAAGTGTTCGTAAGCGAGGCTCATTGAGAGGACAACTTGCACCCGTCTTGCCCCGCAAGTGGCCGCCGTACTAACCGTCTTTCGCAGGCGTTGTAAAAGTCAAGGACCGGAATATACGAGTGTGTTGGGGACGCCTTCAGCTTGCGACAATTGAAGTCAATCCTGCTCCCGTGGCGTTCAGATGGGGGTTGAGCACGGAGGCAGACGTTAGAGAAGGGAAAGGGAGGACTAAAGGAGCACAGGGCGGAATCATGTATATAATGTCAACATGAACAAACACAAGACCAATGCTAAGAAGGAGAAGAAGACTCTTGAGACTTACATGCTGCACAGCGTGAATGCAGAGGGACCGAGAACCCTACATCCCCACATGTTGCAGGTATGTATGTGTGTATGTGTATATATATATACATTATATATACCCCGAACTGCGCTTTATCCCTTACCATTTTCGTTCAGGAAAGGGAGCGCTGCCTAATGCCCATTGCCCATTCGCAGATGCCAGTTCGGGCTCAGAGATCCCCTTTGGGCCTCGGCTGAGAACCACCTGAGCAAATACACTGTTTTCAAGCCTTTTTTGTTAAACATCTTCCCATATACACGGATCTTCGCGTAGAGACCACCTGTAGAAGTCATCAAACGTTGACGACTCCGTGTGCGGGAAAGAGAAGGATTCATCTAGGTCGAGCCATTTTCGAAATAACTCAGACGGGTTTCCGAGTAAATCGCCTAATAGTATAATGGTGGCTGAGCTGAACGTGCCATATTAATGGGGTTTGGGATCCTAGTTTCGGCGAGCATCCCTCTCAATAATCCGGTGCCTGTCACAGTTACAACAATTCGGTCCTCTGGGATGAGAATAGTCGGCTTGGAATAGTTGATCATGTTGTGTGTCTGGGTGTGAGTATTCTGCTTCCGTCACAGTATATATTTGCCGCTTTTCTGATAGGCATTGTGATGCTTGTGAGCCCTTAATGCGATGGCCAGCTGCTAGTGTTTCCACGCTTGCTCGGAGGCAGACACACCCCATAGTGTAGTTAGCGTTCCGTGGCCGTCGAGGCCTACATCGACTGCGCTATTGAGGGTTTTCAGTAGTAGAATAGCGCTATCGTGGCTATCGGTGCCTATTGATTGATAGAATGATTGTAAGTATCGATAATTGACGTGAACATGGTGTTGGCATTGTTGAAATGACGTGTACGCACAACCCGGGCATTATGTATTTGCCGCTTGACAGGATTCGAGTGGGTTCTTGATGATGGTAAAAAGGTGAAGCCGGTTTTGCTGGTTTCTGTATTAATTAATACTAATAAGTGGCTTCCATTGTCGAAGCCGTCCTTGTACCTCTTGAGACCGAGATTTCTCATATCAGCCAAATCTCTATCCACTTACAGTGAGGCTGCGACGGCTTTTCACGACCCTCCATTTTACCCTTTTGGCCTCTTCGCCTGGGTTCGCAAGATGGTCCATCATCAGAAAACCCTTCCGACAGGCCTGTCATTCCCAATCTGCTATACTGTTCGTTGCCTTCGTCCTTCAACATCATCATCATCGGGCCCAGCGAGAGGAGCTCCCAGTCGCTCTCCCGGCTGTCTATCAACTTCGCGTATAACTCGTTCATCTCGCTGCCGGTGCCATAGCCAATGACACGCTCTTGATCGTCGTATTCATACTTTTCCCCGCCAGAGATGTACAGCCGTGCTGCCCTGCGTGCTCCCTTGCGCATCACATAAAAGTCATGGCTGGTGCCCTCGCCAAGGTAGCTTATCTTGACTTGCTCCAACCACCCCTTGACGCGCAGTCGACCAGTCAGTCGGTTCTTCTTTCCCAGAACCAGGATTTCCATCACCTCCTCCCAAGTAGCCCAAGGCCAGAGCCGGCCGTCGTTGTCTTCAACTTCGATCTCAACTTCACCAAGTTCTTCGAAGCGGACGCCCTGGTTCCTCGTGTAGGAGAGTTTCCCAGTCCAACCCAACCACGTCCACGACGGGAATATTTTACGCCGTCGTATTGCAGCCATTTCGTCTGGTAAGACGGATTCATGATACCAGCAGAGTCCTTCCACGAGGTAGTTCACTGGCTTAGTATATGCTAATTTGTGAGTGACACTTTTCTCCTCGTTTTCTCCTGCAGCTCCTTCTTTATTGTCATCATCATCATCATCATCATCATCATCATCATCTTCTTCATCTTCTTCTTCATCTTCTTCTTCTTCATCTTCGTCTTCATCTTCATCTTCGTCTTCATCTTCATCTTCGTCTTCATCTTCATCTTCGTCTTCATCTTCATCTTCTTCTTCTTCGTCTTCGTCATCGTCATCGTCGTCCTTTGCGGTCCGCTTAAGGATAGGTAGTCCGTAAAATTGATACACTGGCTTTTGAAGCCTCTCCATTCGTGTGAAAAAGGAAAGGAACGCGTTCAGCGCGTCAGAGTCCAAGGTCAAATTGCGACCACTATATTCCTCGATCTTCTCGCAAATGACAAGGGACTGCAGTCGGGAAGAGTGGTCTGGGAGGCTTGCGGTGGTGAAGACGCTCTCTTCGTGCTGCCACTGCTGCACCATTATGTCCCAAGGTTGATTGAACACCTCACTGTAAATAGAATTGTCGCACTCAAAGACGACCTGATGCTCGGTGAAATACAGCCGTCGCTTTGAGAATATGGCTTCCTGGAATGTCCATCCACGAGTGATCCAACCGGAGCGGCGGATTGTATAGACGGGGTTCGGGAGTGTCGAACATAGTGTGATCCCCTGGAGTGTTATCCTCGGTTGGGGGATTCTCGATTTCGTCGTCACCCCCGGGAGACCAAAGGCAGAGTCCCTCCCACCCGCGGCGACGATGGTGGCAACGCTATTTTCGTAGATTAGATCCATGTTGGCCATCTGGGCTGCTTTCTCTTCCTTGTCTTCTTGGTTTATACAGTACTTGTCAATCCAGAGATACTGATATCCAAGCTGTCGAGTGACCTCGATCGAGTCGGTGACTACTAACGACATCTCATCCGGCATCGCCAACACCGGGGGATCGCTACCTTTGATGACTGGCCCGGGACCACGTTCCTGTGTGCTGCCCCAGATGTAGCTCAACGCGACGTACTGATATGGCCGGGGGGTTTGGACGATATTGAGTGTTTCACAATCAATCAGCTTGACGCAAGGCGGTTCAGCAAGGGGGACATGTTGACAACCTTGCCCGTGGTTACCTCGACACCGATTCAGCCACCCCTTGAGGACATCATACGGTATTTTGTTCGGCACGATTTGCCTTGTTTGCAGACTCAAGGGTTTGGTGAGTTTCTTGCTTCCATTGTGCGCCTTAGGGTGTGTTGAAGTAGTATAACTATCGAGCCGCTCCTGAGCAATCATGCCGATCCTGTACCAGCAGTGATGACAGGTCCCCTTACCCGCATCATCATGGGCGATCTCGGGTCCAACACCGAGCATGACCTGATCCTGGAAACCTGACACATCTTGTCTGACGGACTTGGCGGCTTCCTGCCCGAGATAGGCTTCCCCTGCAGTCACTGCTCGGAGCTGGAGTTTGCGCGTTTTGATGTCTGGAAATGTGTGAAGTTGAGGATCTAAAATACAGTCACAGGTCTGGTCGGTCTGCTCGCCCAGGGCCATGCTAGCGAAGAATTGACAGAGAGGGCAAGCAGATCGTTTCAGTCCATCCAGGCTGCCTAGATCTGCCACGACATGATAGCCCATGCCCTTCGCGACTTTGCGGTAGCTCCCCAATGCACCTGCAATGTCGATGCCGCGACAGCGTACGCAGAGGGCCTCTGGAGTGATGACGGCCGAGGCAGCCTTGTTTGGATGGTATGGGAGCGAGATGTTTTCAGTCGGTCTGACGCTACTCATTGCTTCAGACATGGCGACATCATCTAACTGGCTTTTGCTAAGCCGAGATACCGGAAGACGGTGCAAGAATAGGGTCTCGCGTTTCGTGGAGTTTCACGTGTCTTGGACGTCGATCTACGGCAAAGGAGCGCGTGTAGTCGATTGAGTCGTGCTGGGGAAGGGAATCAGTCAGTCATGTGTTTTCTCACCCGGTGTGAGCGCACCAATTACCCCGGACGCAGTAGAGGTCGCATGAGATGGAGGCCTTTTGACATAAATATGCACCTACACATGCAACCGTCATGCACCTCAAAGACACGGTCGTTTTCGTGGACACGTCTGCGTCCCAATAGCTGGTAACGCACGTGAAGAATTTTGCAGCCGTCTCGCTGGACCAGCTGGCCAGAGCTGGATCCATCGTATCAAGTACGATAGACCGGTCTTCTTCTTCCACGAGCGCTCAGCCTCACTTTCTCAACGTTGCCCCTCTTCTTTCAACCCCGCCTCTGATCCATGGTAGGAAAGAGTCGAGGACCTCACCAGTTGCCATTCTTCTGTTGTTTTATGAACTCCCCAAACTTCGGCTATAGAGTGTTGAATCTCCTTACCCTTGATCCAAGCAATAAAAATGCCTCTAATGACCCCCCTCCAAGTTCAAAGGCAAGAAAAGGCTGTACGAGACTGGATTGCAACCCTCAAAGAGGGTGACAAAGTCAACGCACAGAAGCGATTCGACAGCATCAGGAAACTTCCCCGGGAACAATATTTGCACAAGTTGCGGAGTTTCTTGAATGCCACCACGGAAGACATAGCCCCAGCCAGTGACGTGGACAGGGCTCTTGTAGTTCTGCAAGCGCCTCAGAATTTCAGTGCACATGTCGTTCAAGCGGCGGCGAAGACGGTGATTGACCATGAGAAGGCGAGGAATAATATGGTAAAGCATGCTCTTTGAACGCTGAGCGGATTTCACGGTTCGCCGCTGACAACGTTCACCGCTGACAACGAGCAATGGACAGGGCGCGGTGGTGAGTTCTCTCTCGAGGCAAAAATGGCCCGGCAGATTGATGGCTGATTGATGTTGAATTGTGTGATACATAGCGCTGGGCAGAAGTAAGTTTCTCCAAACTTTGTTCTCGTGGTTCCTCTCATCTTCTCGTAACTGACGGTGCTCGCGACAGGAATTCGTAGGTGATGGCCGCGTTATCACTCTTATTCAAGGGGCTAATATTTGTGCTCTCTCGCGGAACAGCTTGTGAGTCCTATTTGTATTGATCTGACTGAGAACGTTGTACCTTGTGCTCACGCGATCTTATAGGTGGGTTCCTATCATTCTCATCCAAGCCGTAGTAGCGGATTCTAACGGGGAACAGAAGAAATGATGAAACAACGTCGCGCAGTACAGCTTTGGGAATGAAAGACATATGTCTCTCTCCAGGATGTAAGACCTGTCCAGCATCGATTCAAGCGCAGTCGCTGATTTCTCCCCATGGCGTGTAGAGCGTAGTGACGGATCACCAGACCAAGGGCGAGATATGTGTGTGCCCGATTACCTTTGGGAACAGGGATGTCCTGTTATGATCGTGTGCGAGTCGCATCAATGCTGAGGTATGGTAGCTATCGATTTTGCACGGTGTTTCTGTGCCTGTGCACTAAATCCATGAGTGACGCCGCCCGTTTTTATTTCAACCATAATCCTGAGCACCAAGCCTTGACCTCTCCAATACCATTTCGTCACGCAGTATTAACCTTTACTATGGAACAGGTGGATTCAGTTGCGCCCCCGGTCTGGTATGGTGGCAGGGCAGCCTCTTAGGGATCCCATCCCACCTTTCGTCCAGGGCCCGAAACGGGCCAGAGCCGTGTGGAAGCAGAAGGGAGTGGAGGGGGAGCGCGAAAGGGAGAGGGGGAAAGTGGAAGAGAGCGGAAGAGGGAGTGAGTCGACTAAATAGTCGTTACGGGGGGAGTAAAGCGGCGCGGGATGAGGCTTGGGGATGATATACAGTATATATATACAGTATATATATCTCTCTCTCTCCGTCTCGCTTCCACAAGCGATTTCATCTCTTCCTTTCGCTTAATCCCCGTCCTCAGTGGCTGTCGAAACCCATATTCGCTTCCTTCTCGCTTGGTGACATGGTCAATGTAACGTCGTAGCGATTAGGAAGCGAGACTTGCAAGGGGGTTCCCTGGACATCCTACGCTGTGCCACCTGTACGCGTAGGAAGAGATTTGATCTTTTCTGTCGTCAGGAATGCCTAGGTCCTGTGCTGTTGCGCTATCAATATCATCACAGGGAAAGCATCGACGAACAAGCGCACGGATAGATGAATGGATCGATGGTGTTCGTCATTATTAGTTGCACTCTATATGAATTTTCATGCTCTGGCCCCCGGCAGGAGGGACGGCCCAGAAGCAAACCCTCCAGACCGCTCATCATTCCTCTGCTATTACAAAAATCTAGTTGCTGCTCTGCTGGATTTTGGACCAAGTAAAACAAAAAAATGGTAGTGTACAGATGTCGAAGAACCCGAGCCTGCGGTCGACTAAGCAGAAGCCAATTCACCGTTTCCGCGTAAGGATCTTGGTGATCGCGTGCCGAATCGTGATGCCCGCCTTCTCAATTTCTTTCTTGGTCAGGCCAACAGTTAAACAGATCTTGAGGGCTGGTGAAGGCGTGAAAATCTCTGTCTTCGCGCCTGAAGGCCCGGCCGGGAGTGTCTTGACACGGGTGATTAGGACGTTCTGTGACAGGCACTATATCCAAAAAGTCAATCGAGCCCTGAATAGGGAGGAGGGGGGGGACGAGGAGTGTATCCGATTGTGGCTCACCTCATCGACAATATCCTGCAGCAGTTGCTGTTGGTCCTCAAATGTCAACCTTCGCGATGAAACCACCTCAGGCTTTAGCACTAGCATCATGATTGGATTCTCCGGTGCGCTGGTACAGTACACCCAGTCGCTTCTCGGGTCGAGCTGTTGCCACATGACCTTGATATTCTCTTTCAATTGAATGAACAAATCGGGCTGAGTCTGCAACATCATCAGAGTCTCGCTTGCTGTCACGGCAGACATGGCTGGCAACGCTGCTGAGAAGGTATACGAGGCGGCGGAGAGTCGCTGGTGCTCCACCACTTCGTCTGAACCTGCGCAGAAGCCTCCTGCGGCCGACAAAGGACCTGCCATTGAGCCGACGATCATATCCACTTCTGCTGCATCAACGTGTTGGTGTTCCGTCACGCCTCGACCAGTCCGGCCCAGGACGCCAAATGACCACGTCTCATCGAGGATCAATCGGAACTTGTATTTGAGTTTCAGCTCAATCTGTGCAACCACAATCAGAACCGACCGCGCTCTCCCCACGTTTGATTCATCTGGCAACTCACAATCTTTGGCAAATCAACCATGTCACCGACATTTTCGAATAGGCCCTCGGTGATGATGAACCGTCTTGTCAATGGCTTTTTGGCTTGTTCTTTGGTGACCTTGGCCAGTACCCTCTGCAAATCTTCCATGTCGTTGTGTTCGTACCATCTGACTGCACTCCTAGAAATCTGTATCCCCTTGCGGATGGCATAATTCACCGCTTTATCGGCCACAATGATATCCCCTCTCTTGGAGAAGGCCGGAATGACACTGGAGATCGTGGAGAAGGCTTGAGCGTAGATGATGCATGCCGTCGTCCCAAGGAAGGCCGCAATGTCTGCTTCGATCTTCATGTGCACATCCTGGGTGCCGTAGAAACCAGGCGGACCGCAGGGACCAACCCCATACGTACGTAATGTTTGAATGGCCCGCTCTTTGAGATTCTCGTTCGAAACAAAGTTGTAGAAATTGTACGTGGCTAGGTTTGTCACCGTTCGACCATTGGTCAGTTTGGATCGAGGGCCGCTCGGTCTGTCGCCTCGCACTCAGTATACGCGTCCTGTGTAGCAGATCTTCCAAGCGTGGACTCACCCGACGATGATGGGACGCCTCTCCAGTTCGGCATCCTCAAAGGCCGTCGTCTTCCCGACCAGAGGCTCCGGCGTCCATTCGTCAACTAAATCGTCGATTTCCTGGTTTCAGCGGTCAGCGCTTCGCAGGCTCGCCCTCCAACTGCGCTGACAATATACACCCACCTCGTCAGACAACTTCACATAATTCGGCTTGGTCGAATACTTGGGGGCCAGCAGATACCGGATTGCGAACAGCACGAGGAAGAGCTCGACGGCGGACCGAATGGGGTCGTTCTGGTAACTGGACTTCACATAGCGGAGAAAGATGGCTGACCCGGGGATTTTCTGGAACTGTTCGGCAGCCGTGTTGGCGAGATTCGTGACATATTCATGGGCGTCGTGGGAGTCCATCTTTTTGGGCCGGGAGAGACTGGACTGGAAACAGGAATGGCGGCGACCACAGCGTTTCTTTAAAGTCGGGAGAATGCGAGGGTTGACGATGTCACCGTCCGCGAAAGGGCTCAACGCGGCATGTCACGTGGTGAAATCAGGGGCAGATCAAATTTCCGGCCATCGCCGGTGACCAACAAATCATATCTGGTCGGTACATGTATTAGGTGTATGTATACCTCGTACGGAGTACCGAGTACATACATACACACACGATGTGCCAACGAATCCGCCGCTCGCACGGCTGCCGGCTCACCGGATGGTCCGGGTCGAGTCGAATCGAATTGTTTGGAATTGTATGCAATTCTGGTTTTAACTGTCATGTACAGTGTGCTATCTAAACAAACAAAAGTTTAACCTGACGCCGATTCACCTTCCCATATTTGCCAGGTTCGAAAAACCAGCTGAAGAAAGCTCCCTTTTCAAAGGCTGCTTGTCTATGCCATTTCAATCATTAGTTTGTTCGGATCAATGGCCGACGAAAGAATTGCAAACTCATTAGAGGGCCATCTTGTCTAACTTGTTCCGTCCCCCCCGTATGCACCAACCAATGTGTATACACACCAACCATCTTCGCAAGACTGGATGGAAACAGTTTTACCACCGGACAAATCGTCCACCGCCACCACCGAACGAGAAGGGGTCGTTCGAGTTGGAGCTTGTAGCAGCGGCGGTTGCAGCAGCACCAGTTCCGGCGCCCTGGCCAAAGTTGACTAGAGCGGAACCGGTAACGCCCGTAGTGGTATCGTTGTTGTTCTGTCCAGTAGGTTGAACAAGGTCGAGAGGGATCGTTGGTAGACCAGTAATGTACTTCCGGACAATGATGGGCCCAATGATGAGCACAAGGAAGATGATGAGCATGATGAAATACAAAATAGCGTAACGAATGACGCGCCTCTTACGGAGACGGGATTGTTTGATCGAGTAGATGGGAGGTCTGATTTGACGACTGCAGAAACGTTAGTCTTGCCCACAGAGCAATGGAAAGGAGTTACATACCTAGGCCGCAACCAGAAGAGCATGACCGAATGGAATTTGTCGATGTAAGGAACGCAGAGAGCCGGCAACATGATGAACATGATGATGTGGCCCAGGATGAAGTCCGCCGCGAAGAAGCCCAGCTCGGTGATCTTGCAAAGGTATTCTCGTGCAGGCTGGGACATGGAGTGCCAACCCATAGAGTACCATTTGCCAGTCCACCAGGCAATGTTGGAAGTATCGTGTTTGAACTCTCTCGTCAAGCAGAGCGCGATAATCAACTTGAAAACGAATCGTTGGAGAGCCACGACAGCGATCATGCCCAGGAGTGCCTTGGCAAACACCCATCCCTCGAGGAAAAACATGACTTCCCAGAACGCGAAGAGCATAATGACAGCAACTCCGTGCGCGATGGCTGCAAGGACCGAGCCGAATTTCTTGCAGCACATGCTCAAGACAGGACCCATGCAGCAAGCCATGCCGAACAGACCGGCCAGCACACCTGCGTTAATGGCAATCGGAGCGAACGCAACGATTGCCACTCTCACCAGAGAGTTTGTGGGTGGCTGCACATCGGTTGTCACGCCGGTCTGGGCGTTGATGAAGAGATATGGGACGAGCGTAAAGGCGACAAGCACCAAAGGACCGACGACTTCACTGAAGAAGACGCTGGTAAAGTTCGCACGAGGGACATCTCCAGAGAGCTTTTCCGATGGAACGCCCAGAGCCTTGCGCTTGTATCCAGTGAGACGGGTACGTGACAGCCGGCAGAAGGCGATCCAAGATGAGGCATGCGATCGCGAGTTACCACGAGACAGCCACCTGAGGTAGTCTCGGTAGTCAATGAAGAAATCGTTCCAAGCGAATTGATGGGGATTGAAGATGAAGGGCGAGATGCACAAGCCGAGCAGGGAGACCCAGAACCACAGAAGCCAGGCACCCCATACTGTTATTGTGCCGAAGAGCAACATCATCAACGATCGAGCTCCCAGGTAGATCGATGGACCAGCGAAACGAGAGTAGAGGACTCCAAAGGGGATACGTGCTGTGGCAAAACCACGGCCAGTACCGATGTATCGCGCGCCACCAAATGAGAGATCCTGCTGAATGGAGCTTGCATAGATTTGGCACACAAACACCTCGAAAATTGGAGAGGCAGAGGCAAAGTGCTTGGCCAAACGAGTGGCAGCGCGCCAGAACCCGCGTTCCGTCAACTCCTGAACGACCAGGGGCACGAAGGAGATGAAGAAGACGATGAAGATCGACACAACGCAACGCTCCACCCATTCCATAATAGGTGTCAAGTTCGTGCATCCGGTAGGCTTGAGAGGATCCGTTGGTGGGACATTTCGGTTGTAGAAACAGATGATGGTCTCGTGTCTCAAAGCACCAAGGTTGATCAGCACGATCATGAAGAGCTGCACAGACAACATGATGAACATGTTGTTGATGTGGAAACCAGGATGCGCATAGTAGAAAGACAGGAAGCGATCCAAGGGCAGCTGAGTACCCAGGTAGTAGTATTCTCGGGACAACATCTGTTCACCCATACCAGTACCGATCTTGGTCGTGAAGTTGAGAATAGAGCCAAAACCAAGATCACGACCCTTTCCGCACTGGTAATATTCGCAGTGTTTGATGCGGCCGCCACGGATGAGAGCGTTCATTCCAGCGTAGATATCTTCGTTAAGGTGGAGTCCTTTCTGCGCCTTGGAGACGCCACCTCGAGTTGTCATGAAGACACCGTTGAGGAAATCAGGATGACCATAGTGAAGTTTTCCACCGATTTGGGCCAGGGTACGAGCGAAGAGAGTGCCGAAAGTCTGTTCTTTGCCAGCAGCAACATCACCAAGGACACCGATGTTCTCAGAGAAAATGTACTCGCGAGCACCGAGAATTGCGACTGGGTTGGTCTTTGTTGGAGGAAGTCCGGGAGTGTACGGCGAGACATTATCCGTCGTCATTTCTTCGAACTCGGCCAAGACGCTTCGGATTTTCAAGCATTCTTCCAAGTAGTTGTCTTGATTGGCATCAATAAGCTGGATGTATTCACCGCGGTAGAAGATGATCGCATGATTCTGGTTGTCGGACTTGCCGTCTCCCAGGATGGGATTGCCGGAAAGTTGGACTCTGAATTTGGGTCGACGCATTCCGTTCTCAAGAAGTTCCGAGTGTCCATCGATCAAAGCCGAGTACAAGCGAGGTTCCTCTCCTTCGTTCTGCGGCGGCTCCTCATCCAAGTAAGCGATCTGAAGGTCAGGATAAGCACGGAGCAAGAACTCGGTATTCTCACGTTCCTCCTTCTTGAACTTGGCATAACGCTGCATGGAAACCACAATCTTGAATTTGCGTCTGGCCATGCGTTCGAGTTCACGTTCAAGCTTATCAGAGTTACCGCCGAACATCTGAACCACTTCGGGATTTTCAACGCGGTACAGAAGTTTGATAGCTCGGCTGTAGTTCATGAAACCACTAATTGTTCGATAGAGGGTTTGAGAACGGAGTGACGCCCAGATTCGGGTTCGCAAGGTGTATTCTGGAGCCGCGGACTTGAAACCAATGCAGTAGAACGGTAGATCATCAATCTTGCTCTTCGCTGTGTCTTTTTCCTGCTTCTCGTAATCTCCATTGTATTGAGACGTCTCATCAGCAAGAATCTTAGTATCTTTGACAAAGCAGTCCCATTCGTGAGGATGGAGCTGTTTGAGGTACTCCAGAAGCGTGACACGAGAATATGGCTCATCCTCCCGAATGATCTCTCGCAGAGACAAAAGAATCTTTTCACCGTAATGAGGAATGAGGACAGTGAAGGTTGGCATGTTGTCAACAGGCAGCGGTTCGGGGATAGGAGTGGACAGAGACTGGGCGAAGAACGAGATACGACGCTCAGCTTCGCTCTGAGATGGGAAGAATTCCGTCTTGAACGAATGATCTTCCTGAGAGACGAAGAAGGTTGGCGCGCGAAGCGTGCGCTTGCCCTCCTGCTCCGAAGGTACCTGATGGTAGAGCAATTTCTGAACGTGGTCAATGGCCAGAAGATGCTCCCGGTACATGGAAATGACGATGGCGTTCCAAACTTGCGAGATGAGAACCTTGGGCTTATACTTGATTTCCATGTCAGTCGTAGCCAGGACCTTGGAATAGATTCGCTTTGGCAAGCGAGAGAAAATGTTTCGCCACGGCGTCCAGATGGATACACCTAGGTAGAACGACCGAGCGACCGAGAAGACGCAGTTCCAAATGATATACCACAAATAGGTATCCAAGAAGAAGAGAATCAGATCGGTGAAGAACATGATACCGAGCAAGATCTGAGGCTGGTACTTGCACAGGTAATCTTTAAGAATCTTGTCCCCCTGACAATGGTGGATTTTGGTGTAGGAAAGAATCTTAATCGGGTCTCTGAAGGACAACGTCAGGAAGAAGTACGATTCGGCCAATTTGGCAGCGAACACCATGATCCAAAGACCGAAAGACATCCACATGTCGTTTCCCTTAAGGCGAGGGTATGAAGCCGTGAAAGTCTGACTGGCAACATAGCGGCGACTGTTTCCGGTGAGGTAGCTCCCAAACAACCCGCCCAATGGCATGATTGAGAAGAAGAAGAACGTGGCGAGAGCAACAAGAAATTGCACCACGCCCAGAATCAGAGAGATCTTCGACGTCTGGGTGAAGCCGAAGATGTACACACTGGGCGCAATGTTGAGAACGAACACGCCGATCAAGAAGAGGAGTCGCTTGGTCAAGTGCTGAGCACCTGCCCATTTCCGTGGAACGTACGACCATTCAATCAAAGTGGCCAAGATGTTGATCAAAGTCGCGATCGTGCCACCCAATGCGACAGCAGACCACTGGGCAGCAGCGTGTGGCTTGTTGTTCAGTTGTTGCTGATAGTTCTTAGTGTACAGCGTCGGGGAGTTGAAAGCCGTGTAGAACCAGAAAGTTGTGAGATGAATGACCCAAATACGGTTGAAATTGACAAT